TAGAACAACTCTCTAGCTAAATCAGGAGAATTGTTAGTTTATTTTGAAAATTGGTCTGAGATGGTTGTTTGACAAATTTTATTTTTAATTTTCGAAAGGCCATATACATAAAATTATTCAATATTTGAGTGTGGTAAAATTCTGCCGAAAATTGTATCAAATTGACACAGAATGACCTTGAACTTTTTGAGATTAAAGACGAAAATGCTAATAAAAACAAAGAAAGTATCCATAGAACAATGTTAAAAAAACATAGTGTATCAGAAACACTTTTAAAAAAGCCACGCTTTTAAAGCAAGATATACACAAAAATGAAACTAAAAACTACATACCTCAGTTTTCCAATTAACGCATTTACAAGAAAAAGTCTAATAGAAACACCTCTATAAATTGCCATGTCACAATAAAAAGTTTTTATTTAAAAGACAAGCTAGATAAATATAAAAACCTTTTCTTTAGAGAAAAATTTAACGCTAAAAATCAGTGGTTCTTTATAGAAAACAAAATAAAATTTATTAGCAATGCTCTTAATAAAATTGTTCGGCACAAAAAACTGATAATTTTTCTAATTTCTTTTTATCTTTCATAACATATATTTGCAATCACCTGAATTTTAGAACTGAATTTTAAAAATTACATTTAATATAAGGTTAAAAATAAGCAGGGTTCATACAGAGATCAGTAATCCAAGGAGTTCAAAATTCTAAGGACTTATCAAAAAATAAAAAACTTGTGTAAAAGATAACTAGACAGTTTTTCAAAAAAAAAAAAAAAAAAAAAAAATTAAAAAACANAAATTTTTAAAAAAAAAAAAAAAAAAAAAAAAAAATTAAAAAGCAGTTATTATAAGGAATTTGCAAAAATGTATAGTTTGCATATTTTTTCTAATCTTTTTGAAATAAATTTTGACTTTGTCAAACTTCATCAAGAAAAATAAATAAAGTTAGCACTTTTTTGCTGTTGTTAATTTACATTACACTAGAGCTGCACAATGGGCTATTGGTGACGGTCTGGGAAACATCTCTGAGGATGATCCGAAGACATGCCATTACAATTTTGATCCTCTGCAGAGGGGATGGCACCCCCGCTTCGGTAGCCTGACAACCTGCACGCGAAGTCCAGCACTTTAGGGTAGAACAGTTTAACAAGGACCAATGCGGCACACCCTCGGTCCTTACGCAGACTAATCCAAGTGGTCACCCATACGCAGCTAGTGATGCTTGACTTCGGTGATCTGCCGGGAACCGTGTCTTAACGATCAGTAACCTGTGGGACAAGTTATCACTTTTACACATAAATACATTCTCCAGTTTCAAATAGTTTCCCTGTTTGAACAGCAAATTCATCAGCATACTTAGTAAGTTCATCTATGCAACACAATAATCTAAGGACTAATTTAGAAATCTAAGTAGTTCCAAGTACTCCTTGTACATACCTTAGATTATGCTTCCAGGCTGCGGCCTGCAAGAGACTTTAAAAAAAAAATCGCAGAAGGGGACCAACTCAAAAAGGTAAAACTCATAGCCCCCCACCCCAAGGCAAAGAAGATATTTAAAAGAATTTACATTTGGCACAACAAGCACGGTACGGAAATATCCCTGAAAAGTATACCACTGGCACCATCTTCTTGCAAATAACTAATTATTTTTTAAAAATAAAACCGGCAGGTTAAAAATCTCGTTCTTTACGATTGCCCCCTAGGCAGAATTTTTTTTGGCTTTTTGTCCCAAACTGCCCCCGATACAAATATTTTGCTTAAAGATACTTTTATACTAATTTAAAGAAACAGAAACGTGTTAAAATTAAAAAATTTTATTTTATACTTTAACATAATAGGCGATATTCTTGCTATTTGAAGGATGAAAAATACACTTATTAGTTCATTTCAAATTTTGTAAATCATGACAAATTAAAATTCATACTTAATTAAAAATTATAAAATCAGTGCAGTAATTGTTAAAATAATGATAAACTACAAAATCCTGTGAATAGAACTCTTGAAAAAAAAAAGATAGTCAAATAAACATGGTGTTCTTTAAAGAAAAAAAATGAAAGAACATAATTTCTAGATTGAACTATCTTTTAAAACTTTCATGATTTTTGAATTCTTAATTTGAAATTCTAGCTGAAGTTCCTTACAAGATTTTTTTTATAATCTCAAAGGAGAATAGAAAAATCATGATTATTTCTTTCCCCTCAAATGTGCAAAAAATACATCTCTGAAAAAGAAAAAAATTTTCAAAACTTCTGCATAAAGGAAAACCAAAATTTTTCACTTTCCAAATGAAAAACCCTTCTGCAAAAACTAACATTCTGTGATAATGTCGCCATAAATCTGCCACAAGGACGACATAGTCTGAGAGATAGGTCACAATATGGAAATACCCCCAGTTACCAGCCTATAGAGGTTTGCTTGGGATACTTACAAACTATGCCCTTCGAATTTGTTCTATGTTGCAATTTTTTTTTCTTTTTCACATAGGGTGCCCCCTAGAAGTTGCCTTTTCTTTTGCAAATGACAATGAAATAAATTCTACACCCCAAGTATATTACATAAAAGTAGAAGCTCTTATCTTATATAAGGTTTGGAAAAATCTCATTGTTAATAATAATTACTGGGTATCTGGTACATTTTCTAATTCATGACCAATTCCAAGAACTTTTCCTGACTTAACAAAGTCACTACTTTCTCTGACAAAAACAGAATAAATTAAAAAAGCATTATAACATTATGGAAATGATAGGTATAACCATAACTGTTATACTCTGCATCTTCATATTTTTTTTATTTTAAAATTAAAAAACAGTAAAGAAAGAGTTGAAGCAATAAAATAGATGAAAAAATAATAGCTAAGCAAATAATTTTTTATTCTTTTTATCTGCAGTATTATATTCTAAATTTACTTTTCTTGTTCATCAGAAAGGAAAGAAATACTACTGGTTTTTCTGTTCTGATTTCAGAATTAAAAAAAAAAGTGCCAATTACTGGCTTGCTTCAGCTAGAATTTTAAATTGATAAAATTATTAACAAAAATTCTGAAATCACAGAAGTTTAAAAGATACTTTGGTCTAAAAATGTTCTTTTTCTTCATTTTTTGAAAGAGCATCATACTATTTAAAGAACATGATAAAAACATTTTATATTTCAATAAAATATCACTCTGAGTGGGGATTTTGTTACAAATTCAGAACACCATGAAATTGGGAGCAGGAATCATTTTAAAAATAAAATTTTTCGGCAACCTAAATCCTGATAACCCTTCACCTGATAATTTTTAATAAATAGTTAAAATCAAGACAAATTTTGTTCAATACCGTAATTCATGACTTTCCAGGTGCACGGATACCCTTAAATTATCACAAAGAAAAACATTCTTAAAGTTTCAGGTCTTGATTTTTTAAGAAATTTAAATAATTACCAGCCTTGTGAATATTGGAAGCTGAAAATATGTTTAAATATTTGACAACATCTATGATTTCGGAAATCTAAAACTTAATTATTTCACAAGAAATGATTATTAAAAGAACAATTTAACTACCTTAAACACCATTGGTTACTGTAATTTAGAAGATAGGTTATTTCCAAAGTTGGACTAAAATATGCACTTTCCAGATTTCACCAACAGAAAAAGCATTCCCTTGGAACATATATTTAAAACTTAATGTTTTCATGAGTTTAATTACGATTTCAAATAAATGTTAACGAGTATATTCTATCAAATTAAAATCATTAGATTTTTTTTTAAAAAAGAAACTTAATTTTTTTTAAAAAATGGCCAACTTACCAAACTGAAATAGAACAATACTGAATTCAGCAGATCTAGCTAATTCGCAACGTTCCTGTAGAGACGAGCTTCTGAATTGTTAAACACACAGTAGCTCGATTCTACAGGTCCCATTTCGAATTACCAAATATTCCTAATTCCATCAATAACACTAAGATCACAGACCAAGAAAAAAGCTGAAAGAGAAATTATTACGATTTAGGAACATACATAATAACATTGGAAGAAATAAATTTACCCAACAGAAAAAGCATTTAAAAAATACGATTTCAACAATACTTTAAGTTGCCTATCGAACTATGAAAAAAAATGGATGCCCAAGAACTCCGTCATTCCGCTACGCTTGCCGTCAGCCATTTTATGAAAGCGGGTTACCATAGCTATTAACGTTCTTGTTAACCGATCGATTTCTCCGTTGGCGAAAATGGCATCCATTAACAGAAAAAAACTAGAAAAATTAAAAAAATACTGCTAAAACCTGATAAAATTAACAGAATACCTATTCCAAGAAATATAGAAGAAATTCAGCAATTTATGAACATAAAACCATTTTTTTTAAATAGAATTTCAATTAAAAAAAATTTGATTCACATAGAAATTCACGAAATAGAAAATTTATTGCATAAAATTTCTAAACAAATTAAGAACTAAACAATTTAAAAACTGAATGCAGTTATTTAAGTATAAAATCAATAAGGAAACTATCTTACCGTATTCCAGAAGGAACCCCTTGTAAGAAGTTCAATAAACTCGAAATCCCAATTTAGGCCTAGTTCTGAAAGAATTCTTCCAAAATATTGTTTACTAATATGAATTACATCAAATAGTAAGTAAAGTTTATATCACACGCAATTAAAAGAAAGTCAAAATGCATAAAGAAAGCTAATAAGGAAAACTGGAATCAAGCAACGCTGATCTATCGATCGTCACTACGGCACTTCATCATCCACCAACCCCGTCCATCGCATTTTAGCCGTTTTGCGAAAAGTACAAAAAAAATTGAAATTTGCATATTCTCCTTTTCGTGGTTGCAGTGAAGAATCATAGAAAGCAGTGCAAAGATTTTTTGCTTAGTTTTTATTTTGTTAAATTTTGTTTTTATTGCTTAATAGTCCTGTAGGTTGTATTTTTTAATATGATTTAAATAATTTCAGATCGGCAGAGTTTTCATCCAACAGTTTTTATATCACTTAAAATATTGATCACCCATCGATTAACCACCAGTTTTGTTAGGCGAACTTTGAAACGATTCATTCAGTTTAAATCGTATACGATCTTTTACTTTACTCTAATACCTCTCATTACTGTATAAATTCAAAATTAAACATATCATTCCGTTGCAAAAGTTTTAATTTTTGTACATTGTCTACTTGTTTACATTTCAAATCGGAAAGAAAGTTCTTGCAATGAATCTGTTAAAAAAATATAAACTTGCAATTAAGAGATTTATTGTTTATTGAATTTAAACTTCCAATATATTATAATGAGCAATACAAAGAAAGTACTTTTTTCAAAACGCTGTGCAATCTGGTGCTTAGTTTTAGGATTTTGTTTAATATTGTATCCTGTATTATTATTGAATTTTTATAATTACTCTCTAATTTATCTTAGTATTTTAACTACTATGTCGGCATTTAATATTGTGAATATGAATCGTAAAGCAATTTACTTTCCTGTTCCAATTTTTTTCTCTATCGTAGACGATGTTAATACTAAAGAGAAAATGAATAAAAGATCTGAAAATCGGGTTAGTCAATGAATTATTTTTAAAACTGTTGTTTCATTTATATAAAATAACTGACCTTGCCTCCTGCAAGAATGAATATTACTAATTTAAAATATAAAATTAAGATCGGTATTATTAAAAGATTTTAATATTCATCACACATATATATAAAGTACTTAAAAGAATAATGGTAATTTTTTATCATATTATTTTAAATTCTTTATAGTTAAATTTAAAGAAAATACCTTTGGATCCAAATAAAAATAATGGTGTTACTGCTAATAATTATGATATAATTAATATTGTGTTATGATTAATAATACATATATTTATATATATATATGCTGAAAAGCAGAAACCTTCCGGGACGGATACAGATTATTACACAGTCTTCAAATTATTTTTCACTGTAGTTCACTTTTTAATTTTAAAAAATCAAACAAACAAATTCTGGGGGGATTGCTAAGATTCTTTTTTAAAACACCTATAAACTTCTTCTGATATAAATTAAAGAGCTGAATTGAAAAAATACAGCAAGGAATAAAAGTAGATTCTTTAATCTGTTGCTTGATTACAGGCTTAATTGTACAGGGATTTATTTCCACTTTTTTTAAAAATTTAAATTCAGTTATCATTGCTTAACATTTAACTTTAATTTCAACAGCATTAAGTTTTTACGTAAAAGCACCTTATATTTGCAAATTTTGCTACACATATGTTAAATTTAGCTGAATTTATAAAATTATAGCTTCTGTTTGACTAAGTTGAAATTAGGGATGTCACAAATATTCAGCCCTTTTGTTAAGTATTCAGTTAGCCGAATATTGGGTAGAATATTTGGCCAAATATTTTGAAAATTATTATTTGGAAAATTATTTTTTGACTAACTTTATTTTGGGGAGAAATTTTAATAGATTTAATAAAGAATAAACTAAATTTGCATTTTTTACTATACATTATTAGAAATAGTTTTTATAAATATTTGTTGAATTTCAAAACTTGTTAATTTATGTTCTGAAAAGAGCAGAATTAACAAGTCATGGTAGATCAAAATTTGATGAATTGAAATTTTTCTAAATTTTTTTTATTCTATGTAATGAAAATAAATTTCCATCTAATATAGTAAATACTTATACAGAGACTGTAATATTAAATGTAATTGTTGTTTTGAAGAAGATTGTGTTTTATAGTTAGGATTTAATAAGATTTCCCTTGCCTCATATGTTATGTGAAACAATCCATTACCAGTGTCTTCTTTTTACACATGTAGAAATATATATTAAAAAAAGGTATTAATTTTTTTTTGTTCTTATTTGCATTCTAAAAAAATCCAAAAGTATTTTAAGTTTTTTAAAATTACTTTACATAAGTTTTATTATTTATTACACTCCAAATGCTAGTGTACAACTGAAATTTATTGACACAACAATTAACATAATAATGAATTTGAAACTTCGAAAATAAATAAAAATTTTAAATAATCTTATATTAAAATGCTTTATAAACAAAAATTAAATAATTGATGAGTTCTTTGAAAAATGATTAGTTTTATATCAATATTTTAAATCAAGTTCATTTAAATAAACGAACCTTGATTATAACTCTGCTTAATAATATCATAAATCAAACTTATTAATTAATACTTCAAAATTAATCAAAACAAATTAAGTAATAAACACAGGATACAAAATGTATAAAAGGTATTAATTTTTTTAAAAAATGTGAATAATAACAGCAAATATATCATACATAATATATTGATATATATTTTACTCTGCATTAAAAGAACATCAATAACAGGAATGTTCGCTATAATACAGATTTTATAAAACAAAAACTAACAGTTTCTGAAGAAGCAAACAGATAAGACGTAGTATAAATAATAATCTTTTTTCCATTTACACAAAGGAGGAAGAGAGAATATTAACAAATAATAATGACAACTTAACTGATGCCATTCAAGTAAAAAAAAAAAAGATTACAACACTCACAGTCAATAAGTTCCTCACATTTAAATTAAAAAAAAAAAATTCTCACATTACATAACAAAATCTCAGTTAAAACCAATATTAATTCAAATTATTATACTATGTTAGAATTATTTATGCTTTCTGTTCTTTCCTGATCATATCAATTTTTTATTTTACAGAAATTGGAATACAAATGGATGTAAAAATTCAATTTATTTAAACTTGTGTACCTAAACATGTATTTTTTTATTATTCCATTATAATTCATAACCTAATAAATGCAAGAGGGAAAGAAGTCAAAGCATTGTGATACAAAAAATGTTTCTAGAAATATACTTTGAGCTGTAATGTTTAAAAATTTCTTGAATGATTTCTATCCATTGGAAAACTCTATTATAAGATAATACTACTTACTAAAAATATATGAATTAGTAATTTTTCATACATTAGAGTTATAGCAATGCTATAATATTATTTTTAATACTTACTGCCAAATAAACACAATATTTTTAGCAACAAACGAATCATTTTGACCCCACAATAAACTACACAACTTCATCGACTCTCAGCAAATGTAGTACGAGTACAAACATGGGATGTTGTGGTCACGTGTTGCACATACGCAAGAATAGCTTACAAAAAAAAAAAAATAGTTGCAGAAATCTGCTTGTAAGTTCCTATTTTGAAATATTTCATATAGGAAATCATTGAATGTAAAACATTTTCTTATGTTTTTAAGACATTCTTGCGATCACTTGAAAAATTTGGCTATGTTTCTACCTAATTGTTGCATTTATGAGACTGTGTGTTGTTCGGGTATATATATATCTAACTATAAGTAGTTTATAGTTAATATTTCACAAATTAATTTAAATGGGTATTATGTCTTACTTATGAAAATTAAATAGATGCTTTAAAACCTTCTTCTAAATGTGTGTGTTTTTTTACTAGGAATTTTCTGTGTGGGGTGCATTAGTTGCTTTATTTTGCAGCATTTGTGTTTATGCAGTGATTTCCATTCTTTTAGGAGCACCGATATATAAGTATGTTAAACGATTTATTTATATTAAAATAAAAAATTCAACACTTTTTATAATTCTTGCTATAAAAAAATGTCAGGTGCATTTATATTATTATAAATAAAACTTGCTATTACCTTACCATCTGGTAAGTAAAAGTTTTAAATAATATTAAAATATACATCCCTGCTTTTTTTTTATTTTTATAGAACTTCCAATCTTTGCTTCAGCATATTAAAATATCATTTTCCAAATTTTCTGTAGAATTCTTGTTTTAACTATAGAAGTAATCTTCATTAGGCTTATTTTGAAAAAAAAAATGAGCTATTAACTACAGAAACTAATGAACTTATTAGCAGAACAGCTTAGCAATGAAATATAAATAAATCCTATTTACTTAATGTATATTTTAAACAATAGAGCTTCAAAATTCTATTTTTCACAAATAAATAAATAATAACTCATTTTTTATTTATTTATTGTTTATTAAATTAAAAGTGCTCTAATCGAGTTTAGGCTGTAAACTAACATCTGCAAAATTTGGAGAGATTCTCTAAAATTGTGTAACAAGCAATATAAAGCAACAAATTATAAATCTATATTTTCTGAAATTTGATGGGAAAAGAAAAGTAAACATTAACACATTAAATTCTTATCAATAAGAAAATGGCTTAACTTCTATTTAGCATGATGACAACATACAGCTTTTGATTATCGTAAAAAAAAAGTTTTTGGTATTATGAGTACTCATGAGGATTAAGAAATGGCAAGTTTCTACCACAGAGGCAAAAAGAAACACCTTAATTAAAATGTAAGGTCCTTTTTATCAAAAAAATAAAAATTACTAGCTCTTATTTGTAAATCTAACTAATACAGACTAGAGAATCTTTATAGCGCAAACCTTGAAACCTGAGACTTTCGTCTTATAGAATTTTGTTATATAACTCATTACACTTCTCTTTATGGCAATGTTAGTCTGGAATAGATCAATCTTAAAATGCTTTAAAAAAATTTTAGATACAAATACTTAAAAATTCAAAATATGCACTTAAGTATTTAATGTTTACTGAAAAAAAAATTTCTGCAGCATTAGAACTAGTAAGAAATAAATTAATTAAGTTTGGTTTGCTTAGCTTTTGAAATTTTTACCTCTTAGCAAATAATTTAACAAATAATGTGAAAAGTTAATAATTCTTGCTGAGTTATAAATATTTCTTAAATGCAAATTTCAATGTTTACACTCACAAAGCTTTCGTAATTTATGGATAATTGCAGTTTATAGAATTGCATTATATAAATTTTCTGCTGTAGGTAGAATGAAATTATTTTTTTTGTGAAATATTAGTTAATGTTATTTTATTACACCAGATGTTAAAAATGAGATTAATTTAAAATCCCTGAAATAAAAAAAAATTATATGCAAAAACATAAAATTTAAGGATAATTATACTATTTAGAAATTTTTTTTCAGAGTACTTTTTTTATTTAAAAAAATTATTTTTAATTGCATCAATATTTATAAATCTGAATTGAATATGAAAACACAAAATTCTATGTATGTGTAATTATTAACTAGTATGAATATATATTTATCTTTATATATTTTTTTGTTAAAAAAATAGACTATATGCATTAAACAATATATATATATATTTCTTTTGAAGAATCACACGAGGAAAGGATTAAAAATTTTGCATTATATTGAATTTGTGTTTAAATATATATTGGTTGCTAAACAATTCTATTAGTCATTTTTAGTATTCTGAAAGAAATAAGTTTCTCATGGATAAAATGTAAACCCTTTGATAGTCAGATTTTATCTGTAGGAAGTTTTTATAATGTCTCCTTAATTAGGGTTCATGCAAGTTTTTAAATATAAATCCTTAAAATTTTCTTCAAATATTCAATTCTTTTTCTTATTTTCAGGATAAAAAATATTTCTAAAATTAACCATTAGCTCTGTAAGAATTGGAGTTAGTGAATTTGAAAGCCAATAAGAAACACAGAGTTAAAAGAGATTTTATTATTTTTTTTTAGTTGTCATTATCAAAATAGTAAGTGTGCCAAAAATGCAGGTTTCTTATGATGATATTGAGGTTTGGCTGTTTATTTTATTTATTTGATATTTTCTTACAGTGTTCTTTAAATATGTGGTGTTTCATTATATCATTTTATTTATTTTTCTTTGTAGAGATTGGGGTGCTACTCTCTATTTTAGCTCTCTAATGACTTTACTCACTGTCTATCCTCTGATTTGGTATTATTTCTTCAGTGATAGTATCAGTTCAGTTTTAAAAGTAATAACTGATACCAAGTGAGTTATAAAAGTTAAAAAGTTCATTCTTTTCTTTTTTATATGTTATTTTCTTAAATGTCATTTCTTCACTAGAATCATTAAATGAGGTATATTTTAAACTTTTTTATGAATTTATTGTATTGTAATTACAGTACAAAGCTAGATGCCCAGTTTACTGGAAATGCTCTTTTTGCAGACTCTTTTTAACAATTTTAATTTTTAAAAAATTAAATTATTTTCCTCACATTGTGTTAAAAAAAGTATTAATAAATAATTTTTTTTTTTATTTATTCTTGCTGCTTTTCTAATTTGCTAAACATTTAATTTACTTTACTAGAATCATTAAATGAGTGATATTTTAAACTTTTTTATGAATTCATTGTATTGTAATTACAGTGCAAAGCTGGATGCTCAGTTTACTGGAAATGTTCTTTTTGCAGACTCTTTTTAACAATATTAATTTTTAAATAAAATCAAATTATTTTTCTCACATTGTGTTAAAAAAAAGTATTGATAAATTTTTTTTTAAAAATTTATTCTTGTTGCTTTTCTAATTGCTAAACATTTAATTTACTTTAATAAGCACACTAAAAGAGGTGTTGAAAAGTCAAAAGGAATTATAGAAAAAGAAACTTTAGTGAGAAGATTAAACTTAAATATTAATTAAACTGCATATTAATAGTGTTTAAAAAAGAACAGCAGGAAAGTTTTGTTTCTCTTAAAATTATAAATGTTTACATCAAAAAAAAAAAAAAACAATCTTCTCAGTTCTGTTTCTTGTTTAATATTTTTTTAAAAAAAATTCAAATTAAATAAATTTACTTTTAAAATTTGAGGGTGGTTTTTTAATGTTATTTTTATCTGCTTATTTGCTTTGCTAATTTTTCATATCAAATGGGAATAAAAGACTGTCTGAAAGAAAGAAAGTGTCTGAATTCTTTGAAAGAAAAAGTTCAAATTGTAGTCTGCTCACTTTTATTTATTTTTGTATGTATATATTTTATCATGCTAAACACTCTTTTGTTAATTAAAGGTCATTCAATCCATCAGAAAACATTGTGATAAATTGATATAAATTATCATCCATTTGTTATTTTTTTATTGAATAATATATATTTTGATGTTTATCTTAAAGACTTTTTATTGGAAGAAATCTATTTTCTGTGCTTGCCGAAGTGCAATGATTCTGAATATAGGACTTTCCACTGTGTTTATATTAAAATGAAAACCAGTATTTTGTCCTTTTTTCAACTAATATTTTTTTGAACATTATATCCCTTCAAATGCTTTATATATATCAGAAATTATTAATTTGTATTATAAATTTTATAAAAATTTATTTGTTAGGAATCGATATCTTAGAACAGATGTACGAGAAATTGTTTCAATAAGAAATATATTTTTTATGTAAGAAATCTCTTTTTATCTGATATCTTGAAGCATTAGGATAGATGAATGTGTAAACATTTGTCTCCCATGGCAGGAAACGAACATTTTCTGTTTGCCGAAAAAATTTCTCTTCAGTTAACTCTACATTTTTTCCGTCAGGATTCTCAGGTAAAACTTTCTTTAGGTTTAAACTTTGCATAGATCAGACATGAAATTATTCAATGATTTTTTACCTTTCTGCCATTTCTCTTTCTTTCTTCCTATTTTCATTGTTGTAGTTGTCATTTAAAAATTTTTTTTTTATTGTTTCGTCAAAGAAAAAGAAAACTTTGACTTCAGTTGCAAGGTAAAATACTTCTTAAGAATGTTTTAAAAAGTAGAGTTCAACAACAAAATCTGTTGCTCACAGTTGTTGTTGTAAACTGTGTTTGCTTCATTGCAAACACAGATTACTATGTTTTATTTTCGTATTTCCCTTTGTTCTTCTTAATATTCCTTTTAATGGCAGGTAGTTATATTTATTTATGAAAATAAATTTTTAAGACTCAAATTATTTTTTATGTTTTCAAATAATAATTTTCTCACTGTAGTCAATATTTTTTTTTATTGTGTTGGAAAAAAATGTTTCATGGAAAAAAATTCTTTAAAGATAAATTTTTCTTTTGTCTCAATAAAAAATTTCCCATTTTTTTTAAAATTCACTTAGAAAATACTCAAATACAGAAGGTATTGATTATTAAGTGGTTAGAAACAGGCATTAATAAAGAAGTTTTTTTTTTTTTTTGCAGAGTTGATTTTTATATTTTGAACACCTTTTGAAATTTTTTAATCCTTTCATACAGCAAAAATAATCTATTTATGAACTTGAAACCTTCTTTTAAAAAGAAAAATATGATTTTAATTAATATGATTAATATAGATAAATGCGGAAAATGTATAAATTGTACTTTAATATTAGCTTTTTCAAGGACCATATCCTTTTATTTTTAAAATTTCAATTTCTAAAATAATTATGCTGCAATTTTTTATATTGCGATATTTTATTATATTTTTTTTGTATAAAATAATTCTGAATATTTTTTTAATAGGTAATTTTTCTTTTCAGATTTGATAACATGATGGAAAATCACTTACAGTCAATTTTAATATGGACAATTATGGGTGCATGGGTTGGTGCTTTCCCCATACCTTTAGATTGGGATAGGCCATGGCAAAAATGGCCCATTACATGTTGCATTGGAGCATGTCTTGGAAATAGTGTAATGCACTTAATCACAGGATATAAACTTTTACAATCATATGTGAAAGATAAGAAAAAAGTTTTATTTAATAGAACTGTATGATTGTTTTATTAACAATGATATGAGCAGTGATAATAATAGCTTTATTAGCTTCAGTCTCGGTCTTTATGAGTTTTATGAAATTATGCCTTTCCTTTTCTGTTAAAGCTCATTGTAAATAAATATATAGTTCATTATACTGTTAAACATTAGGAATTTGAGTATTGTTATATAGTGTTTTTTAAACTCATTTCTAGTTTTTATATCATTAAACAAATGTGTTTTTTATTTAAAGTAATGTATAATTGTTTTTTTTTATTGTTTTTTTTTATGTTTGTAAGCTATGTCCCCTTAATATACAATTTTTGACTTTCTGTTTTACAATCATTCAAACTAGGACTTAATAATAATGGCAGTCTGAAACATCTGAAATTCAACACAGACCACTATTAAATAATAATTAGCAGTCCAATGAATCAGCAATCAATCATTACAATTGAGTATAAAGGGGTAATCTGCTAATTGGGGTTTTTGGTTTGATGTTTTGGTATGCGTTTCTATAAGAAAATATTTGGTCTATGTTCCTTCATCCTGAATTTAAATATAACACATTTTCTGTTAATTTTCATTTTAATGATATATTTTTTATATAATAGTAATGCTCTACTTATAGTAATTATGCAACACAAAATCTGTTCTTTATAATACAATAAAATTTGGATTTATATGAAGCGCTTAGTTTTAAATTTTTCAACTAATTTACTGAAATTTCAATATTGTACTTGTGAAATTTATATTGTTTCATAATTTTTTGAATATTTTCTAAAAATCTAATTGGAACATGTTAAAAGACCAGTGGAAAATGTGTATAAACTAGGGAAATCTTTTAGTTATTGGACGTTTGGACTAATAACTAAATTTTCTTAACTTCTACCTTTTGTCAACTATGCTTATTAAATTTTTAAAACTGTTATAATTCTAAAATGTAGAAGTGCTGATTCACAACATCAAAAGATTTAAATCTTTCGACATTTTGATTTTTTCGAGGAAAATTTTTTTTGATAGTGGTTTTTGAAGCCCTATCACTAAAGAAAATGAAAAAGCCACTTTTAAAGTGCCCTGTACTTGAGGCAAAGCTATAGTTTAAAGTTATACCATCTTGCCGTAAAAAATAATCTGAACTTCAAAACAGACTAATAACTTTTAACATTTTAGAAGTTTTAAAAATTGCATATTTGGCAAGATTTTTCCATTATGATAGTTATCAAAATCAAAAAATAATTCACAATGTTTGTAAATTTTTATGAACAAAAATTGAGAATTATTACATTGGAGTATTTTTTTAAGTATTAAAAAAAAAAAACTTAAAAAGCTTTTAATTAACACAAAACTGTTTTTTTTTTCTTTTCTTTTCATATTGACATTTTTAGCCATTTTCATAATTAGCTAAGAAAGGTCCTATAGATAGATAAAAATAAGCTGAACTTCACCTTACAGTCTGAATAATTATTGCAAACTTGCAGTTATTTTGAAAATAGCATGTTATTAGAAAGAAACAAAGAAAAGATATTTCACGTAATAGCAGAATTTTTGAAAAGCCTTAAATGAAACTTGGGCAACAGAAATGTAGCTCATGTATTTGTTTGTTATCTTTAATTCTAAATAAATCTAAGTATGCAAAACTTGGAAAGTTTTTTAATTCAAATATAACATTATTACAATTTTAAGTTGAACTGATATTGATCAATATTGCACTAAGGAATACTTTAGTTGTTATCAGCTTTACTGATATATTTACTTGTTATACTTTAGTTGTTCTAAAAACAAAATTCACGATGGTCTACGAGATAAATTTTGATCTCTTTTTCTATGGCCCTTTTTTTTAAAAGTGAATGTGCATCCTTATTTTAATGTTGTAATCTTTTCTACACTGAAGCAATATTTTTAACAATGCTATGCTGTCAATAATGTTGCAATCATGATGGATTTCTATACTCTCACAAAAATGCATAACCTGCAGTTAAAAAGTTTCATATTTATCTGCATTTTAATTAACTATATAAATTTAAAAAAAAGATATTAAAAAAATTTGATCATATATTTGAATTATTGTTATTTCATGTTGTCTTTCACATTTTTGAACAATCAATCTTGACAAAAATGTTATTAGTGAAATTTTTCGATTACAACTCATAATCATGATTACAATATTAGTAATTTTGATTACAATTGTAATGGAGTTTACAACAATCAATTACAATATTCATAATTTTGATAAATTCATAATTGCGATTATAAATTTTGATAACAGTAATCATGATTACAGTAATCAATCAATCCTCACCTTAACACCAACATTCATAATTTTGATTACAATTATAATTATGAACTATAATCAAGTACTAATAATTGTTATTACTAGTAATTAAATTATAGGATTACATACAACGATAATTATAAGTAATTGATTGCATAGCTTAATTACTGTAATCGACATGCAACTCTGATTCACATAACCTATTCTACAATAAATTTCAAACAAGTTTACTTTTACGCCAATTAATTTTTATAAAATACTTTTGAACAAAATATGAGTTTATTTAATTTATATTGTTTAATTAAGGAATAATAAAATATAAAAACTTTTTACCCACAAGATTGTTTTGGATATTCATCTGCGTAGATATATATTTCGAAATGCAATATTAATAGTAAAAACTTTTTTTAAAAAATATAGTAAAGTATCATTTATACGTTTCTCATTTCTGCATTGTTTTATGGCAGCCACTGTTCATTCTTAATTTTTGCAATGTCAAAATGGTTTGTATAAAAATGTACAATGCTGATGTCAATGTAAAAATGATATTTTTAAAATACATTTGAGTATTAATTTTTAAGATGTAAGTGAAAAATTAAAAAAAAAAAAATTCTTGCAAATTATAATATATTTGAGAAATGTGAAGATTTTAGAAAAAAAATATTTGTCAAAATTTGCTGAGCAACAAACTTGCGACTCTCCTTTTGTAGTTATCCTTATTTGTTTTAGAGAAAGAGACATTTAATAATCTTAAATTTATTACTATGTATATATACCACTTTTCATTTACTATTTATCATCTCTATTTGTAATTTTGAATTTTACTACATAAACCTTAACAGTTTATAGGTATTTAAAGTTTATATTATGCCTCAGCTTTTTTTCATACGAAGAAAGACTATAGCATTTTCATATTAAGTTTAGAAAAGATATATATGTTAGAGAATATTTTTAATATATAATTAATTGTAACATTCATTATATAATTTACTTAAAATAATGTAATTAATTGTATATTTGACAAGAATAAGAATAAAATGATTTTTGTCACAATATATATAGGTTTGGACCCTGTAAGTATAAGTGTCATGCTGCTGCTTCTTATAGAGCAGCATTAGCTCGAAAGGTTAAAACAACTATTGATGGAAAAAAATAGTCTTCAGGAATACTTTCTGAGTAAAATTAGCGAGTCATTCAGCTAACTGTGAGGGGGAAATATATTTTATATATCTTGTTGATTATAACAAATTAGTGAGCAAATCTATTCTTCAAGATAGGTAAAAGTATAATCATGGACAGACATAAAAATATTTTTTTATTCAAGTATTCATTATTCACAAGACATAATATAGTTATCTATAATAGCAATAACATTTCATAATATAAATTAACACAACTTACTTAATTTTAACTACTTCAATAATGCTAAATTTGGATTTGGCAAAATAATCATATGACATAAGAGTATTATGCATTGATAAAATATTTAATTTCCAGTTTAAATAATAAGTATTAGAAAAATTTTACTTTCATGCTATATATTAAAATTCAATTTATAACAGGAAAAACATGTGGTAAAATAAGAATAAATCAGATCAAAGCATTATTATTTATTCAGGGTATTACTTATTCTTATCTAATAAATTAGATCACTATCAGACTCTGTTTTCTGTAATTTTTCTGTGCTGCAAAGCAAACTGTAACAAGTTGAATACCTAAAACTATAACTACAGTGTAACTTTATGATTTCTAAAAATAAAAATATGAGAATAGGGTTACTGAGTAGAATAAAGAATTAACATGACTATAAGCAGTTAGATTATATCTCAAATAAAACCTCTTATTACTTTTATTATAGAACGTACAAGAATATTTTTGATCATTAACATAATGCCAGACTTAGATAAAATGAAAAACTTTCTGCAAAAAACTTTCAAACAATTTATTTACTCTTATAACTAGTTTCAACTCTTTGACGCTCCCTAATTTTGACAAAATTTGTTTGAAAATCACTAATTTTTTTAAAAGTATTTTAATTTCTATAAAATACCAGTATAAATTTCTTTAGATCTAGCAGTTTTTTGAAGAAGAAAACTAATTATTGGCTTGTTAAATTTCCTGTTTTTATATTATAATCTGACCGTTCTTTTTTTAATTGATGATTAGTAATTATTAAAGAATTTTCCATAATGGTGATAAATTTTCCGTATACGGTGTTTGTGCATTCCTATAAATTATGCATATTTGTTGAGTGCATATGTGAACATTTAGATTACTTTTATTTGGAAAACTTTTATTACATCTGCCACAAGAATGAAGTTTTTCACAAGCATGAACTTTATTATGTTTAGTTAGATTACCCTTATAAAAAAAACTTTTACCACAGGTACTACAAGAAAAAGGTTTATTAACAGAATGAATTAAGTTGTGATTAGTTAAAGCACTCCTCTGCGAAAAACTCTTACTACAAATATTACAAGAGTAAGGTTTTTCACCAGTATGAATATCACTGTGTTCAGTCAGATCACTCGGTTGTAAAAAACTTTTGTGACATACACCACAAAAAAGCGTTTTTTATTAGTATGACGAAGAGTGTGATAATTTAAACGCTTTTCGTGAGAAAATTTTTTACTACATATATTACAGGAATAGGGTTTTTCACTGCTATGAGTTCGATTATGAACATTTAGCTGACTCTTCTTTGGATAACTCTTGTTGCAAATACTACAAGAATAAGGTTTTTCACGAATATGAACTTTATTATGTTTAGTTAGATCAGTCTTAAAGAAAAAACTCTTACCACAGGTACAACAAGTAAAAGGTTTTTCAACAGTATGGACTAAATTGTGATTAGTTAAAGCACTCCTCTGTGAAAAACTCTTACTACAAATACTACAAGAATAAGGTTTTTCACCAGTATGAATATAACTATGTTCAGTCAGATCACTAGATTCTAAAAAACTCTTGTGACACATATCACAAAAGAAACGTTTTTTGTTGGTATGAAGAAGATGGTGATAATTTAAACCCTTTTTGTGAGAAAAATTCTTATTACATATATCACAAGAATAGGGTTTTTCACCAGTATGAGTCCGACTATGAACAGTTAGCTGACCCTTCTTTGGATAACTTTTATTACAAATGCTACAAGAATAAGGTTTTTCACCAGTGTGAAGAAGATAGTGGCTTGTTAAACTTTGTTTGGTAGAGAAGCTTTTATTACATATACTACAAGCATAGGGTTTTTCTCCAGTGTGAGTGCGATTGTGATTAGTCAAATAACTGCTCCTTGAAAAACTCTTATTGCATATACTACAAGAAAAAGGTTTTTCACCGGTGTGAAGAAGATTGTGATCATTTATGCTAGTTTTGGTAGAAAAACTTTTATTACATATACCGCAAAAATAGGGTTTCACGCCAGCATGAACCCGTCCATGGTTAGCTAAGTATTTCTTCTTTAAAAAACTTTTAAAACATATACTACAAGAATAAGGTTTTTCATCATCATGAACATTATTATTTTCAGGTAAGTCACTGTTTGATAAGCTTATATTTTATATACTACCACCCTGTCCTTTGTTGCTTGTAGCCAAATTATCTTTTTGCATAAAATTAAAGAGTCAAGTTTTTGAAGGATGGACATTACTATGAATAGATAACATTAATGTTTAGTAAAGCTCTAATTACTATGATACAAAATATTTTTACAGAATGAAATAAATAGTTTGTGGAGAGTATTAATATTACTATTTCTTATGTAACAAAGGCAACAGAAATATGTAAATTAGTATGAATATATCAAAATCATCATACAATGGAATCAAAAAGTGGAGATCAATGAAATATTAATATTAAATGCCTATTAGTTAATGAAGATGATAAGCCTAGTTTCAGCTATTCAATGTACAAAGAAAAAATTTCAAGGGCATCCTTTCTTTTGGCTATTCATCTAAGCTATCTTCAAGAACCATGAAACAAAGAACAGTGTTTTCAATTTTAAGTAAGCAATCCTGAAAAAATAATGAATATACATTTTTATATTATTGCATATTAAACAAATATCTTTCATAACTAGTAAATATCCAAATAATGTATCTTGGCAATAGTTTCCCTCACATAGTTCAACTAGTATTTAAATTCATAAATCATGAAAGTAAGTTAAGGTATAAACTCACTTTCCTGACTCTTTGGTAAAAATGAAATTTTAAAATTTAAGTTTGCTGTTGTTAAGTTTGAAGAAATAAATTATAATATTTACTGCAATTAAATGAGCTTTTTCAAGTCATTACAAATGAAAAAGATGTTAAAATCAAAGCTGGAGTCTGTAGTTGAACTCTTCAACCTTAATTTTGAAAGAGATCTTATCTTACATAAATGTCTTAGGACAAGAAGATTTTTAGTCAATGTTCATGAACTAGATAACTAATAAAAAATAATACACTAATTCATTTACATAATTTTTTTTCAATTAATTCTGCAGATTAGTCAAATATATTTGGTTTTAAAATTTTTAAATAATAAGATAAATTATTAATAATTCACTTATAAATATAAAATAGTTTCAACAATTTTCTTTGTTCTTTTTGAATAGTTTAATAAACATAACTCAAAAAATGCTAAATTTGTTTGATTAAGTTTCAGTTTGCAATAATTGTTATATATTTTTCCAGTTAATTATGAATGTCAAAACATATTTGACTAAAGAAACTTATATGAATATGACTTCTTTTAAGTTATTTCAATTAAATTTTAATTAGTAGGAGTCAGATTTAGATAAAACTTTCCGCTAGCAATTTATATTAACCATTTACAGCCAGTTTCAACTTGTTCATCACGGCTTAATTTTGACGAAATTTGCTTGAAAATCAGTTTTTTTTTTTTTTTTAAAGTGTTTTAATTTTTAAAATACTTAATACTGATTATTATATAAATCAGCATATATTTCTTTAAATTTCACAGTTTTTTTGGAGGCATAAAACTAGTTATTGATTTAACAAATTTTGTGTTGTTATATCTGTTGTTGTTGTTAATTTACATTACACTAGAGCTGCACAATGGGCTATTGGCGACGGTCTGGGAAACATCCCTGAGGATGATCCGAAGACATGCCATCACAATTTTGATCCTCTGCAGAGGGGATGGCACCCCCGCTTCGGTAGCCCGACGACCTGCACGAGAAGTCGAGCACTTTACGGTAGAACAGTTTAACGAGGACCAATACCGCACACTCTTGGTCCTTACGCAGACTAATCCAAGTGGTCACCCACCCACACACTGACCGTAGCCAGTGGTGCTTGATTTTGGTGATCTGCTGGGAACTGTGTCTTAACAATCAGTCCACTGCGGGACATTGTTATATCTAAATTTTTAAAAATTTACTGTGGAGTAGATTGTGGGAATTTTAACAGATTTTATTTTCATAATGAGCAACATTAAAAAACTTTCGACTAACAACATTTGCACCTTCATGTATATTATGCATATTTGATTGGAGTGTAGCGAATTCACCGGCTTCTACAAAATTTTCTTCAATTCTGCTTTTATAGTCGCAGTTAAAATTGCAATTTACTGCATTTGTTTTATACTTTTCAGAATGAATAAGATTTGTTATAAATTGTTGCTATAGTGAAAGCTTTGACTAGAACTATAATAAGTATTTATATTTATTCACAAACAAAAAAATAAAGTTTATTTTTTATACGTACAAGAGAACACTAAATTAATCAACTTTTATTTACATATTTTGTGTCACAAACATTAAAGAATAACATTTCAATTTCGTATAAATAAGATCAAAGGTGTAAAAGATGGGTCCACCAAGGTAAAGTATTCTGTCGTTGGTTGCTTTTCATTATTTTTTTATTTGTGGTAAAATTTTTCTTTCTGTAATTTTTCTTTTACGCACAGTAAAAATTAATTTGTTCTTTTAAATTTGGAGAAAGTTCAATCTAGTATCATTTCTTTTTGTTGCTTACATACTTTAAACAAAATAGCAAAGCTATCAGTCAAGAATCTGCATCCTCAATCATCACACATTTTTATTTCAAACAATAGTGTAAATTCAAAAGAACCAATACAAGACAATTTAAGTCAACTGCGCTATTTATTTAAGAAATTCGCAAACAAATCTTTTTACAACATTTATAAAATGTTAACATTAAATGTTGGAATTTGGAGCATTCCCACCCCTGAAAGCTTTGCCATGACAACACTGAGTAAGATGAAGTTAATTTCAATTAGATTTACTTTTGAGAGTAATATAAACAGGATAATATCAAATTACATTGAATTTCAACAGGCTTACACTGCACATTACAGAAATAATGCTCTGTATTAACAGAAGGAAGTTAAAAAATTTCATCTAAAGATGTTTAAAAAATTTAAATATGTGCAGGTTTTATTTAAGAAAAATACACACTTTAATAAAAACTTCATTTCATTTAATACAAAAAAAGTTTTATCAAAAATACAAATAATGTTAATATACTCTATTCCTACCAACTTTAGATATCAAATTTCTACATAATAAGAATTTGGGAATAATTCAAAATCGCTACCTCATTTTGAAAACTAATTGTATTTAGAATGATTTTTAAAAAAACTGTTTAGTGGCCACTAAATCTTACCGTTAGTTTGAAAAATAGTTCATAAAAATAAGACCATTAGTTCATAAAAATAAAAAGCTCCAGCAGACTAAAGGAATAACTTATATTAATAATTTGTTTATTAAGTTTTTTTAATATTATAGTAAATACAATTCACTCTCACTCAATTTTTTACATTCATCGCTCGTAGATTCCAGTGAAAAAAATATAGTTTTAACTGCACCTACACTGCATATATGTCCAAAACATCGAGAGTATTTGTTTACTTTTTCAAGAAGAGTTCTTTCGGTTTGATGTGACAGGAGTAAAGTTGAGATGAGAGATAAGCATATTCTGTAGGTTATTCTACTGACAAAAATCCTCTGATTTTTCCTCTGAAAATCTCCTTATTTGCTTCCAGGATATGAAATGGCTATTGAAATTTCTGGATATAATATAATAATTCCCTAAAATGTAGAAATAATCAGATATTCAATTTTGCAGAGAGCTTTTCTTGCTCCGCAGCCTAATGTTGAGACAAATTTGTTCACACTGCATTAATCAGATTCTAAACGTAGTTGCGTTTGCTGATCTGATTCGTTCGAAGTGGACACATGTTTAGTAGCAATGATAATTTTTTTTTTTTACAGTTTTTTTTGTTGAAGATGACTACCGATGAAACTCGAATCTCGATCCTAAATCGCTTTTTGTAAACAAAACATGCCCTTTTTTCCCTGTTAGATTTTTCGTCAGCTTGACTATGTGAAATATATTATCTGGTGTTTGGTGTCGAATGTAAAATAAACTTTTCCAAGAAATTGAAAGTCTCTCTTTCTAAAGATAAAACAAAACAGAATTACGTGAAATCATGGGTTGTAAAGGAAATTGCTGTCAAGCAATCTATTAAATAAAACTATTTCTCTGGTTCGTTAAATTAATGTTTTCTAGGGTATTCATCCTTTTTTTTTCTTCTCTAGTTAAAGTTTCTAGAATGATTTTAATAGCATATTATATTGGTTTTTTATGCAAATAAATATTTGAAGAAATTTTTTTTTTCTGTCTGAAATCTTCATAATTAAAGCCATAAATTTATGAGAAAAATTTCAATTAAATCTCCATTATTGCTAAATTAGAATGAAAATTTCTTTGTGCTGCCACTTCAGTGTAAGATTTACTCTCTACAGTTTGTTTTAACTTGTAATATTATGTTCACTTGCAGTATAAGTAAATAAATTCATCTTTAAGAATTTGATAATGTCTTGGTATTTACAAGTATCTAGTGTTATGAATGCTTTTATTCCAATGTTTTTGGAGATAGAATAAGTTAAACTGTCTCTGCAACTCCTACTTATATAGAATGGCTTTAAATCAATCAGTTTATCAAACAAACCAAATAGCCAATTGGAAATTGCCCAATTCATGCAAGGCCAACGGTAAGAAGATCGGGGTGATCGAGAGAAAAATATCACAGACGGGAACAGACTTGAAGTTTTACCACCTTTAACCATCCTTCGGCAAACATAATCAAATATATATTATTTTTGTTAAATATTTTTGTTGTTGTCTTGAGCATTGTAGTTTATGTAAACACGTACCAGTATGGAAATATCCTCACTACCTGTTATTGGAAAGTTGTTTAAAATATTGTGCTTCTCTAACAATATAGTAATCTATACCTTGCTTTTAAAATAACTTGAAAAATGCTCGAAGTAGTGTTCAGTGTTAACAAAGATGCATTGAGATTAAAGAGGCTTACTCAAACATAAAAAAACTCTAGACCTAAAAAAATTAACTGTGATGTTACAAATATAGCAATAATTTTTTCGCCAAGTTCAGGAAAATTATTTTATTAAAGTTGTTAGAAGAAAGTTGTAATGACAGTTACTGATATTTTTTCTGCAAAAGTATTTGTTTAAAAATAAGATATAGATAAGCATCAAAAAGTAAAAATGATAGGTTCTCTATGTATCTTGCTGTAAATCAATGTGATAAAACATTTACGCTTTGGCTGAATTTTTTCTAGCTTTCTGCATCAAATCTTACTAGCACTAATGTTTTTCTGCAAGTTATTTTCAATTGTAATAAATACAGTGAATTCGCGATAACTTGAATCTGATAGGACTGACGAAAAACTTCGACATATCGGAAGTTCAACTTACCGTTAGTTTCGGTTTTGGGCTTTCAAAATATTGTCGGATTATTTATTTAATGCTTATTAATTACAAATCTTCTAAATGCTTACAATATTTAAGATCATTTTTTTGACAAGCCATTTACGATAAGACTGTTTGAAACACTTTATGATATCCTGGTCCATCGACTGCAACTTTGCTGTTGTGTTTGGCGGGAGAAACTGCGGGTTTGCTGCTTTCAAATTAGGTAGATCACTATGCGCTGTGCATTTATCTGTAAAAAGTATCACTTTTCTTTTTTTTAGCGAAGAATTTACGATCCAATTTTCTTACAGTCTTCAAATAAAAATGATGTCATCCAAAACTTTTTGCTAGACTTGTAATCCAAAGGATGAGTTTTTACATTCTTGAAACATCGGGGAGTTCGGTATTTTCCGATAACAAGTGAGGGCAATTTCTCTGTCCCAGACGCATTTCCTTCAACTAGGACAGTCTAACGTTCCTTNAATAACACAAAGACTAACTAAAAATGAAATGGAACATGGAAGTAAAAGCTATAAAATTATAAATTGTTATTTTTCTGGCACTTGAATGCCAAGGAATAATTGGAAACTGCTAAATGCTTGCTTATTGTACACTGTTCTCTATAAGTTATAATGAGAGTTACTTTAATAAACGAGTATTTTTTATTTTTTTTTAAAAATATAGTATTCCAATCCAAAGGGTTAAAAAAAATTCCTATGCGTCGTATTTTCTGAAACTGATCCATATATTCTACTTCGTAAAGAATTCATTTTTTTATATATTATTTTGTCTGCTTAAACGCATTATAATTTGCAGTGAACAGATGAATTTTAGACAATAACGGTGGTTTTGTTTTAATGATCTTTTTATTTGAATTTCGCTTTTCTCCCAATCGAAGGGAAGCGATTAACGACGTTTATGGCTTGTCTTTATTTAGATCACTGGTTGTGATTTTTATCATTTAAAAGAAGCTTACAGTGAAAACTTCTGTATTCAATTATTTTATCCAAACCAAAAAGAGTTTACTTGTATGTATGTAATTGGTTTAATTAAACTGCATCTAGATAATAAATTCCTCAATCACAAAACACCCCCCATGAAAAAACTATACATACGTGCTTGATTATTATTATTATTTTTTTTTTTACCCTTGCGATCTGCAAAAGTATATGCAGGGATAAGAATTATTTCTTTTTTCCACCATAATATGAAGAAAAAAAATAGATGATACGGAAATGAAATCCAGCCTTTAACTACAGTGCGATGAAAATCTATCATTTTTTTCTCAAGTCTCCCATATAAGAGGATTATAACCAACTCTTAATTTCAGGGTGCTTAAAAATTTCACATTTTGAAAAAAACTGCAGATTTGAAGTGAAATTGTCATGGCTAAAGCAATTCATTAAGTGATTATTTAAAAGCACAATTCAGAATTTTCGGATTGTAATAATATTCTATTAAAAATTAAATCAAAATTTTAAAAACCTTGTGGAAATCCCAAACTGTTGAAAATGTGATCGATGAAACCATGTGCTGAATAAAATCGTCCTAAACCAAGTGATGAAAAAATTGTCAATGATTGCTTGCGCAATTCAAAGTTCGCCGCATGATTAATATCATATAAAAACATTAAGATTTTAAAAACCAAGGAAAAATCCGTTTTAAAATCTACTGATAAAAAAATATGACTGTCAAAGCAAAGCGGATTCAATGTAGAATCTTCGCTAATCGAGTGGATCAAGAAATGATAACTAACTAAAATGCATGATTCAGAATTTGCGGTATGTTATAATGGCATAATAAAATATCAAGATTTTAAAAACCTTGTCGAAATCTGTAATAAAAGGTGAAAAAATAATGCAACAACGCAAAACGTTTGGATTTATTTTTTGTTGAATTAAATTGAAGTTAATTATCGTATATTTTTAATTTTTTATTGAATAAGGATGTTTTGATGTTTAATTTAAATACACACAGAAAAATCTATTTTCTGTACCTAGCGAAGCTCCGATGATTCAGGATATGGGACTTTCCTCTATATGTGTGTGTATATATATATGAGAAAAGAACTATGTATAGAGAATACATGTTCTAATACTATCGGTTATATTCTCATGTTTTTTTTTTTTTTTTGAAAATCACATTCTACCTTTTTTTACCTTTTACAAGTCATAATTATGTAACAAAAAAACAGGATTTTAAAAATCATGTAATCCATGACAATATAACTGCTGAAAAGTGGATCAATGTCTAAAGCAAGTAGATTTAGACGGAATTTGCATATTGAAATAAAAAATATATTATTTTAAAAAATAGCTGGATTTTAAAAGTGAATCACTGACAATGACTTTCAAAAAATTAATTAAGAAAAAAGAGTGAAGTGATTCTGCCTCCGGGTATATTTATATATTATTGCATAATATATTTAGTGCCATGAGTGTTATATGTTCAATAAATGCATAAAGTTAAATCCTTATCAAAGCTCACACCTTTCAATTTAAATATAAAACTATAGAGACTAATGCATTTGCAGCGTCTGTCTACGTTTTTCTGAAAGGTACCTATTTTGTGAAAATTTAGACATAATTTGTGAAAAATTAAAAATTATATTAAAAAATCAATACAAAAACATGGTAAAAATATAGATTTATCGTTTTTTAAGGGATACAAAAATAAAATTTTAAGAAAAAGTATTTTGTGAAACTACCGTTTTTCCTAAAGTTGAATTTGTGAAACTACCGTTTTACCTAAAATTGAATTTGGGAAGGTACCGCTATACTGTAGTAAATTCGGCCTGGACAGACCCCTGATTTGTTACTCATTTTTCTGTATTACATTACAGATTTTATTTTCATTAATTTCACCCATCTCTAGTTTAAAGAGCAGATTCCTTCAGGTCTTGCGACCTTTCTATAAACGAGTTTAACTGTTCAACTTTTTATTTCTAGAGCATATTTTCACATCGTATTGGTATTTCATCATACCAATTAGAATCGTGCAACAATGCCAACCACAATTTTAAACATGCACAAATTTAAAAATTTTTTTGTAGAGGTTTGCTCAGGTGTGGCTACAAGTTACTTCCTACGAGTTGGTCCCCTTCTGTGGTACTTTTTTTAGTTGAAATTCTATTTTAAAAAATCAAATCGTCAAAATTAGACCTAAATAGAATTAGACTTCAAACATTTGTTGAGAGTTTCATGTTTTGTAGATGCATGATATTTTTGTCTAGTTTTGTCTAATTCTTAATTTAGTTATGTAATAATTTAGATTTTATGCTCCTAATCTGTTTTAATTTTATTTCAGGTTATAGGAACTCTGAAATAACTTCAATTCTCTATGTACTGAAGTATATGGTGGCATCTATTTAGAAATTTTTTAATGGCTTTTCGTGATTTTCCAACTGTTTGGGTTCCTAATAGTCCAGATACATTGCTTGATATTTCTTTGTTTAATTGTTGTAAAAATCCTCTCACATTTTGCACTTTTCATCCAAGCTTAGGCTATAGACTGCGTGAGGGATTAGCATTACCTCAAGAAATATGTGAACGCATGCTAGAAGTATGCAGGACACAGATGTGTGATGATGACTTTTATAAATTTATCAGAATATTTGCTGACAGTCCAACTCGCCTTCGTCATGTCGACCTGCGAGACACACCTGTGAGAGACAGTGACCTTGTGGTTTTTCTATACCACCCTATTACTGAGCTCAACCTAAAAGGTTGTACGAAATTAAATCGTGGTGCCTTGAAATGCTTGTCTAAATTTAGTGGGAGTTTGCAAACTTTGATTTTAGGATCAAATCCTGATCTATTTAATGATGATGATATTCCTGCTGGAAGTTTTGAAGGTACTGCTAAAGAAGACACCTCATCAAAAACTAGAAGAGAGGATGTTCCTTCTGGCAGTTTAGATGGTTCATTTAGATCATCTCAGCTAGCTCAAAAATTAGCCCATCATCCCCAAATAGCTCTGCACCCTCAGTTAGGGTCTTTTTTCAATGTGAGGAATCCAAAGTTAACTGAAGAAGACTTTTTTAGAGACTGCATGAGGATTTGGCTGACAAAAGATGAACCGAAAAAAGATGAAACTTTAAAACTTCTGGATAGTCTTCCAAAGTTGACTTCTTTGCCAATGCTGCGTAAACTAGTGATACATGAACTGACCAAAACTGGGAAAAGTGTAGAATTTTTGCAAGTTATTAAGACAACTAGTCGGTTAACTCATCTTGATTTGTCTCATAGCAAAGTGTGGGGTTTTGAGTCTTTCGTTAATCATCCTTTGCTGTCTTTGGTTTTGTATAATGTTAAAGATTGTATTAAAGATTGCTTGCCATCAATTTATCTTATAAAAACTATTAGGTAAGATTATTCTATCTGATTTTTTAAATTATTGAAATTTTTTTAGCTATAGATAGGATACAGCTTTTACAAGCTTAGAAACAAAAATATTAAGTTTTCTTTTTCTTTTCTCGTTTTATCTACAATGAAGAGCCAAAAAAACTAGTATACCTGCCTAATATCGTGTAGGCTCCCCTCGAGCACGCAGAAGTGTCGCAACACGACGTGGCATGGATTCGATCAATGTGTGAAGTAGTGCTGAAGATAATTGACACCATGAATCCTGCAGGGCTGTCCATAAACCAGTGGGAGTAAGAGGGGGTAGGGATATCTTCTGAACATCACGTTGTAAGGCATCCCAAATATCCCAGTGATGTCGTAGATTTGATGTTTTACTGGATTTCCGATACTCACAGTATACTCGTGAAATGGTCGTACGTGAAAATCCAAATTTCATTGCTATGTCCCATCTCCCGCGCGCCGACTATAACACCACGTTCAAACTCACTTAAATCTGTATAACCTGGCATTGTAGCAGCAGTAACCAATCTAAGAATTGTGCTAGACACTCGTTGTCTTATATACATGTTGCCGATCGCAGCGCTTTACTTTGATTGGCTCCATACCCCCTTTATTTGCATACTCATGCATGTACCAGTTTTTTTGGCTCTTCAGTGTATAAATCTTTTTCTGAAGTTTGGACGTAAGTTCATTACTTTTCTCTTTATAATGTTGTATCCAGTCTAGAAAATTTGTTTTAATAATATTCAATAATTCATTACACCTAAGGTTCCAATTTTTTTATTTATTTGTTTATTTTTGCTATGGAACCTATCACCTTTTGGTGAAATCTCTACTTCAGTTTATGTAATATATTCCCTAAAAACATCAATTTCATAAGTTGTCATTATGCAACATAGTTCACATTAATTCACAAATCAACTAATTGACTTTAGAAACAATTTTCTTCTTCGCATCTTATCCGAGTGCAAGTACTCAACCAAATATTTCTATCTTACATGGTCTAATTAGATTACATGTATTGGTGCATCATTTTGCAACTCCATTAATCCTATAACTTAGCAGGAATGATGTTCGTGTTGCATTTTTAATGTAGGCTTTTGCATATCATGTAAAAGTCCTAGAAACACTGTATCCCTTCACAAAACCCTAGGGTTCCGCTGAACACTATTAAACAAAAAATTCTCTATCATTCTCTCATTTGACTCTATTAACTTTTGCATAAACATAATTAAAACGAATGCTGATGACTTAAACTTCTATAAAAAATTATATTATTTTTAAGTAATTGGTTAAATGCAATGTTTTTATTATGTGATTATGTTTTAGGCATTTGGATATCTCCAGTACAGAAGCTCACACAGTGAAATATGAAAATCCCAATCAGGTTTTAAAAACAATTGTTGACAATTTAGTGAATTTAACATCACTTGATATATCTGGCACAAATTTGGCTGGGAAGGGAACTATTGAACGATTTCTAGATTCTAAAAGGTAAAAAAATTTATTTTTATTTTAATAGTTATAAAGTTTGATAATATCTAATTGTGGGTTGAACAGTGAAAGTTGCAGCTAATAATTTTTATACATTCTGTCCGAAGATTTTTTTGGTGGCAATAAATTTTTAGCAAAACTCATGGCTTCAAGTCCATCTAACCAGACAGCATTATGGTTGAACAGAGCAAAGGTAATCTTTCAGTAGTTTATATGCTCACAACTGTTGGTCAACACAGCAATTAACAGGTTAGAATAGAATAGTATGAGAAACAGACACCTAGTCGTATTTATCTTGTGATCTAATTTACATAACATTGATACCAACAACCAAACTTTTAATATTAACTATCAAGAATTACTTGGAAAAATAAATGTATGCTAATTATTTACAAGTACAGAAAAATATATGTTAATTCCTTACTTATGACATACCTTGCGACCACTCTGCTTCCTGATGAACCATCGCACACCTATTGAAAGAGGTATTAAACAAAGACATCTAAAATAAACAAATCCTGAATTTTGGTGGTAAAGTCAGAATTCGCCGATCGAAAGGATGTTACATTAATGTCTGAGTAATGGATGTGGTTATCACTATAACATTTTGTATGTGTACATTTTGTGGTTATCACTGTAACATTTTGTCTGTGTACATTTTGTGGTTATCACTGTAACTCTGTTGCTAAAATTATAAAGTCAAACAATTTTGTTACTTTTAACTCACAATGGGCACTTTTATTTGCCCCAGAATAATGCATTTGTTATTTTTATGGGTCATTTTACTTAGCACCAGATATATTAAATTTGTTTTGATAGAAACCTCTATGTAAAAAATAAAGTGAATTATTATAAATTTAAGTAATCAAACTTCCAATGGTTTGCTTATTTGCTAAAAGTGAACTCAGAAAGAAATGTTAAAAGAATATTAGATGCAAATCTAGAAGGATCAAGATCTTAAAAAAGACTAGAACAAAATGAGATGAGTATAGATTGAAGAGAATTTGAAATTGTTAAGAATTACCAACTACTAGAAAAAGAATCCAACAGAAAATGATGCTTCAAAATCTTGAAGTTGGGCAGGGCACTACAAGGGTTGTAATGCTAGGATGGCGATAAAAATGTTTGCTTAGCACCGAAACATTACATTTGTTACTTCTTGCTCTTGCTCATAATATACATCTTCTAAAGTTTATAATTCGAATAACTGACACCCCTCGAGTTCATTGTATTTGATCTTTTATATATTCTTGGATTGTTTTAGGCTCTTCTTTTTTAACTGTTAATGTCTATTTATGTTTATGAACTATTATATTTATTACCTATGAATATTTCTATTATTGCCCTTTCCTACGCACTAAAAAAACATTTTGGCACATGATTACGAAATACATTTAACACTCAACAAAATTTTCTGCGATATTTCTATGACTGCATACTGCAGTTGCTACTTTGCAATGTTTTAGTCTGTAACATTTAAGGCTGTCTTTTTAGTTAAACATTCGTCATGCTTATCTGAACATGATTTTAATTGCAAATTTTCTTTTAGCAAAGTCAACGAAGACGATGAAGAGGAAACATCCTTAACTGATATCCCTGGTCTTGCAAGTAGAGTACATAGACCCCTTGAATTTTTAGGACTATTAAATTGCTCTCATCAAGCATGCTATCGACATCATATACCAGCTATCAGGGTAGGTATTATTTATTGTTTCTTTATATTGTATGTGACAATATAATTAAATAAGAATTTTATTTGTTCAGTTTATATACATATTTTAAATATCATTGAATTTTTCTGATTTAAGCATTGTATTATGGAATTAAGAAATTCTTATGTAATACTCATTCACTCAAAGTTTAGTACAATAAATTTTTTCACGGTTATTGCTACTGATATCTATGTGGTTTTCTTAAATCCTGATATTTTCATGCAATATTATTAAGAAACAAGAAATTTGTATTTCACATTTGAGTCATTACTCTTTGACAGGCTTGATTTTTGCTAAATCTATGTAACGTTTCATTTCTTTCCCCTCAGTTATTGCTGTTGGTTTTCATCAGATTTTTTGAAATTCCAATATTATTATAATACAAAAAAATTTCAAGTGCCTGAGTATTCACTATTTGACTTGATAATTCTATCTTTTTTTTTTTCAATTAATTTTTCTGCAGTTATCACTACTAATTTTCTCATATATTTTTAAACTCTACAACACTACAATACAACATGTGAACTTCAAAATGTTAAATCAATTTACCCTTTTTGACGCATCCAATTCATGTGGTTTTATTATCAATATTTTTTTCGTTTATTGCCGCAGATTTCACAGTTCAATTTTTTTAATGGGATGACAGCTTTCTAATTTTGAAAAATGTGAAATATTTAATTGTTTTTCAATCTATATATTCTTTTATGGGGAAAAAAAAATTTATTTTTTAGAATTTTTTTCTCTTTTTAAAATTTATAAGTGTACCTTTTATATATAGTAATTATAGTCTTTTATTTATCTTCTATGTACTTAAAAAAATAATATAAATAAATAAAAACTGGTCACCAGGAAAAAAAATTCAGATAATTTCTATTTTTCCAGCTTTCAGCTAATTTCCAGCAATCACATGTCTGATTTCTGTACTTGAAATTTCACTATAATACTAAAAATGTCTTTTCTTGGGCAGCAATAGTAAAAATTGAGGAAAAAATATGAGAAGTGTTAAGTTATTTGATAAATTTTTAAATTCAGATAATGTAACTCTATTTTAAAATGTTACTTCTATTGCATTTGTATCAAAGTACATTTTTTAAAACTATTTTTGCAGATTGCTGGAGATAATGGCGAGGAACAGATTCTAACGGCTGGTCAAGCATATTGCACAAGAGAATCAGCAATTCAAAAAGTACTAAATGATCTCTTCTCACTATTTCGTTTTTCTGAATGTAAAAACATCCCATTGGCACTTGACATCATCATGGAAGCTATGCGTATACACTTAAGAAAAAAGAGCATTCAAGTAGCTGGCAGGTATATTTAAGATTCCATTATGTCATTGATTCCTAAATTTTTTTCAAGTCACAACCTCTTATATCAAACAGTGATTCCGCTTATGCTTGACTTAGCATTCACTTTAAATGATCTCATGCGAATTGATTAACCAACTGTAAGCAATCTGTGGAGCATTCTTTCTACTTCTTTAATTACTTTGAATGTTGGTGCTTCTATCATTGCATGAAGTATTTCTGATATCCTTTTTTTTCTTTATGGTGTCCTTTTTTTACTTTAGGCAGCTATTAAACTTATTAATGAAATTATTTAAATGAATACTTTGTTTTTATTTTAAAATTTTCATAGTAAATTTAACTTGTAAAACTGATATAAAACTATAAATTTAGTTTACCAAAAGGACCTATTAGGTTTTCATTTAGTGGCATGAATCCAACAGATAATTCATGTTGTAAAAGTAAAATTATGTTGTAATAGTGCTTGTCTGAAAACAATTGCCACTTTTAGTTGTGACTTATTTTATAAATTTTTGCATCTTTTATACTAATTTTTACTCTATATATTTTTCAGTGCTTCTCTTTTCTATATTGTGAAATCTGAACATAAAGAAACATTTAATGTAAAGATAAGAAGGTGGGTATATTTGTATTGAAAATCTTAGGTAACATGTATTTCTGTCGTTGACTGTTTACATATATATTAAATTAAAGATGCCCAAATTTACAAGAATTCTTTAAAAAGCTTCATAACAACAGGATAGTAGTGCTCATAACGTACTCTGAAAAAAGAGTTATCCTAATGCTTGTGTAGTAGTCCAAATTATTGAATAATCATCTCTAAGCACAATTACTTATAATAAACTATATGTAAATGTTTATTGCTCTCAAAGTAGCTTTGTTAGCATCTAACACGCAAAATTTAATCGAAGTCAATGTAGTTGTAGTAATATTATTATTTCAAATAAGCAGGATTCTCTAGCTCTGCTCATTAAAAAAGAAAGGAGAGGGCAGTTTTGTAGGAACAAAAGCATTATGAAACACTTGCTCTTCATTTAAAATGTAAAATTAAACAAGATTTTTAAAAGCAAACAAAAAGTTCAAGTGAGAAAGTTAGGAACTTTTTTTTTCCGATTATTAAACCAGAAGGTATGGATAAATGAAAATGAATTCTTGCAAAAGGTGATTATTGTAAAATTAAAAGTAACAAACATTGTACAAATTCTTTCATAGATTGTAAGCATCTTCTAAAAACAACATCTGACTCTCTTTTTACTTCCTTTGTTTTACTAAGCTGGTAAAACAATGAAGAACAATGGTTTAGTCACTCGAGAAAATAAGTTATTTTATGAGGAAAAAGAAAAGTAAAGCTCCAATTACTTTCAATTAAAAGACTTACAATTTTTTCATTAATTTATTGGGATTTAAACATAAAAATTTAATTTTATCCCAAGCGAATTTGTTTAAAACTGATTAAATATTTTGAGTTTTTAATTAACTTTTCTTATTACTATAGTTGATGTTCCATTTAATGACTCCTTTCATCCAAATGAAAAAGATATTATAATGGTGGGTAATTATGTGTGTGCACAAATATATCATAAATATCTACTCGTAAATATATCATAAATATCTACTCGTAAATATATCATAAATATCTACTAAAAAATAAAAGATTAATTTTGACAAAACAATGTTGTACTTTGATAAGAGTTGACTAACAGAATAATTTGTATAAACATATTGTTTTCTTATAAATGCATAAAAAATGTTTTTGTGAAATAATATATTGTTAGTGAAAAATATGTAAACAAAATAATGCACTGGCTTGGGGAGGCATTTTCTTTAAACATATGTCTAGATAACTGCAATGTGCAAATGAGTTGTGAAGACAATGTGCTTTAAATCCAAAAGAAATCACCCAAAGGGACTAAAATTTTACAAAATGAGTGAATAACAATCTCAAACAAGGAAAGTATGATCATTGAATTTATTATTCCTTTTTAAAGGAAATTTTTGAAGACTAGTAATTTACATTTCACTAACTTTTTAACCAAAAATCATGACCCCCTGGGATAAGAATCTAAAACATCTTGTCTCTCTTCCCTATTCAAAGGGAATTTAAATTGTTTCACATTAAATGTGCAATGACCAAGGCAGGATATAATTTTTTAAAATTAGTAGCAAAGTTAACTAGTGCAAAAAAAAAAAAAAAAACTAGTAGCAAAACTTGGGTTTACACTCTCATTTTTTAAAGTGACATTGCTCTTCATTTTGTGGTGGAAAAAAATGGTTCCTAAATGATTGATGTTCCATATTTATGCTTTATAAAAGTTCAAATAACACTATTTTATGCTATTTTCATGTTGCAAGATATCTAGTGTTTCATTACATTAAAATTAGGCCTTAAATTTAGAGCATTTGGTAAAATAAAAGATTTTTTTAAATTGTTTTTCTAGGAATTTTTTTTAAAAATTCATTAAATGACATACTTATCTCAAAGTAGAGCTTTTTTATAAGAACTTGTCCAAAATTCTATTATTGAAACAGAAAAAATTCAACTTAAAAAAATAAAAATTGTGATAATAAAAATTTTAAAAATTGTGATGACATGGATTTACAATGGAATCTTTATGAATGAAATGTATCAAAAGTGATAATTTAAATTTGCTAGTTGTGAGAACATCGTATAAAAATGATGGGAAATTGAAGGATTCAGTGAAAATGGCTGATATACAATTACTGTAGAAAAACATTTTTATGAATTTGCAGCAGAATCAAAGTAAACCGAACAGGTAAAAAATTTATTACTTAAATTTAAAATTCACTTGTCGTAATTGCATTGTTTTGAAATATTGAAATCGTAATAATGGTGCAGAAATAGTCAGAAATGCAATAAATAGATGCTGAAAAAACAAGCAAAAAACGAGGCATGGTTAAAGTTGGATGCATTCCAAAGTGTGCATATTAACAACTTATAATTCAAATTAAAAATACATATTAACACATATTAGAAACTTTACTGAAATGAATTTCAAGCAAAAATAAAAAAAATTGTAATTTACGAGGGAATCGGCTGAAATAAATTATTAAGTCTCTGAGACCATAAAATGTTATGAGCAATTTTTTACTACTGTGTTTTTCTGGAATTAGCATATGATTCTTTTTTTTTTAACAATCATTTTGCTAGTTGATGAAATTGAGCCCTGGTGGTAGCATAAAAAATTGTGATTTAAATTATGTTCTCAAATCTTTTGCTAAATCAAATGACTTTAAATGGCTCTAGAAGCATTTTCTTTTGAAACGTAAAAATATTCAAAGTTTTTTTTAGAAGTTATTTTCAGAGGAATACAAAATATTTTATTTAAATTTTACACCTAACATTTCCAAATGCTAACTCTGTAATTCTCATCTCTTATAACATCTCTTTTTGTCCACGCCTAAATGAACAATAAGATCCAAGATGGTTATGATGTGAGAGCACAAAAATACTATAATTATTTTTTCATAACTAAAAATTTTAAATTTGACCAACTAGAAAAGAAAAATAGAGTGTCGTTNTTTTGTAGAGTATTTGTTTTATTTAAACTTAGGGATATTAAGGAAAATATTCAGTAGTTTAGTGTCTTATAAACTTTAAGTTTTTTTGTTGTTGTATGTAATATTTTATCATGCTTTCACTACAGATATGAACTATTTATTTATACTTTTCAATTGCAGTTTTTTGATTATGAACGTTTTGCAAGGTTGCTTCTATTGATTGTCTCTCAAGTTGATCAGGATGATTTTGTTCAGCGCATTGGCGTCTATTTATTAAACAGCTTGGCTTGTCAAGTTGACGGAATCGAAAAGAAGCTTGTTGGTGATCAAGGCGCTATAACAGTATGTTAAAAAATTTTAATGTACAATTATATTGCTTCTGAAATTTTTATATTTCTGTATTGGTATATCAATTGAAATGTTAAGTCTATGGATTTATATATTTTTAATATGAAATGTTTAAGTCGTTATTGACATACGACAAAAGCATTTTTAAGTCTTGGGAAACTTGAATGATGTTTTTGATGAAATTCAAAATGTTACAGTCTTAAGAAGACTTTTCAATTCTGATGAAAGTTCAATTGTCAATTTTTTTTTTGGGGGGGGGGAGAATCTAGTTTTTAAATAGCCTTTACCTTACAGTTGTTCAATATTAAAAACATGTGTGTCATTGTTGTGTAGGTCAAATGTCAAATTTTATATCACAAATTATCACTGAACCTTTATGAATCATAAATTTTATTTTTGTTGTCTACATATCTTCCCCCCCCCCGACTGCAAAGTCTACAACAATGAATGAAATATGAGTAAATGCAAATTAAGGTGAATTGAGAAACTTCTTTCTACAAACATTCTGCAAGTTAAAAAACTTCTGTATTAAAAAATACATTTAACTGAATATAACTCAGTGAAAAAAATTATTTTTAATGATTATTTGTTTTTCCTTATTTATTTAATAATAGGGTGATTCCACTCTATATTTGTTGTCCAGCACGCTTGAAATTTTTTCAATAATTCATGAATCACGGATAAAATTAAAGGTCATTAAATATATTTTGTGAATATTAAATGAGTTTTTTTTTAAAAAAAATTATGCAAATTCTTTAAATTGCATGAAATGTGAAAAAATTTAATTTAAAAGTTGCAGACATGACAAAGAGAAAATATTTTTTTGCCAGTACAACATTTAATATTTATAATTTGGTTGCATACATTGCAACCAACTTTACTATTTGGTTGCATACATTGGTAACATTCCATACATAACAAGTTGCAAAATATAATTTCACTAAATTTTTATAAGCATTTGAGCTTGATAAGAAAAACCCTTTCAAGTGAACCTGTATCACAAACTATATAACTTATAAAACTTTGCAATGTTGCCTTTTATTTTTCTAATAACCAATTGCATTGACAAATTACATTGTTTAATTTCAGTTATTAAAAAGCTAAATATGTATTTTAAATTTAAACCAGCCAGGGCTCGATTTATTAATCCCTTTGAACCAAAGGAAAATTAACATTATAGTGTGATGTTGTTACATCTAGATACACAAAAACATATAAAATATTTACTCATAAATACTGGACTAATTTCGGAAAACACATTATTCTTCCCTCCACTTTGCAGTAAAAGGAGGATGTACTCGAAAGCATAGACTGTATTTAGATATAGTCAATTCCATATTACTCAATTAACAATTTCTCTCTATTCTTATTTCCTATAACTAAATTTTTTTAAATGATTGCTGTCTTTTCTAGATGGAAAAATAAAAAAATATATTAATCACTATCAAGGAACTAAAACTTTCTCACTTGTTCTCTTGTGATCTATGCAGAATAGATTTAATTAGTCAAAACAAGTTGAGTCACTGTGTGAAAGAAAGAGTTAACACCTATATACCTTATATTTAAGGTATATTTAAAAAATAAATAAATTGTTCATAAAAAAGTAGAAAATTTTTTCAGAAGAAGATATAGATTTCTGAACTATATCTTTGTATTTGATTTTTAAATTTTTTTTTTCTAGATGCTTAGAAATGGTTGCCTGGCTCTTATTCATTTCAAAATACCTGAAGATATGGTATGTTTATATCTAGTTTAATCTTTACAAAACCTTAATAATAATTTAATAAATTAAACAATTTGTCATCAATACATATTCTGTTTATATATATATATCTATGTTAAATCTCTAAAAACTGTTGTAGTAAATTAGGTGGTCATATATTTCAAATTGTGATGTGGATACGTAACCTGCAACATTTAAATGGTTGCTTAGTAGTTCCCAGTCTTTGAACCAAAACATAGCAAGCAAATAAGAAAAATGTAAATATTTTTCAAATTATGAAATTTATAAATTATGAAATTGTAGCATTAATGTATCAAAATGTAGATGTAACAAATGTTCATAGTGTTAAAAAGGCTTTTTATGCTATTGTGATTTCTTTTTTTTAGGAAATTTTTTTTAAAACATGTTTAAATGTAGTTTCACGATTTATTTAATAATAAAAATGCAAGTTATTCATATACAGTTTAAAATAATAATAAGAAAAAATCATATGGAGGAGGTTGAAATCTCATTATGATTTAATCTTATTAAAGAAAAGAAAAAATGTGTGAACAATTCAAAAAGTTTTTTTTTAATATTTGAGGCAAATTCTGATTTTGATTACACTAAGAAAAGCGATTAAGTTGTTATTAAGTTTTATAAAAACTAAGATCAATTTGACTCTCAAAAACAAATTTTCTTTCTCCGCAACCCTCTTCAAAAAACAAAAAAAGAAGGGGGGGTTATCTCTAAACTATTACTTTTGGACCATTTTTTCATTCAATAGTAAAAGAGAACAGACATTAAGGCCAGTAGAGTTTTGTACATAAAATGAGATAGATGTTTAATTGTGGAATGTTTTTATTAGTTATTTATTTGTACATAATTTGGTTTTTGAATCATTTTCATGATATGAAATTTTTAAGTAGTTATGTAAAATTAGTTAAGTTTAGTTTAGTTGTCATAAAATAATAAAATACTCTCTTTTTTTTGTCAATTCAAAGTTTATTTTTCTGTAATTTATAGCCATTATTATCAGAATATTACTCAGTATAAGTTTTTTGTAGAGTATTTGTTTTATTTAAACTTAGGGATATTAAGGAAAATATTCAGTAGTTTAGTGTCTTATAAACTTTAAGTTTTTTTGTTGTTGTATGTAATATTTTATCATGCTTTCACTACAGATATGAACTATTTATTTATACTTTTCAATTGCAGTTTTTTGACTATGAACGTTTTGCAAGGTTGCTTCTGTTGATTGTCTCTCAAGTTGATCAGGATGATTTTGTTCAGCGCATTGGCGTCTATTTATTAAACAGCTTGGCTTGTCAAGTTGACGGAATCGAAAAGAAGCTTGTTGGTGATCAAGGCGCTATAACAGTATGTTAAAAAATTTTAATGTACAATTACATTGCATTTGAAATTTTTATATTTCTGTATTGGTATATCAATTGAAATGTTAAGTCTATGGATTTATATATTTTTAATATGAAATGTTTAAGTCGTTATTGACATACGACAAAAGCATTTTTAAGTCTTGGGAAACTTGAATGATGTTTTTGATGAAATTCAAAATGTTACAGAGTCTTAAGAAGACTTTTCAATTCTGATGAAAGTTCAAGTGTCAAATTATTTTAGGGGGGGGGGGGGAGAATCTAGATTTTAAATAGCCTTTACCTTACATTTGTTCAATATTAAAAACATGTGTTTCATTGTATTGTAGGTCAAATGTCAAATTTTATATCACAAATTATCACTGAACCTTTATGAATCATAAATTTTATTTTTGTTGTCTACATATCTCCCCCCCCCCTCCCCGACTGCAAAGTCTACAACAATGAATGAAATATGAGTAAATGCAAATTAAGGTGAATTGAGAAACTTCTTTCTACAAACATTCTGCAAGTTAAAAAACTTCTGTATTAAAAAATACATTTAACTGAATATAACTCAGTGAAAAAAATTATTTTTAATGATTATTTGTTTTTCCTTATTTATTTAATAATAGGGTGATTCCACTCTATATTTGTTGTCCAGCACGCTTGAAATTTTTTCAATAATTCATGAATCACGGATAAAATTAAAGGTCATTAAATATATTTTGTGAATATTAAATGAGTTTTTTTTTAAAAAAAATTATGCAAATTCTTTAAATTGCATGAAATGTGAAAAAATTCAATTTAAAAGTTGCAGTCATGACAAAGAGAAAATATTTTTTTGCCAGTACAACATTTAATATTTATAATTTGGTCATGTGCGCAACATTGCATACATAACAAGTTGCAAAATATAATTTCACTAAATTTTAATAAACATTTGAGCTTGATAAGAAAAACCCTTTCAAGTGAACCTGTATCACAAACTATATACTAACTTATAATAATTTGCATTGTTGCCATTTATTTTTCTAATGACCAATTGCATTGTTTAAAACATGTCTAAATTCAGTTATTAAAAAGCTAAATATGTATTTTAAATTTAAACAACATTTGCATTTATGGCAACCTAAGTATTTGTTCTAAATTACGCTAGAACAAAACATTCAGTTAATGGAAAACAAAACAGTTAATGGAATATTGTTTGACATTATTTAAAATGATTAGTTAATGCACATATTTATTTGCATATGTTTTTCTATTAAATTGAATTTTCCTTTGAAATTTGATGAGATCTAATCTTTACTAGTTGATTTACTTAATTATTATATACTTAATTAAAGTTTATTGAACTTGATACAGTTTGTAGAGTTCTAAGCTATGTTTGTATAGTTATAAAATTCCTCATGCCATCAACAAGTACAGAAACTGAAAGCAGATGCAATGAAATGTGAAACTGAAAAAGCAGAAGAAAGCAATATAAAGAAAAAGAGGAATACAAATATTCTAAGGTTCTTGCTGAAGAACAGAAGTAATACATAAGAATGAAAAATTAAGAAGCACAAAGGAAATGTAGGAAGAAAAAAACAGAAACTGAAAAATCAAGCATGAGTTTATCTGGCTACACCATCAAACATGCTTTGGGGAAACCTGTAAGGAAAATTAATAAAGCTCCTCTGAAGAAACTTCATGGTTTAATAGATGTGATATCAAAAATTGATTTATATTTGCAAATTCAGTTTTTCACAAAGAAGAATTCAATGTTGATGCTGAATTTTCATTCTTTGAAACAGCTCATGGGAAAAGTGTCGGTGGGATAGGTGTCATCATTAAAAACGTAGTTTGAAAGAGCTGCATGACAAGTAGAGAAGCCGTTATTGAGGCTAAATCTTTTTTTGAAGTGGCTTGTAAAATTTAATATGAAAATATAAAAATAATATTTATAAGCAAAGACACCGAATTTAAAGTATCAATGATGAAAGAATATTTTAGATTAAAACTAATTTTTACAAACATAAAATCTTTGTATTCAAATTTTTTGTTCATATTACTATAATAAATAGAGGTAAATTTGATTTTTTTTTCCAGATAATGCTGCAGTTAATTGAGAAGCGTTTGGAGAGGCGTATATGTGATGAAGTTATGGAAACAGCTTGGAGTACTATGTGGAATGTAACAGGTTAATATTATCTTGTTATTATATTTTTTGAAATGGTTTTATGGTTTGGAGTTTTATTGTTATGTGTTAAAATTTAAAATGATTTGAAGAAAAAAAAGTCATGCGAAGAAGCAAACAATACATATTTTTAATTACTAGGATTTAACAATTAATTTTAAAACTTATGTTTTTTAATGTGTTAGAATTTGTATAAAAGTATAAATAAAAATCAATGTAGATTAATTTAAGTAAATAATCTATTTATATCTGTTTAATGTAACCAAAAGAAAAGAGCTGATTTGATTTCTTTCTGTTGATAGTGACAACATGTCAATTACATTAGAAAAGAAAAATTTAAATTATTCATAAAATGTTAGTTGTATGTTATGCTGCAATAGCCGATAACTTAAGTTTAAGAACCAGATCATCAGGTGAAGGCATAATCTAGTTTTTATCATCATTTCTTTCCGTTGACAATTAATAGAAGTGTAAATTTATCAAGCTTAATTGATCATAGAATTATAGTCATGCAATAACCAATCAAAATACAGGAGATTAAAATATCCATAGTTCAGAACATAGCACATTTTTATAGCTTGAAATATAATTTTGAAACTTATACTGGATGTTTTAGTTAAATATATTAAAAACATGTATAAAAATTATTGCCCAGTTAAAAATCTGTAATTTTTTATAAATTCAACATTTTTACATTTATCAAAAAAAAAATAAATAAAGTTGTGACAGAAGTATTAAGAGCAAATCATCAGTCAAATAGTTCATTTTTATTTTCTTACTTACAAACAAATATTTAAAAAATGTGTTTAAATTTTGTGTACTATGTGCCATTAGTAAGTGGCAAACATAAACATGATACTATTAGTAAAATGTCTTAATCTACGTTCAATAATAAAAATAATGTAAAAAAACGTTTTTATTTTATTTGCTTGGTAATTTTTTTTATATATAACAGAAAATATTGATACTTATTTTACCATGAGTAAATTTGTCTTAATGCTAGTTTGATTTGTGATATTTTTGTAAATTAAGAAACAAGCTGCATAAAAATTATGTGTTTTTTTTTTTTAATTTTCGAAATTTTATAATGAGTTTTTTGGCTGCTTAATTAGTGGCTCAAATGACTTGAATAATATTTTTGCGTAGTGCAAATTTGGTAACTTCTGCTGCATTTTCTTACTGTAAAATGTATCTTTTCTTCCTCTTTTTTTCCAGTTAATTGCTACATAAAATTTATGTATTTTTAAATTTTCATATGGCTTGGTTTTATTTATTTCTAAGCTATTACCAATGTCGAAAAAAAAAGTGTGTAAAACTATAACAATTTTGATGCGCATGGATGTATTTTTTCCTTAAATTAAATATAATGCTTTAATTTTGTTCTGGTCATTACACTCCTTTTCGTTAATTTTTACCTATTGAAACTTTCGAATTAATTATGTATGAAATATATTGAAAATTAATTTTTTGCAGAACATTGACCTTTTTTTAATGCAATGAAGTGTTTAATATGATTATTTATTTTTAAAATAAATATTTAGCTGAGAAATAATTTAAAAATATTTTAGATGAAACTCCTATTAATTGTGAAAGGTTTCTGGAAGGAAATGGAATGGATTTATTCTTACGATGCTTAGAAGTGAGTACCAAAGTATTATTTCAAATTACCACATTTCCAATTTTGGGAATCATGATTATTTTAAGATAATTTATTTTTAGTACAGTATATATTTTCAGATATTTAAATAATATATTTACTTCCTTAAAAAATTATATTACCATAATTTTTTTTTACCACTTGTAGTTTTTTTTCTTTCAAAATAATTGCATCTTATTTAGTTTAAAACTGTTAAAGTTTTTTTTCACTCTAATTCCTAGTCTCTAAATATTTGCATTTTATGAAGTTTGAACTTTAGAAACTAAGATGACGCCATACCATGTGTGATTGATTTATTGCATCGATTTAGTAATTTCTCTTGAAAACATGTTTCTTTACAGGCATCTCTTATGAAGTAGTAGAAAACTCTATTTATATAAGAGTACAAAAGGGCTTATCTTGTTTCCACTAATGCTACCTTCCATCAACATATTCAATTCATACAACTCTTTCGTTTGACTGTTGAAATTATTGACACTATAACGAAGCATTGAAATATCTTCTCTAGTTAATATAGATCTGTGTATGATCAGTTTTCTTACCAGTCAGGGGGAAAATAATTTTTTTATTTATGTTAAAAATGAAAGTTTTCCCAATGATAGTAAAATTTAAATTCACGTTAAGCATAAAAGTTCATGTTTAGTTAAAAGTCCTTTAAAGCATTGTATCTCTATGCAATTTGACAGGGAATCGAAAATTAGTTCACATGAAAAAAATTCCCATTTAGTATGTTCACCTTCAGGGTTCCCACGATCCTTAAAAAGTGCTTAATTTTTATTTTGGAAAATAAGGGCCCTTAAAAGTACAGTACAGAACCCGTTATCCGGAAAACCAAAAAATCGGAACGAAATTCAAGAAATTTTCCCGCCCTATTTTTAAAATTTTTTTTTTTCCTCATTAGATTTTAGGATTTTTTTTTCTTTTTTGAATAATCATTAGTGTATTACTTCATCGTTTTTTCTTCTTTTTAACATTATTTCCAAAAATTTTTTTTTTTAGTTGGGTTTAACAATAAAAAAAAAAACGGCTTTTTGTAGCGATTCAGAAAACCGGAAAAATCAGTTATCCGGAATAGCGATGGTCCCGATCGTTCCAAATAATTGGTTCCCTACTGTACTTAATTTTGGTTCAAAGTTTTTAAAAGTCCTTAATTTTTTAGCATCACTATGGTTGATGGGAAAAAAATTTCAGTTCAACTTTTTCTATTTAGATGAAATCATTGAAAATGGAACACAGATTGGTTTCATACGTTAACTTTTACAATTTGAATGACGTTAACTTTTGAAAATCTGAAAATGTTTGAAACAAAACCGACCCGTGTTTGCAAAAACTGCCTGGTAGTTCTTTGGCGGGCCCTGTTAATTAATATAATTATATTAGTGCTTACATTATAATTAAATTGCGTTTTATGATTTTTTTTATTTATTGAATTTTTTAGGACTGTAAATAATTTGCACTATCACTGGAGGGATATTCAATGATAAACAAACATATAGTTTTTAAAAATCCTTAATTTTTCAAAGAAGTACTTAATTTTTACCTTAATTTTTTGCTTTGTTAAAAGAGTGGGAACCCTGACCTTGACAAGGTTTGACTTTACATAAAATGTCCTTAAAAATTGTGACTTGAAGAGTAATTGGATAAATATTTTGTAACTTTAATAAAAATGAAAAAAAAAATTTTCTCTGATTTTAACTAAATATTTTCCTACTCACTCATTTAAAGATTTATTTATTAGTCATTAATGTTTTTGGTTTGCAATCTTATATAATTCTGAACAAATAAATTGGTTTTTAACTCTCATAATCAAAAATCATATCTTCATTCAATAATTGAGTTACTTTTAATTTTGATAGGCTTTTCCATCAAAAGCAGAGCTATTGAGGAATATGATAGGATTGTTGGTAAGTTAAAGTAAATAAATACAAAAATTAAGTTAGTTTTAACTACTATTCTTATCATTATTTTGCTTAACCTGATTGATTTTATTTTAGATAAAGTAAGTTTAATGATAACTAATTAAAGTTTTCTTCTAAACTAATTCACATGAATTTTGTTTAAACTTAACTATAATTTTCTTGATTATTTCTCTGAAATCATTAGGCAATTTTTCAGCACTTTTATATTTGACATTTTAATTATTTAAATTACTACTTTTTAATTTTTTTCCTTTTCACCATTATATTTTTTTTTAAAATTAAAATTCCTATTTTGGCATTATGAAGTTACTCTTTGAGAAGTATTTCTCCTGACATTTATTTCTTTTTTAAAACATTTAAAGAAGAATATTTTTTTATTTAATTCCTTGGTGTTTATATAGAAAATATTTCTTGGTGTTTATATAGAATATAATTTTTTATTTTTCTAATTTTTCAAACAATATAGGGCAATGTAGCTGAAGTAAAAGAACTAAGAAAATTTTTGATGAAAGAAGATTACTTAAGTGTTTTCAGGTTTGTTTGTTTCGTTATTTCGAGATTTTTTATTAAATAATAAATACAGAAAGCTTTTTCAGTGAATTATTTGAAATAAATTGTATATTTTGAAAATTTTTTTCATTTTATGTAGAACCTTATTTAAAGAGGAAATAAATTGTGAATTCTAGCTGTGAAAGTTCATCAATGTTAAGCATTTTTTCTTAATTTAGAAGGATTCCATCATAATTTGGTGCTATATAATGGTAGTATTTTTGTCCCTTTTCACATGGGTTTTCTGTCTCTGATATTTATAATACAATGTTATTACAACACATGATTTTAGTTATCACTGTTTGAACACCTTGTTTCCCAAGAAGCCCCTTGCAAATCAACATCCTTTTTGTTACACCAGTTTTTGATGTGCTTTATTCAAAGCGATTCCATTGTAGTTAGATTTCCATTTTTTAAATTTATTTATAGGAGTCAGTTATTTGCTTATACAAAGTTTTTAAATAGAGATTTTGGATTAATTTTATTTTATCTAAGTCTGGCGCACTTTTTTGCTCAATTGAACAGAAGGAAAAAGTATCCCTCCACCTTTCCATCTACTCTGTTTCAAGGATGACTCAGTCGTTCTAGTTCAAAAATGGGGGCGAAAGTGAGCAAAGTTTTCCCCTGTTTTATGTAAACCACATAAAAGGTTTTATGCTGAATAGCTAACTATACTCCTACTTAATTATTCATTTAAAAAAAGTCATATATTAGCCATTTTCATATTCCATTTATATTAACATAGTGGAGTTTAGCATTGTATTTTTTTATTACCCTTCCACCTTTTATTTACTGAAAGGCAGGTGTAATGCACTATTGCAAGTTAAGGGTTCTACACCTTTCCCTCTACTCCACTTCAAGGATGACTAGAATTTCTGCATTTTGCAGCAATCATTTTGGTTCAGAATGGTGGGGTAATCCCGCAAAATTTTTTCTGGTTTCCCAGTTCTTTAAATAACGCATAAAAAGGTTCTGTACTTTACAATTGAATCTGGTTAATATTCGGGTTTCTTGTAGCTTTAACCCTTTATTTACTAAATTATTAAAAAATTATCAAAAATATGCAGAACTTTTTTAAAGTGAGACATTTATTATATTATTTTCTTTTATAACTACTTGAAAATGTTAATGAATCAATAAAAAGATACAGAAGACTTACTTGCAATATTGATAGCGATACAAAGCTGAGAAATCATAAAATGATGTTCTTGAATGGTGATTCAATAGTTATTATTATAGATTTCAATAATAGTTCCTTAGGTGATGTTCAAACTTCAAATAATTGTGTGTTGTACCCCAGTAATGATAAAAGGTAAAGTCATATTCAGTGATGATTGTTCTCCGGAAAAAAATCCAGATTTCCGGATTTTGCGCTAACCACAATCCGGAAATCCAAGGTCCAGAAGTTTCAAGAAATCAGCAATCACATTTATGTGCAGCAATCACATCTCAGTCACCCCTGCCTATTACAGGGAGGAGATTTTTCTGCTTTTTTCACTTTTATCTCTTGAATTTCAGCTTTTTTTTTAAATCAAAAATTCAGATTTTCTAAAAATTTCACTTTTTTTTTATAAGTATTCCGCTTTACCAATTTTCAAAGAGAAACAGAAAATTCAAACTACATAGCTACCAATCCTTTCTCATTTTTACTTATTTTAGCTGTTTTCTCCCCTTTTACACGCAGCAGATAAGATTTTCCAAATTTTTAACCCACCTTCCAGATCCGATTTTCGTAGGGAGATAGATCCTGGGGGATTTTCTTCACCTCTTCTCTAATAACTCTTTGAAGGCCTCTCAATCTAGAAATTCTTCGCTTATTCAGTTTGTTTTTCAGATGTCCCCATAGGATATAGTCGCATGGTGCAACATCAGGACTGTTTGGAATCCATTGTTCTTGTCTCAGGAATTGCACTTGCTGATCTGTTAGGAATTTCTGGATGACCTTAGATGCATACGATGGGGCAGAGTCCTGATGGAACACAGCATCACTATTAGGGTACAATCTGCAGTAATCATCCTTAAGAAAGGGCTTTAATATCTTCTGTATAAAATACTCAGAATTTATTTTGGCCCCAGGTTTCACAAACCGAGGTTTGGTCACACCATGGACGGATATGCCCATCTAAACCATTAAGCCTTTGGGATGAGGCACCGTGGTTGATGGTGTCAAATCTCGACTGTTCTGCTCGCGACTAAGATATTGAACTTTAGATTCAGCATTGGTATCAGATAGATAGATCCAAGCTTCATCAGTTGTAATGAATTTTCGCCATCTGTCCTTACGGAGAAGCTTACAAAGGGGCCATGAACGTTGCCTCCTAATCTGCACCGATCTCTCACTTAAATGATGACATTTAGGTTTTTTATGGCATTTTTTCTTCAACTTTTGTTTTAGTTGATAGCTTACAACTTGCTGACTCACGTTAAGAGCTTTAGCCATGCTTGCCTGTGTTGGTGGATCCGGTTTTGATGTCATCTTATCAAGCTTCTGCAAATCTGATTTCTTCAATTTGCTTAGCCGTCCACTTCTTCATTGTTTTGCATCATTTTGCATCCATTCGAGTTTTGAATTCTTGATGCGGCTGATATGGCTGAGTGAAATCGCAATACCTTTCTTTTTAAAATGGGTTTGTATAATCCTGTGGCTCCAGCGAAGTTCTAAAAATGCTTGTACTTGACCAATTAGCTTTTTGTCAAATTTCTTCAAAGGCATTTTTGTGATTTTATGANAATGAGTCCCCCGTGCCATATTTATCAAACCAAGAAACGCTAATAGAAGTAAATAAACTGATATCCCAATCCAAGGCATTAATAAGTGATGCGATTTTAACTAATTTGTTTTATAGAGTTAAGGAATCATTAGAAACTAAAATTGTTTGCGAAAAAATTGCAAAAAGTGAACAAACTTCAATTGAAAATTTTTTTTAAACATGTATAAAAACTTAAAATGTTAATAAACAGTTTTTTTCTACATAAATTTTGATTTCCTCATTTTATTTTTTGGTCACCCCCATTTAAGGGCCACCCCCCATAAGGGCCAATTTTCAATGGAAGGACAGGTGGCCCTTACCGAGAGGTTTCACTGTATATGGAAAAATGATAATTAATTAAAATTCTTAATTTTAAGGATCTATTTCAAAGGATATGTTTTGTGAAACAATCTTAGAATAGATTTTCTACTTTTATATTAATTAGTATTAAGTTATGAAGATGTTAACAATGCATAGTTGCTAAAATATATAATTGTTCCAGAACCTGTTTGTAATCCTTCAAAAAGAGTGTAAAATGTAAAAAATGTTGTTTTACTAAAAAAAAAAAAGAAAATTAATTTTAAGTATATATTTTTACATTATTATACAGTAGGGAACCGATTATCCGGAAGGATTGGGACCATCGCTATTCAGGATTACTGATTTTTCCGGTTTTCTGAATCGCTACAAAAGGCCGTTTTTTTAATTGTTAAACCCTACTAAAAAAAAAATATTTGGAAATAATCTTAAAAAGAGGAAAAAACGATGAAGTAATATACTAATGATTATTTCCAAAATGATGGTAAGGTAAACATCTTTTAAAAAAGAAAGAAAAATTCTAAAATCTGATGAGGAAAAAAAAAGGTTTTTTTTAATGACAGGAAAATGTATCGAATTTCGTTCCGGTTTTTTGGTTTTCCGGTTTTCTGATTTCCGGATAACGGGTTCTGTACTGTACATGTTTTTTTTCTTCTTGCAATTAAACTTACTACAACTATAAGACTTACCACAATAATTTAAACCAGTATATGTTAAGTTTTCAGCAAAAATATGTAATTATAAAACAATTATTATATTTGATGTTATAGATTTAGTATGTTTATGAAAATTGATATTTTAAGAATCGAAAATAAATTACATTTTAAAAAAGTTTTCAAATAGATCTGAAAATTACACTTTTTTGTGCTTTAAGGAAAAGGTTAGTGAGGAATTTTGACCCAGAGTCATAAAACTTGCCTCACCAACATAATTATCGACCAAAGATCTCCAACAGCTCTGCTTGACTTTTAGGCTGCAGTGACCGGTTGTTGACTAAGGACCACCTTCCTCTCTAAAGAAAGAATCTATCTACATCTCTTATTGGGAGGCTAACATACTTTTTTTTTCTAGTTCTTACTCTTAACCCTTTCCCTTATATTTTTTAGTTTTATTTGCTTGTTTAGCTAATAACTAGATTTAAGTAGTTAGTAACTTATTCTCTGTTGCTAGTTTTGTCTATTGTCTTTTTATTGTTCAATTTTTCAATTGCATTGAAAATTTAAAAAAAAGGTTAAAAGATTCTACATTTAGTTTGCAGTTCACTTAGATCTGAGAGACAGAAATACTTGACAAAATAAAGTTTTATTTTTTAGTTAAGTAACAATAAAAAATTTTCTGCACTATCACTTAGATTCCATCCACTTAGCTTTTCAATTTTGTTTTAACTACTTTTAGTTAAAAAAATTCTTTACTTTTTGAAGCATCTAAATTCTGGTATCTTTTTTTTCCCCATGCAAATTTTGATCTGAAGGAGCCTTGAAGTTCTACTCTATTTCTTATTGTTAAATTTTTTGGGGGTTATAGAATTATTCCTTTTTTTTTTACTTTTGTAATTGAACAGAAAAGCTGATATTAAAATTGTAGAGAGAATAAGCAATATAATAACGGATTATAAAATGAAAAGGTAGTATGATAATTGAATAGCAAACTAAAAAAAGGGTTCTAGATTTTAAGCAAATTTTTATGAAGATAGAGATTATTTAAAAAAAAAATTTCGTATTTTTGTTTTGTTTCATTGTACAACTCTGATTTATTTCGTGAAGTCATTAAATTGCGGAGATCTTAAGTTACAGTGTTTAGAGTAAGAAAATGTTTCCCAACTAACCCCATATGTTTTTATCTTACTCTGTATAAATATATATATTTATGCATTATTATAGGTCATTCAAACCCATATTACGACTACTGTCAGTCTATCATACACCCGAGGCACAAATATGGGCAGTATGGGCTTTGGCAAATTTAACTAAAGTCTATCCAGAGAAATACTGTATGCTCCTGAAGAAAGAAGGTGGGATAACTTTGCTTGAATCGTTGTTACAACAAGGCAACCCACAAATCACTCGATTGGCTCAAATGACTATTGATCACTGCATGAGGTAAGACAAATATTATTTATGTACTAGCTGTACAGGGTATATACACGTACCCACGTATCTTTGTATGGGGTGGAAAAAAGGGATCAGTAAATGAGTACTGAACAACACTTCAAAATCATGCACAAAACTGTAATAATAATAAAGCTAAAATAATTTTAAAAAAATTTCTTAAATTAACCACAATCAAGCTACTTTCTTCTGTCTCTATATCTTCCAGGGGCGGTAGAAGCCTATTTCCTCAGTAACTATCACAAAAATGTACAGGATTGATGCAGCTGTAATAGGCACCAAATTTACTCATAAAATACTTTATATCTATATAAGAGTTTATTTGGTACATATTAAAACTGCTTTAATTTCCATAATGCCAGATGTGCTTTTTACCAAAATTAAGCATCATTAACATTGATAATAGTATGGTGACTTTATTAGGTTCTCCAAAACACAATTTTACACTTTCTCCATTAATTTTGTTTTTTTAGTGCATTGCTTATTTATTTATGTCAATTAGTAACTATTACTGAAATTAATTAAGCATCATTGATGCCAATTATAGTTTGCCTATTTTTAAGCACTCTTAAACAAATTAGTACCATTTCCAGAGATGCCAACTGCTCCGGACACGCCAAAATAATTTTAAAAAAACGGTAAATAACTACAGAGTAAATTTTGCAATTATTTGACTGTTATTGCTTTCTTTTTAGAGCGTACAGCACGACAGAAGTACTAGAAAATAGTGAATATATAAACCTACGAATTACTTAGAAATAGCGGTGGATCTTGATTTAATAAATTCAATTTAGATCTACTAAATTGAATTTATTAAACCAAGAATCACAATTGATAAACTACCACTTTAAAATATATATTTGCTGTCCAGAGCAAGTTGGCATCTCTGCCAACTTGTTTGCCAACAAATTTATGGAGAAATCTCCATAAATTTTGCGTTTTAGTACATAGCATAGTTCCCCTTTTTTATTCCTAAGGAGAACTCTGAAATTAGTATTATTTTTCCATTCATTTTGATTTTTAGTACAAAAAGTATTTTTTTATTTCAATTAATCTTCATTTTATATTATTAAGTTTTATAGTAACAAGTTTTAAAAAAATAACTATAAACAATATAAACAAGCAGTTTCAGGTCATGCTAGAGGAGTGTGATTTTTAGATACTACAGGAGTGTGATTTTTAGGATAATTCACAGAATTCCTCAAATCCCAAGACCGTTAATTCACAGACTTCCGCGAATCAATAATTTCTATCAAGACAAAATTTTCTCAGAGCTCCGCTTATCTTGAATTTCATTCCTTATGCAAAATCTCTTTAATGAAACATTTATTCTACCCTTACCAGCGCCCTCTTTTTTTATTACTAAGCTCTCTCATCTGCAATAAGGACTCATGTTAATTAAAATCNCCCCCCCCCCCCAGCAATGTTAGAGAAAAACGCAACTACAGAAATTTTCAAGAACACGAGACTGGAAAAAAAATTCCATAATAACTTTGGCTAGAATTATTGAAGTACTCAAGCAAACACAAAAGTATAAAATTGATACTCTAAAAAGGAATTCCGTAATGACAAATATTTACAAGATCATCCGCTGGAATAAATGCTTTTTTTTTTCTAATTTTGTTTTTAAAATTCATATTTTAAGAGAAGGAATTTTGGTGCAAATTATGATTTTTTAAAGATAAATTGTTTAATGAATGAGATATATTTGCTACCTTTTTTATTTGCCTACAATTAGAGCGAAAAAATTTTTAATACGTTCATATGACGTGGAAATTTCCAATTGCGTATTTTGGTAATCACTTTTTAACACACTCCATACCATTGTAAATCCGTGTTCAGTCTTTTCTATTCTTTTGCAGTTAATACAATTGATTTTCTTGTGGTTTTTAAACGGCTGATATTATTATGAAACACAAAATTTCGATCACACATTTTAGTTATAAATTTTTTATATGCTCGTTTTGCGGGCATACCATCATAAATACGTGCGGTGCTTCTATAGTTTTATTGGCTATTAATGCTACAAACTTTCTAAATAAATTTTCAAAAAAAAAAACTCTATATTGTTTATAAATTATTATGACACGCAAAATTCAATTTGTGCATTTATTTGTCAGCTTTTTTGACATGACGATACTGTTGTTTTTTCCATAGACTTTTTCAAAGTTATAAATAATATTTTCATACCATGTTATTAAAAAACGAGAAATTCTAATTTCGCATTTGAATAATTTCTTTTTGCTGTAGTTAATTTGGGCAAAATCAATGCGGCACTAGTATTTTTTATTATTTTTTTTACAGTTAATGCTGTAAATTTTCACATGATTTTTTGACATCTCGATATTCTTATGATACGGAAAATCCAAATTCTGCACTTGAGTATTCATTATTTGGCCTAATAATTCTATCCTTTTTTAAAATAATTTACTTGTCAATTATGACTAGTTATTTTTGTATACTTTTTAAAATATCAATATTTTTAATACGATACTATTTATTATAACATGTGAATCTCGAAATGTACATTTAATTACTCCCTTTTTTTTAATTAACTGCTTTTTTAATAACTCTTTTTTTTAATATAATTGTACAGATAAAGGCTTTAACCAACAAGTTTCTATATTTTTAAGGATAGGTAATGCAATTCTTTTCACATCTGGTGACCGTGAATGTCTGTTTTAATAGTAAGTTGTCATAAAGGGAAATAACTTCTTTTTTGTTGGGAAGAAGATAATTTAACTGGTGGTTGCCCTCAGATTGCTTTATAAAAATAGGGGATTAAAATTGTAAGAAGTTAACTATGTTTTTTTGCTTTTTATATTGATAACAGAAATACTTAAAAATGTCCAACAATAAAAAAAATGTATTTCATTTAAAAAAAATTCCTTTCATAATATAGGTCTAACAATTTTTAACTTGTTATAAGCATATTATTTATGTTACTTTAATATTAGCATTTTAACTGTGACTAGGAAATTTGTTGTAATACAGATTTCTTGTACTATGTCATACTCATTATATCAAGTTTTTATTATATGAAATGAATGCCTAAGTAAATGAATGTGGGAATTGAAACGTAGAAGTGAAAAATTGAATAAATGAATGTGAATCAGTTTGTAAGTGAATTAAGTCTTTATAAACTTGAAATTTGTAATGTGGTAGTTGATGATGACAGTTTTTATCATTAATGTTTATAAATTTTTAATTCATCGTTTCAGTATCGGTTTTTAATTCATCAGTTCAATCAATTTTTAATTCATCGTTTCTATTTTTACAATATTGACTCATCATTTATTATTTGTTCTCTCTATTTCTAGGTATGAAAATTGTGAAGACAGTGATATGTCTGATAATGATGATGTAGAAATTATATAAACTATGTTTTTCACATATGTTATATTGTAAATAGAAGTAACTCTAAAAAAATTATTTAGTTTGCAAATACCATGGCTTCTAAAATGGTATGTTTTTGTTTGTTTTGTTTTTTTTTAAAAGAAAAAACAACAACATTTAAATGTTTGTTGCTTGTAGCTTTTCCCTTTTACTATATTGGCTACATGTAACCTGGAGGAAGCTATAGTATTTTTTGTTGAATTGTTTTATTTTGCAAAGTCATATAATATTTGTATAATAAATTTATTTTTGTTTAGAAAAAACTTATTACAGAACTTGTTTTATTTTCCAAAATTCTTGAAAATTTAAGTTTGTAAAACTTCATTAAAAAAGCATATTTTAGATATTATTTGTTTTGTAAACATTGTAGAGCTTTTTTGCAATTCTTTGAAATTTGATTAATTATTTCATTTAAAATATCATTGTCAGCTTTTTCAAAAGACCACGAATTAAACATTTTGTATTGTTTTTATGAGAGTTAAAGTCAAATATAGAATATCAAAGACACTCAAATGTAAGCTTATTAGGAAGAAAAATACCTCTGAATGTCGAATTTAAGTGACTTTGTCATGTGATGTATAGTTTAAATTTTGAGATAAAGTATGGTTTTTCTTATGTATTAATGTATTTTAAATTTATTTCTCTTGATATATATATATATATTCTGTAATCCTTTGAATTGTCAGATTAAAATATATTTATAAGAATTCATTTTCTAAATTGCTTTAAATAACAGTTATTAAGATTAGTATTTTTGTAATTAATAACCATATTATATGCAATTGCATACTGTAGGGCTTTGATTATCCAAAGTAATTAGGACCAGATCTATTTGATAATAAAATTATTCAAATTTAAGTTATGTGCTTTTTTAATTAATTTTCTTCGATGAACACTTATTTATAGTGTGATCTAGTACTTAAATTTATTTAATATGTTACTGTTATATGTTTACTATTTAATAGATATGTTTTTGAAATGTATATAAAAATATAATAATTAAAACTTTACTTACACTCATGCTTACATTGGAAAAAGTACAATCTCATTGTGAATTTTTTACTGATTTCATTGATCTGCAAAGTTGATTTTATTGATTTATATACTTTTGTGAGTTTAATGAGGCTCTTGCAATTCCTTTCACACATAGTTCACTAAATTTTAATGTAGATAACATTATATGTTTCTTTTTAGCAGAAAAGGTAGCCATGGCATTCACTAAATTAATTATTTCATTATAGTAATAGTAATATACATTTCATTATGGTAGTAATAAGAAAACAATAATTAAAACTTTCAGACTTCTTCATCAAAATAAAAGCAACCAATGTTGCCGATTCACAAAGTGTTTATTTGTTACTTACATAAGAATATCTATTCTATGTAGTCATGCAGTATTTATTTATTTATTTTAATTTTGCTTATTTATTATTGAATTATTATTGATTAACTTCAACATATTATTAAAATTTTGAAAAGAAAAAACTAAGTGTGCATGCAAAAAAAAAATTCTATTCACTGAAATATCAGAGTAAAAAGAAATTCAGATAATCAAGGTTCTACTCTATTTTAGCAATTTAAAATGCATTGCATATAAATGTATAAAATATAATTTTTCTGCCTTAAACTGTAATAATTTGTTTTTAAGATTGTTTAATGGTATATAATAATGTGCTACAATTTTTATTTCTAATGAATTTGGTTATTTAATATCAATAATTTTAGTATTTGAAATAATTTTATATTTTACCATGTTTCACAGTAAATGTGTTTTGGGAACAAAAATAGTTCATAAGCTAGTCCATTTAAAAGTTTACTTAAATTTTGAAACTTATGTAAATGTTTCCTTACATATTTCTTAAATCTTGGGATTGCCATTACCAAATTCCTTTTCTTTTATATACTATGAGCAAAATTATGAATGTTGTTTGGAAGCTAGATTATCTATACTATAAGTGCAATATGAAAACAAAAAGGCAATCTTCCTAATAAGTTTATTCTCATTTTCATATTGTTATTTTTAAATGTACTATTGGAGCTTCCAGCAGAGCAGTTGCGTACTAGAGATGAGTTCTTGCTCACATTGAAGAGGCTAGAATACTAAATCCAAACCCATTCGAGAATGATATTTTTTTTTCATTTGAAATTTAATTGGTCAAATTAATAAATTAAAAATTTTCTAAGATGTAAAGTTTTAGAAGATAAAGACAAAATATATTATAACTCTTTATTTATGTGTCGAGATAATACTAATAAGTTGTTTGCACTTAATAATTTTTACTTTTTTTAGACTTAATTATTGAATAAAGAAATTTTTGTATCATTAAATAAAAACAACCTTTATAAAGCACACATGACGGTACAGAAATGGATGTACTATAGTTTCGGTTCTATAAATAAGAACTTCTCTCAGTGTCTGAACACAAAATTTTTGGTGTTTAGACACATTGGTGCTTAGACACTGAGGGTGGTTCTTGTTTACAGAACTGAAACTGGTACAGTAGAAGATCTTTATAACACAAACTTCAAAACATTAGGTTTTGCTTTATATAGAGTATTGTATTATATAGATTTTGTATTATATCATGACATTACATGTCTAGAACAGATCAATATTTATGTTTTAAAATAATTTTTAAATTTCAATGCATAAATATGAACTTAAGTATTTATAGAAAAACTTGAAATAATAAAGCACATTTGAAATAAAATTTAATAAGTTCATAAATTTTGGTTAGCTTTAAATGAAGGTTAATAGGTTTTGTAGAGAAATGCATTCTATATATCTTCTACTATGTCCATTCCTGTATCTTTATTTGTGCTTTATTTGCGTTTTTAATGTAATCTACGTTGCACAAAATATACCCTATCAGATTTTTGTATATTTGTTTAGATATAAAGTAAGGTCCAGCTTCTGTTATAAAATGATTGACTTTCCGATAGTTCATTTAGACAAGGGAAAGTCATTGTGCTGTAGAATTGTCATTGATACAAAACTCCCTACCATTAAATTCTTTAAATGATTGGCTTAAATGAATGCTATGATTTGGCTTTCAATAGTCTTCTTACAATGAATGGACTATGTGTGACATTTTTATCATGTGCCATAGTCTGTAAACTTCATTTATCTATTAAATTTTGACTTAGCCTGTCTCATCTCTATTACACACTAGTTCGCTTTAAACTAAATGTAAATACTTTTTTATAAAAAGTTTCTTTATTACTATGTACAGACATAAAGATTTATTGTTTATTTATTAAATTTTAGAAAGGGTAAAACTTATGACTATAAGGAAGAAAAGTACTGACATAACTATTTGCACTGTAAAATTTTTGTTGAACAGTAACTTTAGAGGCAATTTGTAAATTACTTGAATACTTAATTTAAAGTTACATTTCAAAGTGAATAATTACATATTTTATTTTTTATATTAATTCAATGAAGAGCTGAAAAACGAAATTTGCGCATATGAGATGGATATTGAGTGAGTTCATATGTTTCCTTTGATTTTTTTAAAATATTGCCTCTAAAGTTGCTGTTTTGAGTCACTTAATAAGTTCCAAATGAATGTCACATTGAAGTTGCCAAAGTAATATATTTGAGAAAGAAGAGTAAACTTTTTTTTGTGTGAAATTGTTTTGAAATCTGTTAGAAAATATGATACAATTTCTGTATTATCCTATCTTATTTATTTATGTTTTATTTTTTAAATAAGCCGAATTGAAATATTTTTTGTGTGCGATTATAATTTTGAGTAATATATTCTTTTTTGAATATTGTGCATATGTGAATGATATTTGCTGTTGATCATGTTAAGTGATACAATTAGGGTCACAATTTTCATTTGTGATTATAATTTTGAGTTATACATTCTCTTGTGAATATTGTATAAACATGAATGGTATTAGTTGTTGGTCATGTTAAATTATGTAATTATTGTCACAAATTTGTGTCAAATATATTAAAATGTGAGTCAATTTTGATTGAATGTTGTTAAAAAGAAAGCAACTATTTTTTGGTTAATAGGACAATAATTATTTGGCAGAAATATAATACTATTTCTAAGAACCTCTTTTTTCCCTCATTTTGTAATGAAATATTTTTGAAAATTCATTTTCTTAGAGAAAATTTTTATAACAAAATTTCACGTGCAGTTTTAATGCGATTAAAACTTACATATATTTAGATGTAATTACTTTTTGATTTTTGTAACAAGAAAAAAAATTTGTGTAGAAATTTTACATGCGTTTTTCATTTGATATATTAAGTAATCAAATAATTATTTTTAATAAATTTAATTTATTAATTTTATGCAAATTTTTTACAATGTTTTTCAAGTTACTCAAATCTATAACTTTAAGGAGTTGTTTTAAAGAAAAATATATGAGCTCACTCAATCCAATTTTCATTTGCGACGTTTTGATGCTCTTCATTGAATTATTAGTTTAAAATCTTTGTTTTCAAATTCAAACCTTTATTTCATTATTTAAATTATTTTCTTAATTCTAAAATTTTCTTAATTCTTCATTATTAAAATCTTTCTTAATTCGAACTTGTATTATTTCCCATGCATTCATTACAAAATCAGAAAAAATATTGATGATAAACTAATAGTTTGTCTATTTAAGTTATTACTTTTTTTGTAATTTGAGATTAGCACTTGTTAAATTAAAAACAACATTTATTGAATGATGTCTACGCTTAAAAAAACATTCGGTTCCAATTTTTTTTAATAAATTAATGTTAGGCAGGCTGCACACTGAGGAGATAAGCTGTGAGAAAGAGGCATGCAGGTGGTGATTTCTATACTTTTGCTTTTGGATGTGCGAAGGTGATTTGCACATGCTAAGGCAAAAGTATGGGAATCTGTCTCGCGTATGTCTCTTATTTACTGCTTGCCTCCTCAGTGTGTGACCTGCCTTATTCAATCTAAGAATATTTATTTTTTTCAACTGCATTAAAAATAATAGTGGGCTTATGTTTTAATGCCAGAAAAATATTAGTAAAAATTAACTTTTTCATATTATTGTAAATTGTTTAAATTAAAATGGAAGCATTTCTACATTCCTTTTTAAAGCATCAAAACAATGCTAGCAAACATATATACTTTCATAAAGGTGTTTCTTGTATTTTTTGCAGCTGATAATTGAATCAGTGTTTCTAATATGATTCATACAGGATCTTTGCTATCGACATTATAGCACTATATGAATGAGCTAGTTTGATTACATGGAGTTAATGGAGCACGCTTTGAATCGTTATCGCGGTTATAACGATTAAAACACTTTAAGTGTTAGAAAGTTTAATCAGTTTTAATCTAAACAGAAGAGTGGAAATATCCTTTTCTTCTCTTTTATTGAAATTATTAGTTAACTTTTCTGTTTCATTTTGTTTGTTGAATAAAATGCTAAAAAAGAAAAATTTTGTTTGCTATGGAAACTTTCCTTATGCTGCAGTTTTTTTTAAAAAAAGTTTAAATTTTAAAAAAAAATTGAGTCGCAACCGACCTTGGCATAAAATGATTTAGTTATCTTATCTTTGGTTTAGGTTTAAAAGAATTAATTTACTACTATTAATTGTCACTGTTGCTTTCGATATTTCTAAAATCACATATAAATTATATACAAGGTGTTCCGTAAAAACTGCTGTTAATGTGTATTTTTAGAATCTTTATCAAAAATGTAAATAAAAAGTATGCATAAGGGGTCGCAAATCAATATTTAACAGAGGAAAAAATTATATCAAAATCTTAAAAAATCACATAACATGAAAGCGAATGCTATGAATAAGACAGGTTTGATAGTGAGAGTAAGCAGAGACCAGTTTAAAGATTAGAAACATTCAGTTTCACCCTCCAATTGTATATATTTTGACATTTATTACATTACCCTTTCTCAACCGTAATTTGTCAGATTTCGGTAGCATTCTTGCTTTTTTCTTGATTAAATATTAATATTCTATTTTCTCATTTTTGATAAGGTTTCTGAAAAGTACATATTAAGGGCTGTTTTTACCATTACTCTATATATGTAAGGTCTCGACTCCAGAAAATCTTATTAAAGTTTTTGGTCCACATTTAAAAAAATTAATAATTGCTATTTGTCACTGCTTTTTCATAATTTCGTTCAATGAAGATATATACTTGTATTTTACACATAACTGAACTAAATATATATTTTACATTGAATTTTGTTCAAATTTTCGTCCTTAGTATACTTGTATAAAACAAACTTACATATATTTTCTTAATTTTTTCCTTACATTAATTTTTTCCTTACATTTATTTTCTCTAAAGTTGAATTGCTGAAAAATGTTTACTTAGAGACTTAGTACATATACTACATAACCATTTAAAGCACTATTATAAACTTTTTGCATTTTCCTTCAATTTGAACTAGGGAAATCATTCAGATGTGTTTGTTTTTCTTTCTTCTAATGGTTTAGTATCCTCAATGTAGAAATGCTCTTATAAATTGTGTAAAATAGCTTGTCTACTTAATACATATATCGATTTTTTTTAAAATCAATTCTCATTATAAATAGATGAATGGTACTAGATTCTTTGAACATATGTCCATATTCCTGGTTTGAATGTAGTATTTAATTGTACTTTGTATAAAGGTGTTGACACATTTTAATGTACATTAGGCAACTTAAATACTTCACTGGTCCTTTTAGCTAATGTATAAATTATTTTGATCTGTATCATTATCAAGTTCATTTATTCACTATGAACAATTTTCAATTTGGAGGTATCTTTCCACTATTACCAATATGTATATTGAAAATAAAACCTGTGAAAATTTGTTTTATTGATTGTTTATTGTTATAGGTTGATTATAATAGGTTTTATTGATTTTTTCAAATTAAAACAGTACAAGCTGCTTTCTTAAAGATCTGGGATGACCGGATAGTTAAATAATTGTGCATGTTTAGATGCTGCGCACTCACAAACACAGTGCAGGGGTGATTGTGCTCCGGAAAAATTCCGAATTTTTCACTAACAGTGATCCAGACGTTTCCGGAAATCGAATTTTCAAAGGTGGAACTTAAAAACACAGTTTATTTTATTTGTTTGTAAGGGAAAGCCTGAGAGATACTTTATAAGCTTATATTCATGATTAATATTCATTTTTTATCAGTTAATAGTTATTGTAATCATAAACTTAAGAAAGACATATTAGTAAATTTCAATTATTTCTGCATGTCATCATAGGTATGTGTAAAATTTTAAATTTATTTTAAGTAAACTAAGAAATATTGAGAAACGGGAAAAAAAAACCTTGTTTTAATTTTTTTTTCAATTTAAACTGTTTTTTTTAACTCAAGAAATTTTTCGGAATTTTGACCTTGGCTCACAATCACCCCTGACAGTGTGAGACATGACAATTAATGTCCCCTCCCGTCCAAATTGCAATAGTCAAACCAAAGTGCATACTATTCAACACAGTGTGGAATGGCATGTCAGTGGAAACGAAGTGCTGTAATACCACAAAGTTTTGCCTCAAATTAATTATTTTAAATGGTATGATGATAGAAAAAAATATAGATTCATACATTCCAACTTATACGGACGTTGCAAAAGTTTTTCTCAGTGACATCTATGTTTTAAGGTATAAATCAAATTTTAAAAAAAGAAGGAAAAACCTACATGAAATTAGTAGTTTAAACATGCAATATCAGAAATCATCTGGGAATATCAGCAAGATATTTGAATGCAGCTTTGGCAAAAAAAAGATGCTTTAAAGGAGTATTTAACTCTCCTTATCTTGTGCCAATAACAGATAAATTAAAAATATGCAGCCTACATGGAAGAATGCAAAAATAAGGGAAGAGAAATTAAACAACCCTCTAGAGGTAAAGGGTATTGAATTGAAGGAAAAGAAATACATACACAAGGAAAGCAAAGAAGCAGCTGAAAATTCTTCTATTTAGAAAAGCTTTCGAAAGAAAATGATTTGAAGGGAGGGAAGATAGCTCATATATACTAATGCATGGTGCGTAGCGTTTTTAAAAAGTGCTTATTTTCGATAACTGTTTTTTAAAAGCCCTTAAAGGTGTTTCTTTCATTGGATGTTTTTAAAAAGAGCTTAATTTTTCCTTTTCGAAAATGAGAATTTTTTTTTTACCATGTCGATTTTCGCCACGTATTATGCAAAAGCGTGCTTTTCATATTCAACGTTTTCATAATTCATTCAACAATCTATTTCGGCGTACCGCCGGTCCATAGCGTATGAAAGCGCTAATCATTTTACATGATTGATGAAATACTTGCCAGTCCACATCTGTGTCTACTGAGCTGGGTCCGATAAGATTCCAGCACTCTCGTGTATAACTCTGCTGCATTTTGCAAGATTTTCCCAATTTCAGGCTTCATTTTCCAACCTCTGAAATCGAACCGAAAAATATCTTGATTATTTTATAATGGCTAATATAATGAAGAAATAAGTTCTTTTTCAGAAACTAGTTATTTTATCCTGATCATGTAAAGTCTTTGAAAATTTTTTCGCATTTTGTTTATGTATGTTAAAAATATTTTTTGTACTTAAAAGGTGCTTATTTTTTGTTGAAAGATTTGGCTGCGCACCCTGTAATTGGTGTCAAGAATATGAAACCTGGCCGTGAAAAGAAACAAAAAAAAATTACTTAAATGAAAATCAGTTGTTATTACATATTTTTTCTAAAAAAAAAAACCTAGAAGGAATAATAATAAAAAATTTAAGTTCTTTTTTTTGTTGTTTAATAGCCATTTATTTTTGATAAAACTTATTATAAAAAAAGACAAATATTATAAAATTTACAACAAAAAATCTTAACAGGTTTATTTTGATTATAGATTTCCAACAAACAATTTGTTTAAATTTTTTTTCTCTCTTTCAACTTCTACGTGAGCCCAACTCAAAAATCCTGAAAATTTCTTAAGTATAATCATTAATGACGAATTTCAAAAAATAAATGTCTTTATAAATTTAAATCATTATTTTCAAAACATGAAATTCTAAATAAATTATATGCAGCATAATTTAAATCAGTGATTCCCAAAGTGGTCTATATCGACCCCCAGGGGTTCATGTCAAAGGGGGAAAAAATTGGGGGCCAACGATAGTGGATCTCGTATAAGCAGGTCGTGACTTTACTTTTGGTATTTCATGAATGAATGGAATAATGAAGATACACTGATAGTACCTGTTTACTTACATTATAATATAAAGACATGTATCTATCTACACAATTTAGAAAAGTAGCTATGAAGTAAAAGTTTTATCAAAATTTAAGTTATTAGGATTATTTTCTGATATATGAAACTGAATTATTATAAACTAGCAGTTGCCTACAGCTCCGCCCGCGTACATTTTTATTTTCTCTGCGTATAAGGTTTTATTTTGTAACAAAAAATTATTTTTTGAGCTAAATTGGTTTCCGGTAAATTAATTTGAATTTAATTAATAAATGGATAAAATTAACATGTGTATTTTCTTAAATTTTTCACACTACAGTTAGAAATTTAAATCTTTCACAGTGAGTAGCACTGTTCCAGCTGTCGAAAATACATTTGAAGTTAATGAATTTATAAAAAATCAATATCAGGTAAGCAGGGGGTCTACGAGACAAAAAGTTCAGGAACCACTGATTTAAATGGATAATTATGTATAAGTTTACTTTTATGTCTAATCATATTTATTCTACCAGAAAAAATATTTTTAAATGAAAGAGATGCCAAATATAAATTCTAGTTCTATATAATATACAAGATATATATAATAGTTATATATAATAGTTTTAAATAAAATATACAAGAATTTGTATACATAAATGTGATCGATGATTCCTTGAAACTTCTAGAGCTTGGATTTCTGGATAAGGTTAGCAAAAAATCAGGAACACAATCATCTCCGACTTCTAGCTGTATAATATATTGATAACAGGAAACTTGAAAAAGTGTAATATTAAAATTACTGATCAACAACTTCAATTTACACTTGTACTAGCCCTTGAATTGCAATTAAATCACAATAATACACGAGAACTAAAGGAAAAATCTACCTATTGTCACCTTTTTGACAAACCTGCAGGTCCATAACTTTCAGAATCCTGAAACAATCCTTTCATTACCATTTTTCCAAATTGTAATAATTATGATTCTATTTTGTGTGCTTGCATCCTTCTAACTTGAAAGGTAATTTTTGTCAGTTTTGAAAAAAGCAAACTTAAAACTTATTTTTACTTCATTATTTATTTTTCAACTTCAGAGTTTCTAAATTTAAAAATCTTATGCAACTGAATAATTTCATAAAATTACACATAATAACTTATAGACAACCTTAGTTATTGACAAAAATATTTTGCACTAAATTCTATATTTTCAAATAATTTCTATAAGAGAACATGGCAGGAAATACTAGATTGACTCTTAGATTAGTTAGATTATCGCATGCAAAATGTGCAGGCAATAATCCAATATCTACATAAGTTAAATTGCATCAAAGATATTACATTGACAAAATATTTTAAGTTAGAAGCAAAAATTATTGCTTCTAACTAAAATAAGTCAATTATAAGACAATACAAAACAGAATATCTGATTGGAGAATATTTTACGTATTTTAAAGATAGAAAAAAAAAAGAGACAAGGCAAGATCATTGAAAGCTATTTATTAGTAGTTATCATATTATTCAAACAGAATCATGAATAGCAACATATATAAATGATTCATAACACACATGAGGTTGCAGTATTTACAAATATGCTACTCTATGGATTTCTTCAATACTCGACTTCATTAGCGATTTCACTGTACTTTTTCTATCACAAGTGGTGCTATAAAGAAAAAAATTATCCTTTTAAATGTCATAGAACAATTATATATTTAAATACATATTAAAATACAAAATAACTATTTTATATACATATTTTTTTAAAAATTCTTTTATATCCTAACCTTCTGTACCATGATAATGAAAAATAAAAGTTTTTATTATTTTATCTTAAAGAAAATCTCGACTTTCATGTCAATTTGACAATAACTATGGCATAGGTTCAAAAAGAAAAAAGTTTTGATTTTATTTTTATGTAAAAAGAAAACACAATTTTCCAATTATTTTATTGACACTGCACATTGTACACTTTATGATACCTGGAATGTAAGACATACGTTGTTTTTTAATCCCATTTCAGCTGTAACTAGAAAATTTTGTTAGAAATTAACAAATGAATTAATTCTAAAAAGCATATTGTGTGATTTTCTACAGTAAGTGTGATGTGAACCACAAAAATATAAATTTTCTTATCATTTTATGCAATATTTTCTACTTTGTTTTTTCAATGTATATCATTTGTATGTAGTAATGCAGGGTTGGCAGGTTTCTGCTGACGAATGACGTTCTATAAATACAAAACTATTAAGGACGTTTTCAAGTGTCTCAGTTTCTATTGGTTATAAGCAGTTCCTATAATAAAAAGTCAATCCTGTAGTAATGTGAACATATGCATGCTTATTTAATAATTTACAAAACAAAATTCAGAATACACATGATAATTTTATAAGAATTGAATTAATTTAATAATAAAATATTACTAGCATAGATTTTATTAAAATTTTACCATAAAATATAGAAACTATTTTATTAAAATTTAATAATAAAATATAGTCAATACTTTATGACAAAACCACATTGATTTTTGTGTATTGTATATCATAATTAGAAGATTTTTGTACCAGCAACTACGCTGAATTCATTACAACATTTGAGAACAATAATACCTAATAATAGACATTTTACTATGTTATGACGCAATCTGCTTTAATACTGTTTCGAGTGGAAACAAAATATATTTAAAGAAAATATCAAAACCCGATTGCATGAAAATTGATACCACAGACTGATTTACGCTAATTTACAATGATACAATGTGATATACATCATATAGATATAAAAAGAAAAATTACCGGCTCGAATCAAGCCAATTACAAAAAAGTAGGTAAGGCAGGTTTTTAAAACAGCAGATCTCGCTTTCCTCTTCTCCTCAACCGGATCAATCCTCTCAAATTTGAATGGCTGTACACGAAACATTTTTAATAAATATTACTCTTTGAAGATTCTATTTTAGATAATTCAAAGAGATGAACAACACGAGACAGTATTTCAACAATTTTTCAGCTTAGGTAAGTGCACATTATTTTGATTGATAATTGATTGATCATTACATATACTTCCTGCTTGTTTCTGCCTAGTTCTGGTTGGGCAATGAATGGTATTTCCACACTAGATAGCGCTGCAAACTCTTTGCGGCCTATATTTCCAGCTTAAGTTTATTCTATGCGAAATTTTCTTGTGATTTTCTTGAATTATGAGATTTATTTTTTAGTTGTAGTTGTAATTCATTTACGTCGCACAAGAGCACAATGGGCTATTGGCAACAGTCTGGAAAACATCCCTGAACATGATCCGAAGACATGTCATCACAATTTTGATCCTCTGCAGAGGGGATGGCACCCCCGCTTCGGTAGCCCGACGACCTGCACGCGAAGTCGAGCACTTTACGGTAGAACAGCTTAACGAGGATCAATATCGAACACCCACGGTCCCTACGCAGACTAATCCAAGTTGTCATCCACCCGCACACTGATCGTAGCCAGTGATGTTTGATTTCGGTGACTTGTTGGGAACCGTGTCTTAACGATCAGTCCACTGCGGGACTTCGGAACTTGATGTTCTAGTACTCGGCCCTACTGGTTCGACGCGGTGACAGTGACCTCGGAATTGTTAATTAATTAGTGCAAGTGATATTTTAAGTTAGGAAATTAGACACAAAACCGTATTTTCCGTGAATAAACATACCTTTTTCCGACGGATTCGTATTTCTGAAACCCAAAATATGGGAGGAAGCCACAATCTGGGAAATAGGGCTCCAATAGTTTGGTCAGGAGTGCGATTGAAAATTTGGACCTCTTACTGATAATTTCTCTTTTTGCGTATTTCACCATATCATGAGAACTTATTAAGCAAATTGAAAATTTTTTATTTTTAAATTATGAAATTCGTTTATCCAAAGGTAATTCCATGCAAAAAGTAACTTTTAGTAAATATTTAGTATTTTATTTTATAATAATCGGAAATAAGTTTGAATTATAAAGTTTAAAATTTTTTACATCATTTAAATAAATTTAATTTTACGTGGCAAAATACTAAATTTGAGTAAAATTAGGCAAGTACTTTCTGAGAGATCGAAATTTAAAAATACGACTTTTCTCCATTGAAGCTTTTTTTTTTTTTTTTTTTTNTTTTTTTTTTTTTTTTTTTTTTTTTTTTTTTTTTTGCGCATAATACAGTGTGCGTCATAAACATATTTTTTATTATTTTTATGATTTAAAGCTAATGCATAATTTTAGAGCTTCATACACATATAGATTACGTACCTTTTCTTGAATCTACATTCATCTCTCTCCAGTTCCTCCAAAAAGCATAAGAATATACATGAATATGTACATGACATCAACATAAAGGGACAGAGCAGCGAACACATATTCTTCTGGATTAATAGCATGCATCTTTCCTCCCATTATCAATTGCGTGTCATAAGCAAGAAACTGAAAATAAATAAATTTTTAATCACGTTTTTAAATTCTGAAATGTATATAACTATAGTCTGTATGTACTGAGCAGTCATGACTTAAATTCAAACCTGGGGCACCTCATTCGGAAGTAAGCTCTCTATCACCCAAGAAGCCACCATGGCTCTTCTGCCGAATTATTATAAAAGTCGACAAAAAAATTAGAAAGTAGATAAATCAAAAACGATTTTGTTGTCTAGGGCTATGTTCAACAACTGGCTGAATGCGGTTGGGGTGCGAACAGAGGAATTCAAAAACTGGACTGCCAAAATGTTTCTGAAATATAAATTATTCAAATGCATTATTTAATAATATTTTTCAGAAGAAAAAAATGAGCGATCTAAAATCTTATTCAGCGTGATAATAAACCGATGCCTCAAAGATGTAACGTTAAGATGCCATGAACAACTGCGTGATTAGATACAACTATGTCATTAGTACCCAATTATATTAATTGAAAACAGGCGTCACGCTCTTAGAATACCATTGAATAGCCTCAAAACAAAATCTCATATAGGAAAGAAAATCGATTTTTTTATGCTTTTCTTCTGCGTTGTAAAGAATTGAAAGTCTGAAAATAAGGAGCAAAAATCTATTTTTAATGTTTAAATGTTTTACAAGTATCATTTAAAGAAAAATTGTCGAGAATTCACGCAACTTTAAATTTTTTATTTTTATTCTGAACCCCACTTTGAAATAATAGATACCAGTAATAGTCTAATAATTAAGTATTAATATTAACCTTAACGTAAAAAAAAAAAAAAAAGTCAGGTATGCGCTTTTTTTCTAAAACTCAATTTTAAATATGAACCAAATAATGCAAAGTTAAAGGAAAGGTTAATGATTAAAAAAAACATGTATTAAGTGCAGCGGTAAAATTTAAGTTGCAGTAAAAAAGAGGGGTTTATAGCTCTATATTGCATTATTCTCTAAAAATGATTATAATTTAGTGCCAAACGTAATCATTTTCGTGCATTAATTTAACAACTATGCATATTTCCCACCTGTAAATGATTCAAAATCTAGTTTAATTATAACGCTAAAAAGTAAAAATATTGTACTTATTGTCACCAAAATTAGCGAACACAATGCTTACAGCCATGAAAACTAATGCACCAACTCCTGCATACACCATTGTCATAGTCTAAAAAAAAGACATAGAAATAAACTTTAAAAAAAAATTTTGAATGCAAAAAACTCATTACAAAATATGAAATTACGAACTGAACTGAAACACAGCATATCCATTGGGTGCTTTTCGGTATTAAGTGAGAAATTTATCGATTAATCGCATCCACTTGATAAGTGGGAAAACTTCATTAGCCTCGAAAAATTAATAGGTTGATATGTTTCGAGCACTCAAAATAAAGGCACCTATTTTTAAGATGTACCAGATGAGAAGGAGGTGAACGAAACAAATTTGAAAATAGAAAACGCTAAGTTGTCGGGAAAAAATCAAAATAAAGGTGAAAAACAAAATACGAAAAATCGTGATATTTAAGGAAAAACGACGGTGGCTGAAATAGAGAAATAAAAAAAGCATGCATTTCCCAAGCGGCATGAAAGTTTGTAAGGAACTGAGGTAGCTCACTAGGTAAACGACATTAAAATCATCAGCTATATCAGTGTAAAATATCGCTGTTTGTTATTTTTTGGATAGCATCATAGCATGCTTACGGAATCTTTCGAATTCATTTGTAAGGAACTGAGGTAGCTCAGTAGGTAAACGACATTCATATCATCTGCTATATAAGTGTAAAATATCGCCGTTTGTTATTTTTTGGGTAGCATCATAGCATGCTTACGGAATCTTCCGAGTTCATTTGTTGTTTGCTTCGTTGAAATTTAAATTGAAAGAATGCGTTATAATGTAAATACTACAGGTAGAATAATATTGGATGCATGTTGTTTCGTGCTGAGGCGTAAAAAGCAATCGAAGGTAGTAACTCGGAAGTCTTACGACGAATTTGAACTCCTAGCGCCATCTGTGCGTAATATGGATAACCATATATATTGAGCAGCGATAGCTCAGGGAATAGAGCATTCGCCATCCAATGAGGCGAAACGGGTTCGAATCCCAGTCGATACGAATTCCGCATCCGGCTTGCACCGACCACAGTGCCGACGTAAAATATCCTCAGTGGTAGACGGATCATTGGTTAGAGTCCCCTTGCCGTGAAGCTACCCGTGGGAGATTTTCGTGGTCTTCCTCTCTAAGTAACGCAAATGCAGGTTAGCTCCATCAAAAAGACCTCCACGAAGGCAAATTTCTCCCAATACTCGGTTCAGGAGTTCCTTTGTCTTCTGGATTGAATTCAAAATTACAAGGCATCGGAGTTGAACATAAGTAGTCGTAAATTCATTAAATTGGGTCAGCTGTTCAACGACGGTTATAAAATTATAGCACAAAACCATATATATTGCTACTTGATATTGATATACTTTGATTTCTCATACATTATGCTAAATATTATTAAATGTCATAATACTTTTTAAAACATTTTTATTAATTTTTTTTTATTGCAGATTGACTACAATGTATTAATCATAATTACGCGAGTTATAACTGAAAACCATAGTAACTTACGTGAGAACGGACAATGATGGCCACAATACCAAAGATTAACAGAACTATGAGCAAAATGCACATAATACCTCCGCAATTGGTGAAATCAAACTAAAAAACAAAAAAAAATAATTAGTTACATCACCAGAAAGAAATTATTTTTGTTTGTACAAAAGATTTTGAAATCTAAATACATTAAAGTTCCCAAAATACTCTGTGATCGGTGTTTTGCAAGTAGTAGAGATAATCGTTAAACTAAATCCTTTCCGGTGCAATGTAGCCAGTCTGGCAATACCAATTAAATAAATGTTAAAAACCACACGAAATGTCAAACTAATAGCTTTGAAACGTTTATCAATGACTATTCTTGGAAAAATAAAGAGATTAAGTATATTGCCTCACTTAGAATATATTTTTCAAGGTTGCATTTTGGCAATGTCCTACCTGACTAAAATTTTTAATCGAAATTTGCTGTACCGGAAAAGGCAAAGAGCATTATTTCCTGGTGATCAATCTCAACCGACAGAGTGGCGTGGAATTAAAACCTTAAATATGCTTTTATTTAATTTTTACACATTAAATGATGAATCATATCCGGCTGCATTTTCCGAAACAAGTTGGATAGAAGACAAACGTCCAATTAGAATGGGAGAGATACATGATCACTGTTGGTCCAAGGAACCATTTGACAGTAACCATCATAACATTGAAATACCGCGCTCCATCATGAATTGATGATGGGCATTGTTGGACCAACAATGCCAAACACATGTTGTTGGTTGACCATCAAATCGGCATAACATCATCTTCCAACATGAATGTTGTTGATCCAACAGTACATCATATACCAACAAAACATCATATAATGGTTAATGATATTATAGTTGATCTTTATACGTATAATGGTTTATCATTGTATAATGGTTGATCTCTTGATGGTTAACTATCACAGTATTGAAGCAGCATCGTACATCATAAAATCGTGGAAGTTTGTTGCATATCAAAATTCATTCCATTGACTTGGTTATTTAATTTACGTTGGCTATTTTGCACAAATATATTATTTGGGTACGTGTTATTTTAAGATATAAAAAGCTTTTTAAGACCAAATTATACAAATACATCTCTACACTTAGCATATTTTAAATTTCTGTAAAAAAATTTCTGTCTGATTATTCACCAAGGATCATTTCAGACTGAGGAGGTGCCAGCAAAGAGCATATATGAACCAAAATTTTGTTAATTATTTAGCAAAAACTGGAAATATTACTTTTTTAAATCCTATTCTCTGAACTATACGTGCGTATGTGCCAATATTGTCTTTGAGTCATCACTAAATATTTGCTCTGCTAATATTTAACACAATTAGAGAGTTACGACATATGATTCTGTGATTGGTTAAGACGAAACAGAAAGAATCTGAAACAAAATTTTTCCTTATACGTTTAGTTATTATTTTAGGAATCTCAAAATTATAGACATTAACACTTTTTTTCAGCTTTTGAAATAAATGTCAACCATTCAAAGTTTCTATAATGCACAAGATAAATGCTAAATAACTATACATATTTTGAAACTATCAACTTTTAAGATTTACGATATCTATACTTTTCACTTTAATCAAACTATTTAAGCTATGTCGAATGAATTGGTAATTTCGGGAGAAAAAAAAACTTCTCAATTACTATAAATACTATAAAACTATTCCGGAAAAGAGGAATGCGATCAAATAGAATAAATAAAAATCCCCCAATTTAGCTNAAAATTAAAAAAAAAAAAAAAAAAAATTGGAAAGTACATCTGTATTAAAATCAAATTTTTTCCCCTCTCAAATGCAAATAACACATATTTAAATCTTATGTTGATGCTTCTCTTCTTTAATTTAACGATAAAATTGCATTATTAAATTGAATATTATTATCCGTTCTAAAGCCCAGGAAAAGCTTTACGGCAAGACGGTACAAATAGTTAAAAAGTATAAATTTACTTAAAATTTATAATTTTGCTGTGTCATTTTTTATTATTCTTGGCGAAAGATAACTTCGTAAAACGTGATTTTGATGCTGAGTAAAAAAGCGAGGTTTGAGGGAAACTTCGCCAAGTGTGGTAACTATCAACTCCGCTATTTCTTTTTTTGGCAAACCCAATCAAGACATTTTTTTAAATATTTTGTAGTGACGCAACTCACTAAATTACGTCAGATACAGAGATTTTGTTGAAGATGAATCTCAGGTTGCCACCAATAGCTAAGTACTGTGACTCTAGTGTGAGGTTAAAAATCAAATCAGCAAAAATGCAAATGCTGTACTGACCTTTGTATAAAAAGAAAACACTGTCACCACGAAACAGACAATCACACAAATTCCAATAGCCATAAGCACAGCATTAGTATCGTACACGCTGCAAGAAATAAAATTGTTTATTTCAAAAGTAAAAATAGCACCGAATTTATGGAGCAAAAAAGAAAGGTAAAAATTTCTTACCACGAAATAGAACCCATTATGTAGCTCATGCAAAGAGTCTAAAAAAAATAGCACATACATTTATTAATGAGTGAACATACGGGATACAGGAGAAGTCCTAGTACGGTGATATTACTTGAGAAATACCCATTAAAAAACACGTTTAATAGGTATCAGCTATCCAATGACACAAAAGTTAACCCTTTAATCCTGACCCCTTGATTGTGGTGGGGGTACTAAAATAGGAACCCCGGGTATAGATTCCTTATAAGTACCAGCATCTTACCTCGTCCCCACACCAATGATACCAAATGGATTCCTTTTGGTATCATTCTATATTCTTAGGTTTTCATTGGATAGAAATCTACTTAGGATTTTTCAAATTATAAAGTATACGTCCATTTTATTTTTTAATGTAACGTATACTTTTTGAGAGATCTCCATATTTCAAACAATTTATATCTTTTTCCTTCTTGTTGATTACAGTGTTACTTGTGAACTAAAATGCAAAAATTTATCAGTTAAATTGGAGCACACTTAACTGTAAAATCCAATTCTGCAATAAAAAATAGATGGTAAGTCCCGGGAATTAGAATTTTAGAGATAAATTTGCTATGCTGAAACGGACTTATTTTTTATGAACTTAACACAGAGTTTTTTTTTCTTTCATTTCCAAATTCCAAACTGTTCGAAAATTTTTGTTATCTTACGTGTGTTCTTTTTGCGAATCTTTATCACTTTTTGTGCTTTACGTTACATTTTGCTTTACTGCACAAAATACATAAGATTTAGAAATTTGAAATTGTGAAGTTATGTTGAAAAGAATCACAGGGAATACGACGAAATAATAATAAAAAAAAGATTCAATATTAGTTTGAAAATTATTAACTGCTACATTTGTAGATAAAAATACCATATTTGGTTTATCTGTAGCCCGCTGAATTGCAACTACGGAGACGTATTTTATAGACTAATTTGACGCTGTGAAAGAGCAATTTTTATTTATTGTTTTCCCGTTTAAGCGATTTATCTTGATTTTTTTTTCAGCTTCAGCTTTTTTGCTAAAAATATTGACTATTTATCCATTCTATATTTTGTCATAAAAAAATTATTATTCCCTCTCGAGATCTTGATTTCAATATTTTATAAGATCACACACAGGTAAATATCATAGCAAAAAAAAAAAAAAAAAAAAAAAAAAAAAAAAAAAAAAAAAAAAAAAAAACAGAGAAAAAGAGAGAAATTATGTGTTACCAGGTTTAAATCTTAATATTTATAGTAAAATTATTATAAAAAATTTAAAAAAAAAAAAAAAGCTAAAAATATTATAAATAGATTAATGGTATTTTTAATGTTTAATTTTGAATTAAATAACTTTATTTTTTAAAAGCACCCGATGATTATTCTTCGCTATTAAATTCTTTGACAAATTCTTAATTTAACACAGTTTTCCTTTTCATAGTACGAAGGAAAACATATTATTTAACTTAAAATTAAAACTGTAATTTTACAGTATTATTTTATTTATAACATTTTACTGTTTTTGAATTTAAATTTGAAAAGTAATGAACCTAATTTTGTGTTAAATTTACTTTTCTCATTCCCGAAATATAACTTTTTAATAAATAAATGCAAAGATGTTAAATTTCTCACAACTAGCAGAAAAATATTATTATTTTAGAAAATAATTTTCAGTCATGTGATTAAACATATAATAGCCTAATTAATGCTTATATTTTCATAAATAATATAAACGTTCAATATTTTCTGTTAGTGTTGGTGTAATTTTTACTTCAATATATTATAAATAATTAAAAAATTAATATTTACTATTATAGCCAAAGTTATTAAGTTCAAAGGAAACTGACGTCTGAAAAAGAAATAAAAAAAATATTAAAAGAACAACGATTAAAAACAATAAATTCTTATAAAGTATATATATATTTAAAGAAAAAAAAATAGGTGAGCTGTAAAAATACTTGCTTGAAGTATTTTAGTAAAAATACAGAATATCTATGTAATGCATTTACATGAGAGCGCAATTTAAAATTTGTAGCACAATAAAAGGAAATAATAATTTTTTCTTTGAAATTGCCTGTATTTGGTTACAAATTTGAAAAAAAATCTATTTAAATAAACCAAAATATTTATATGTATGTACCATATATGAGTTCGCAAATTGGTGTACAGTGTGCCAAAAAAAAAAAAAAAAAAAAAAAAAAAAAAAAAANAAAAAAAAAAAAAAAAAAAAAAAAAAAAAAAAAAAAAAAAAATGGGCCACCCTGAATAACTTTTGATCTAATGATTGCATCTTCACTTTTAAGGACTCATTCTTAATGGTTCGAAGCGGGTGACCTCAAATATGTATTTAATTAGTGCAGGCAATATCTTCAGTTAAGAAATTAGACACAAAAACGTGTTCTCTCTAAATAAACATAATTTTTTTTTCCAACAAATTTGGATTTCTGACCTCCAATATATAGGGGTGACAGCAATCAGGGAAATATGGCCCCCATAGTTAGATCAGGATAGCGGTCCGAAGTTTGGACCCGCAAATGTTAGCTTCATTTTTTGCATATTTCGCTATATCTCGAGAACTTTTTAAGCGCATTGAAAAATCTTTGCATAAAATTATAAAATTCACTTAGATATTACGCACAATTGTACTGGACGCAATTATGAAATTCACAAAGATAATTCCATGAAAAAAATAAATTTTAGTAGACATTTACTATTTTTTATTATTTTATTAAATAATAGTCGAAAAAATTTTTAATTGAAAGTTGCACATTTCTTAAGTTATTTTAAAGTATTTAATTATACATAGCAAAAAAAAAAAAAAAAAAAAAAAAAAAAAAAAAATTGAGCGAAATCGGTTGAATAGTTCCTGAGAAATAAAATACTAAATATACGACTTCTTTAAAATTTGATTTCTCATGAACTATTTAACCGATTTTGCTCAAATTTTGCATTTTGCCGCGTAAAATTGATGATTTACTGGAGATTTATTGATGATTTACTTTTTCAACCGGGTCGAAAAATAGGTATTCAGTTACTAAATAAAATAAGATATCAGTGCAATTTTATTTTAATTTTATGGAGAAAACTTCACGTTAACGCTCTTCAGTGATTTGTGTTAGAATGCTCAGAATCTTTACCACAGAAATGTGAAGGCCGATTTATTAAATCATTACTTGTACAATAATTATTCAATTTTTGATGAACTAACGTTTATATTGACTGCAATCCAGAGAATCTTTTTGTTGTTGTTGTTATTTTCAAAACTGCTAAAATAAGAAAAATGCTGATTTTGAAATAAAATTTGTGCTTATTGTGTTTTGAAACCATGCGAAACGAATCTCTTATTAGGTAAATTTCTTAACAAGAAATAAAAATGAACATTGAGACAAAAATTACCTCAATTTTTCAACGCAAGCTAATGCTATGACCACTACTATATAGATACCCCTGCAAAAATAAACTCCCATTTACTTTTGTTAACAATTCATTTAGAATAAGTGAACAAAATAGATTTAAGACTTACAATGCTACCCACAACAACGCAGTATTGGTCAATACAAAGTGCTTCACATGAGGTCTAAAAATAGATAAAAATATTTATTACTTTCGAAAGACTTTAAACAGAATTTAATATTTTGCTTACGTATTTTTAGATAGCATACGAATATATCGTGGATAAACAATTTTCAGCTGAATTATAATACAGTTAAAAGAAAGTTTGTAAAACTTGTGTATGTGAACACGCAATGTGTTCCATACCAGAAATAAGCATTTTATATAAATATAATTATTAATAATTAGTTATAAATTAATTTAATTCTAATTGTCGAATTATAAGTAAATTTCTCAAATCATCAAATTAGAAATCATTTAAGGGTTATCCAAAAAAAGTGGATTTGTGTAATAAAGTTAGAAGCACAGTAACGATAGCAGCGACACCACACAGAAAAGAAAGAAAGTGAAGATGAGAATTATAAAGAAAGTGAAGATGAGAATTATAAAGAAAGTGAAGCTGAGTGCATCATACGCTGCATGCAACGGACAACAAGTCAACTTTTCATTTCGTGATGTGGCTAAAAGTTAGCTGTTAACTAAGCTTAAACCGATATGTAAATAGTTTCCTCATAAAAGCCTCTTCTTTGCTCTGAATATAAACGAAAACCGGTTTTGATGCGTGGGATGAGATTTTTCCTTCACCTTACTTATGAGACCTGTTATAAGGCAAACAAGCATTGAAAACAAAACAGTACAGAGGCTGCGTCCCATGTCCAGATCAGAAAAATATGAGGCAGTTTTATTTTAACTAGAAGAAGGTGATCAGTCTAAGTGTTGCAGAATTGTACTAGTCAGAGCTCTTTTCTTATTTAAAAAAAATAGTGCATGGTGTCCCTACGCGCGGAAGAAGATAAACTTCGCAACCTGCGACGTTAATTGCAGAAGAATCAGCAGTCGTAGAAAGATCACTAGTTCTATTCAACGACTCTTTTTCCTGCTCCGCTCGCTTCCGTGCTCTGTAATCACGGTAATATTGTGCATTTTTCCCTCGTGGACCTCTTGAACCAGTGGAAGTGCTTGTGGTTGCCTCTTCGTCTCGCCCTGGAAAATGTATATGTATTAATAATGTATGCGAATGCGTCATAATGTAATTTCAGAAGAGAAAACCTAACAATCAATTGATATTCACAAGAGACGTACCTTGACATAACCTTAAATCCGTCGCATTGTCCGTGGGATTTTCACTCATTTTTTACAATTGTTATCCACTAAATGTGAAAATAAAAAATACTAGGTACCCTATTAAATTGTATGTGTATCAAATAAAACTAAAAAAATATTTATAGAAAAACAATACTTTTATGACTTTTATTATTTTTGAGACTAGTGAGAACCAAAACAATATGGAAATGAATGAGGGAAAACTGGATCCTACCACGTGATTTCCCGGCCAATAAAAATGTAGCGTTAAACGTTTAACGCAACCTTGTTGGAAGTCGCATAAGAAGTATAATTTCAATAGTAATTTTTATAGAATTAATAAAAATTTAATTAAAATATAAAAATTTAATTTTTAATCTAGAATTTTTATAGATTTTATTTAAATTTTATTAGACATGAATTCTAAACTCCTCAAATTAATTGACAGGGTAGAAAAAGCGCAAGAACTCCTGAGTAATATCAAATACAAATTTATAAGAATTTTCAAATTTGATGCTCAATTTTCAATTAGGGCATCGTTCGGGAAATTATTTAAGCCAATAATTAAAAAAAAAGAGAGAGAGAGAAACGGAGTTAGCATAAAAACATTACAAATGAAACCAATGGTGGAACTTTAAAAATTATCTTATAGCTATGTTTGCAATTGCGTTTACCTAACACCCCATTTACACGAGGACGGAAAACAGGCGCCATAAATAAGTTTTCTGACGTCGCGAGCCTGAAAAAAAAGGCTAGTCATATTTACACCATTCCTGAAGTTAAGAACCACATATTGCAAGTTAAAAAATAACCACGTGACCTAAAGAGCCAATCAACATTAGCCTTAATTTCAGCCTGAATAGGAGTTGTAGCTCGACAATGCTTGTCTGAAAGCAGGACAGGCAAATCTTAAGTGAAGAATCAGGTTTACGTTCCTTTTATGACACCATGCGCCTGATGGCAGGCCTCATGTAAGTGAGGTGTCAGATTCTGATACCTAAAAATATTACTAAAAATCTTTTCAAAGGTTTGTTGCACCTAAAATTAAATTTAAGATAGACTTACTCGAAAATAAACAAACATATTATTCCGAAAGTGAAAAGAAGTTGAGCTGTCAAAATAAGATACACCTGTAAAAATAGATACAAAAATATTTAAACCGGTTTTGCTGGAAGTAGAAAACTCAATTACAAATACAGGGTGTTTCGTAACTACAACCCTTATATTTTTAGACTCTTTGTTTAAGGACAATACGCATTGAAGATTGCAAAATAATATTTGAGCTATGAATAAACAAAAGCGCTATCTAAATCTAACTGCGAGAATTAAATCATCAAAAACTGTTTAAAACCAAAAAGAATTTCAAAGAATTGTTGCTGTCCTCTCCATCAATTACCATTCTTAAAAACAGCGAAATATCACGAAATATCATACCTCACAAAAGGTACCGGAAAACCGTTCCGGCCCCACTGCACCCCTGGAAGTCATGAGAAACACCGTCCAGTTCATTGGTTCTACAATATAATTCATTTTGATGTTTTCATCTCCCCTTCCTCACAAGTGATTAGAAAGATTTCAATAACGTTTTTGTTTCTTCTTCATGAAATAATATTTTAAAATTTCCAATATTTGCATATTTTTTCATTTAATTGTTGCCAGCAATTTTAGAAATAAATATTAAGGGTGGTAATTATGAAACATCATAATGTGTGTAGTTTTTAAGCAATTTTAAAAGGTTAGATAGATTTATAAGTGACAAGAAAATGCAATATTTAAAAATTTCTTTTTTATATAATAATACCGTAAACGGAGTAATCTTGCATCATTTTTTGAGATGTTTTTTGTGGACTTCTTTTAAAATGTAACATGTAGTTTCGAATATTTAAAAAAAGTATATCTGCATTATAAATATGTGAAGTTTCATTCTAAATGGTGATGCAAATTAAAACACTTTAGCTCAAGAGCAGCGCCAGTAGGGGGTCAGGGGGGGGGCAATTGCACCCCCGTCGGGCATGGCCAGCCCCCCCATCGGGACAAATTTAGAGTCTCGTTAGCTGATTAAAAAAATATTGAATCGAATAATTGAAGTAAGGAATTTATCTTCTCACTTTTCGGACGAATGCTCGTCGAACTTTTTTATCTGCAAAGGCCTCTAGCCACTCTCCTTGACCAGCAGTTTCCTGCTGCACGGGTCCCATTGGTCTAAGTCCTGGGGGAAATGATTGTCCAAATCTCGGGTCTGGTTGTCCGACTACTTGAGGACCAGGAGGCCTAAACCCTGGAGGGTCTGGTGGCCGATTCGAGCTTATATATATTGGAGTCCCAGCAGTTGATGGAATGTAATACACTGTAAAATAAAATGTTTCGCTAAAAATATAAATCTATTATAATTAGAAAGATAATTATAATGTAATTAATAAAATAATTATGGTGTATATTATTATTCCGATCCATGAATAATAGCTCACGAGTCTTAGAGAAAGTAAATGGCTGTAGTTTATTAACGCAAACTTTCTTTTAAGAATTTCTTTTTTTAAGGCACCACTTTAATGGTAAGAAGTTTGGTAAGACGGAGTTTTCATACAAATGTATCTTGTTAACAAAATAACATATTGCGTTGGTTTCAAATGCATTAAATGATCGAGGTTTGGATCCTTTTCTTTGCCACCATTAAATTGCACAATTATCAAAACACTTGATATCATATTTCGTTATAATTTCATTCATGTTTTCAGACAATTCACTCAATCAAAGTAATCAAGTGAAATTTTGCATGAAAATACAAAAAAGTTAAGCAAACAAGGTGATAACAAGAAAATAATGGTACAAATTCAACTCAAGATCATGAGTTGATGGGCATTATAACAAGATAGTTCAAATTTGATGTTACGCAACAAAATCTCTCGCAATTTTTTTTTGCCGCAATAAATCTAAGGCTTTCGGACAATAAAACTCATTCCACCTTTAAGGAAATTTTTAGCCCACGGAGCTTCCTGAAAGGAAGATAGAAAACTGCATTTACACCGCTAAGAGCACCTCAGACATGCTCCAGAAGAATCAGATCTGGAGATCTATGAGGCCACTCTCTCCATCAAATATCTCCAATGTTCCTTGAGAAGCCCTCACCAGTGCAGACTCGATGTATGAGTCACTCCCATCAATCGCCACAGAAAAAACTGAAGAATCTGATTGGTGAGGTTTTCGCTGGAAAATATTTTTCTCCAATCACCTTCTCATTTTCCCTCGACGCCGATCGGCAGAGAAAAAACCATATTCAGCGAGAATGGCTCTTTAGACAATAAAAATTAACCGGTGATTGAAAGTGCCACTGAAGAATCTAACATAAGGTACTAACCCTCAACCCTTCGCAAGCTGTTAGAATACATTCATGACACTCCAGGTCACGGGAGAGGTCACCTGAATTGCAGGTAATTTGGACAAAGGAGCAGTAAGTTTTTAACTTCACTGTTGAGTCCTGATTCAGTCTGAAAAATGATTGTTGACATGTTTACGTATGGATGACTAGCTGTGTAAAGCTAAGCCAAAAAATCTTGAAAGCAGAGCTGTCAACCCAAAACTTCTAGCTGTCCACATTATTTTATCCCTGCAACCCCGTGTACAAAATGGTGACATGTGCAAGCTAAATCTATTGGGGCCACAAAGTCCTTCAAGTTTAAATAACAAATCAATACCACTGGGATTACTAGATCGGAGACTGATCGTGCTCTGGTTCAGGTCAAAATTACGATCTGGGGATGGATGGTGTGTGAATGTGTTCTCCCAGTAAAAACGGGACGTGACGTATGTATGTCACCTCCGGATCATCCTAAGGGATATTTTCTAGACCGTCGCAGATAGCCCATTGTGCGACGTAAGTAACCTAAATTTAGTGCGTCGTAAATAACCTAACTAAATACATGAGTACCTAAAAACTAGTATAGGCGTCAAATTATTACCATGTGACGCACAAAGCCGATCACGACATGCCTGAAATTCCGACCTGTCTCGGGTTGTCTTCGCCCGATAATACTTGTCTGAAAGCTTGCTAGGAAAATCGAAGTTAGAGAAAGAGCTTTTTGTTGAAAATCACATGCCTGGTTCCAGTCTTTATGTAAAAGGGGATTAACGGAGTTTGGCTCATAGAGGCCATTCACACTGTATGCGAATTCGGTTGTTCTTATTAGTGAAATATATTTATTCTCTAAAAACTCGCCAAATAGGTTTTCGTTCAAGTCTCCAAATTTGCATAAAGAAACTCTTTCGCATTTATTCTAAACGGTCCCTAAACGAAAGACGGGTGTGTATGACAAGAATTTTCTAATTTTTAGTTCAGTTGGAAAATGTAAATTTTAGAATTTTTATTTAATATTATTATTATTTAACTCACACATGTTTCCAGTTGGAGGATTTGTTGCAGGGACATTGGGATCTACTTGGACAGTATAAATTTGTTGCTGCTGCTTGCAAGGTGAAGCCAGAGGAGAAGACCGCGTTCGCAAGTTTAATTTCTTAAGTAAGTGGAGTTGTTTTTCGTGAATCTTAGCTAGCTTCACTTTACAAAATGACTCCGGTTGAAAGTCCTGATTTTCAAGAATTTTTATTTGCTGCTGTTCTTGGAGAGACTTCTTTAGCTGATCTAATTTTTTTTCAAAGTAGAGCTGTTTTAGCTCAGTATTCACTCGTTGTCTTTTGCGCCGACGAAGTTTCAGATTTCTTCGATTTCTAGCAGATTTATTTTTCGGGTCTTTTCTTTCAATAGTCGCCATATTCCTAAAAAGTAAAAAAAATGATGCAGTTTTAGGTGCTGAAAAAGTTTAAAATCTTTCTGCTTACAGTTATCAATGCAAATATTATTTCAGTACCACTTGAAAAAACATTCCTTAAAAGGTGCAAATGTTGGCAGCTTTCACTTTTGATTTTATAATTCGCATTGAGCAGGCCCAACTCTGAGTTTACGACTGTCGATGTTCAATATAGTAGCCTTGTAATTGTAATTCCAATACAAAAGACAAGGGAACTCCTGGATCACGCATTCTGACAAACTAGCCTTCATGGTGGACTTTTTGGTGGAATTTCGTGATTCCATCAAAATACTGATTTTTCAACCACAGAGAATATTTTTATGTCTGCACAGTGTGAGCCTGTTGCAAAATTCGCATCGGCTCAGATCAACCACAGTGCTGACACAAAACTCAATTTTCTTTCGCTTTCCCATTTACTTGCATTCTTAGGAAGAAGAAAAAATGTGAAAGTTCCACCTTCTGCTTGCTCCACTCACCAGTTATCAAGATTGCTTCATTATTATTTTTATTTCTTTTAAGTGAACGAGATGGTTACCCCTAAATTGAAAACTATTCAAAGAAAAGATTCTAAGATTTTCTGTAGTATTAACACTTATTTGGTACCAAAAACTTAGTTTTCGATTCTATTGAGATAAAATTTGAATCTAATAATTTTGATCAGTTATGATTTATTTACATAACTGACGCGAAACAGCCGACCCAATAGGATACTTGTAAGTGACACAGTGTGGGTTTCTCGATCCTGATTGGTTGCTGAAACATAACATTTGCTTACGTTATCAACATATCTTTCCGTTCTGTTTCGAGTGAGCCAAGACCATCGAATAAAAATTCTCTTAAGTGACACACTCTTTATTCTTTCACAAAGATTTCAATTCTTTCCCTTGATATATTTCACCTAACGCAAGGGCAGATACGAAGTCATGCAGAACCAAAACAGACTAATTATGCATTGAGTTTGTCACGTACACAAAACGAAAATATATCACGGTTACAATAAACTCTAAGTTAAGTAAAAGTCATAGAAGAGAGATAATTATATTTTAACAAATTTGATATGTGCTACTGCGTTGTGTTTAGTAAACTTCACGTTAAATTAAAATTTCAACTTTTGTGGAGAGACTTAGCTAGGCTTTAACACGACATCTGGTTTATAAGCGATCATCTGGCGTTGAGGTAATAAGTCACGTGTCTGTGTATCAGTGATTGTCATCTTTTTGAGTTGCAAGTACCCAATTCTAGGAGCCTTACCCAATTCTAAGTTTACTATTAACTCAGTTATCATTGCAAAATCCCCCACCCACGTGTTTTTTTCCCTTCAAATTTTTATTGCCTACGCTCTCTCACGCAAGATTTGAAGCATCTGCGCATGCACACGTTTCTTTTAGATCCTAGGTGTCTTTACGTTTAATTGGCTTGGTTTTACAGAGCAAAATTCACGTTGTTCATGGCTGCAGCCATGAACAACGAACATTCCACATGTGGAATAAAAACACGAACATGAAAACAACATTCCACATGTGGAATGTTGTTTTCTATTTTAGTTTACTTTCGAAGTGTCACAACACCGACACAAAATGATAATGATTATTTTGAAAGATTATTTATTTTCATTATACAATTTATGTTGAAAGAAGTTTTTTTCTTAACATCCACGCTCGTTATGATTGTTTGTGGTTGAAGATGATATTTCACTACAATAGAGTTTTTAACTAACAGGGTTGTCAAAAATCTCATACTTTATTGTTTAAGAAATTTGGATCTTCATGTGCAAACATTGGATCATACCATGTGTAATGAAAATATAAGCACATTTGCACGTCATTTGTTTCTCTGATTTTTATATAATATATAGAAATATTATCATATTGTGCGTGCAACTCAAAAACTAGATAATTCCATATTTTTCGATTTCAATACATTTCGATTCAATATATTTACAGATTATTTTTCGTAATTTTTTATGATTATGAATAGAAATTTATAGAGTTATCTAGTGGTGCTATAACTAGATAATCATCCTTAAGTTTTCAAATCGCAACAAAGCGCTTAACAGTTCCATTTTCGATAACACATAGTTCGAGTTTGTGTCCTGATTTAAAAGTTCACCAACCTAATGCTGTAGTTAACCGTAGGTGGAACTTAATGATAAATGCAAGATCTTAGACAATTCCTAAAACAAGACAAAATATTAATTCCCCCCCTTTCAAATACGAAGTTTGAGCCGCAATGGCTCAGGGGATAGAGCGTTCGCCTTCCAATGAGGTGAACCGGGGTACGATCCCGGCGATGGCTGGTCGATACGAATTCCGCATCCGGCTTGCACCGACCACAGTGCTGACGTGAAATATCCTCAGTGATAGACGGATCAGGGGTTAGAGTCCCCTTGTAGTCAGGCTAACTGTGGGAGGTTCTCGTGGTCTTCCACTTCATGTAAGCCAATGCGGGTTAGTTCCTTCAAAAAGTCCTCCGCGAAGGCAAATTTCTCTCAATACTTGATCCAGGAGTTCCCTTCGTCTTCTGGATTGGGTTCAAAATTACAAGGCTACAGAGTTAAACATTAATAGTCGTAAACCCAAAAATTGGATCTACTGTTCAACGACGGTTATAAAAGAAAACGAAGTTTATGGGGCCGGGACAGCTTGGTTGGTATGGCACTGGGTCCAAGTCCAAGAGGTCGTAAGTTCGATCCCCGTCGACCGAAAACTCCCCGTGTAGTAAATAGTGACTGATGCACATTAAATCTATCGAGTCACAAAGTCCTCCATGTTCCCATAACAAATCATACCTCTGGGGGTACTAATCCAGGAGTTTCCTTTTCTTCTCGATGGGTTCAAAATTACAAGGCTACGGAGTTGGACATTAGTACTCGTAAACCCAAAATTGGATCGGCTGTTCAACGACGGTAATAAAATAGAATAAAATACGATGTTTATAGTAATCCAGTTTCAGTAGGCTTAGCGTTATCTAGAGGTTCTATAACAAGATAATGTTGCAAATAATCGTAGGTAGAACTTAACGGTAGGTGTAAAAATAAAAAAACTAAACTAAGAAAAAACATCAGATTGTTTTTTCAAAACTGCAGTTTGAGTTATCTAGTTTTAATACCCATAATTAAGAAAAACTTTACGGATAATTGATAAACAAGAGTCAAATAATGGTTAAATATATGTAGCGTTAACACGTTGAGCGTCAAGCTAATTTACATGATTTGCCCTTCTGGCCACGGTAAATAACTAGAAACTAAATCTGCAAATATTAGACGGATTTTGCTATTTTTTTCGATGGTTAAAGATATAGCGTTAACACGTTGACATACCTGATAAAAGTGGAGAATTATATAACGAATTGTTTAAAAATAGTGGTGGATAAAAATCTACTAAATTGAATTTATTAAGCTGAGAATCACAATAATTAAGTAAATTTTGAATAAATTTTCCGCAATTCCATAAAAGAGTGTACATTTTATAGTTCTATATCATGTTATACGCTGTCAGCCAGCTGTTTTTCGCGGCCTATGTGAAAGGTCAGTGTCAGCAAGCGGTGGCAGACGCAGCCTAAATGTAATTTCAGTGTCAGCCACCGGTGGTTGACGCGGACTAAATGTAATTTGAGTGTCAGCCACCGGTGGCTGGCTGACGCGGCCTAAATGGAAAGTCCAGTGTCAGCCACCGATGGCTGACGCGGCGCTCAACGTGTTAAAGAGGGAAAAAATTATGTTTTCAGATTAAAGAATGTTACGTTAGTCTCGAAAAAATATAATAATAAGCTTGTAATATTTGAAATTAGTTGTGGTTAGAGAAAAAGAGTTGATAAAATAAGAATTGAATGAAGGGCCATTTTTAATTGAACAATACTTTCGTTTAAAGCCTTTAAAATCTATAGCATACGACTAAAATTAACAGCTTACAAAAATTACATAACTTGAACTTACGTCGGGTTGGATAATAAATAGCTAATTTTGTTCAGTTAAAGGTTTTTCCGGAATTTCTCACATAATATCCGATGTATTAATTTTAAACATTTAGTTGTTTGGTTTTAAAAAGAAGTTTTAATGAAAAAAAATTGAGTTATGCTTGTAACAACCTTTCAAAAACCAGTTTATCCAAATCAGTGCAAAAATGACATTTTGAGTGGAACACAAAATAGCTATCTTCACTTGAAATTCTTTTTTTCTCAGCTCTAAGATAAATTCATAAATAAAAAGGAGATGTAAGTATATATTTGAAATAATTATAATTATTGCTAATGTAGTAGCCAAAGGTAACTAATTGACTGATGCTTGCAATTTTTTTCCTAAGATAAAATGAGTAAAATATTAAAGAGGAATATGTTAGAACCTCTACTTGTTCCGAGTTTTTTTGGTTATCCCTCAATTCCAAGATTCCTCCCTATGAAAGTGTATTTTTACCATTCTATTTCTTTTGTAGGTGGGTAAAATAAGGAATGCGCATGTTTTTTCTGTGACAGACAGCAGCAGAGAGAATTTATTTTCGATTTCATAATTTAAAATCAAAAATAAAACTTTTTTTATAACAAATATATTTAATCGACTCTAGTTTGTCACATTCTGTATTTTTTTATTAATTCATTTTTTTTAAATAATATTCGAGTTTAATGTAACAAATTTTTTTAAAAATATTCGAGATAGGTTTTTTTCTTTTCATTCCATTACCAAGCCAATTCCATACCTATAAATTAGGAAAATTTTCCAGAGTAGGGAATACTCAGGGATGAGATCGTGGGAGGTTTTCCTCTCCATGTAACGCAAATACAAGTTAGTTCCATCAAAAAGTCCTCCCAATACTTGATCCAGGAGTTCCCTTGTCTTCTAGATTGGGTTCAAAATTACAAAGATACGGAGTTCAACATTGGTAGTCGTAAACCAAAAATTAGGTCAGCTATTCAACGACGGTTATAAAATAAAATACTGAATGAAAAGGTACAAAATTTTTTACGGCATTTTATAGCATGAAATTTTACATGGCAAAATACAAAATTTGAGCAAAATCGGTTGAATATTTCCTACGAAATTTCAAATACGATTTCTCTAAAATTCGAACTTTGTATTTTGCCATGTAAAATTACATACCTTAAATTGATGAAAAAATTGTATACCTTACAATTCAAAACTTTTTGTACTATTATTCAATAAAATAATAAAAAAGTGTGAATATCTACTAAAATTTATTCCTTGCGTGGATAAGCCATCTTTGGATAAGCGAATATTATAATTGTGTGCACAAACTTTTCAATTAGCTTAAAAAAGTTCTCGAAATATGGCGAAATTTGCAAAAAGTAAAATTAATATTAAGGGGTCCAAACTTTGGGGACCATATTTCCCAGATTGTGACTACCCCTTTATTTTGGGGGTCAGAAATTCGGTGAAAAAAGGTATGTTTATTCAGAGAAAGTACGTTTTTGTGTCTGATTTCGTAACTTAAAATATCGTCTGCACTAATTATTTAGCATAATTGAGGTCAATCCTTCGAACGGTTAAGATTGAGTCCTAGAACGTGAAGATCCGATCATTAGATCAAAAGTTATTAAGGTTGGTCNCGTAAACCCCAAAATTGTGTCTGTTGTTCAACGACGGTTATAAAAAAAATACGAAGTTTATGGGGCCGGAACTGCCTGATTGGTAGGGCACTGGGCCCATGTCCAAGAGGTGGTAAATTCAATCCCCGTCAGCCGAAGACTCCCCGTCCCCGTGTAGTAAATAGTGACTGATGCACGTTAAATCTGACGTGTCACAAAGTCCTCCATGTTCCCATAGCAAATTAAACCTCTGGGGGTACTGATCCAGGAGTTTCCTTGTCTTCTGAATCGGTTCAAAATTACAAGGTTACGGAGTTGAACATTAGTAGTCGTAAACCCAAAATTGGGTAGGCTGTTCAACGACGGTTATAAAATGAAATAAAATACGAAGTTTATAGGAATCCACTTTCAGTACGCTTAGAGTTATCTAGAGGTTCTATAACAAGATAATGTTGCAAATAACCGTAGGTAGAACTTACGGTAGGTATAAAAATAAGAAAACTAAACTAAGAAAAAACATTAGATTGTTCTTTTCAATACTGCAGTTTGAGTTATCTAGATTTAATACTCATAAATTAAGAAAAAGTTTACAGATAATCGATAAACAAGTGTCTTGCAGTTAAATATATAGCATTAAAGAGGGAAACAATGATGTTTTCAGATTAAAGAATGTTACGTTAGTCTCGAAAAAATATAATAATAAGCTTGCAATATTTGAAATTAGTTGTGGTGAGAGAAAAGAGTTGATAAAATAAGTATTGAATGAAGGGCCATTTTTAATTGAATAATACTTTTGTTTAAAGTCTTTAAAATCTATAGCATACGGCTAAAATTAACAGTTTACAAAAATTAAATAACTTGTACTTACGTCGGGTTAGATAATAAATAGCTAATTTTGTTCAGTTAAAGGTTTTTCCGGAATTTCTTACATAATATCCGATGCATTAATTTTAAACATTTAGTTGTTTGGTTTTAAAAAGAAGTTTTAAAGGAAATACATAGACGAATTGAGTTATGCTTGTAGCAACCTTTCAAAAAACCGTTTATTCAAAACATTGCAAAATTACATTTTGAGTGTAACACAAAATAGTAACTTCACTTGAAATTCTTCTTTTCTCAGCTCTCAGATAAATTACATACGTACACACACATACGCTATATGCGTAATCACTATTACTTGTAATTGAAGATTTCGGTCATTTATAACCACTATTTCCAGCTATTGCTTCTTGCTGTGATTGCAAGTTATAATTGCTTATCAAAAATTGCTGTTATTTGTAACTTGATCACTTATAAATACGATTACAAGTAGTTTATTCCTATGTACTTTTTATTTGCAGTTAATCAAAATTGTATTCAGCGAATTTTTCTGTTGAGCAGTGAAGCTATTCCTTTATTTTTGACTAATTAATAAAGAACAATGATAGAAAGTGAATAATTTATTCTTTATTCAAAATATTTCTGACTTATGAATAAATCTTTATTCATTATTCAGGAAAATTTTTGAATAATTATTCATTATTCTGAATGCCCATCTCTGGTTAAAGGCTATTGCAAAGTGCTCTGAAATCTTTTATAATCTATCCCTTTAAAGTGTGAAATTTATAGTTAACTGCAAGGGAAATCGACACTTCTATAAAAAGGTCGCTAGGAAATGAAGGTCTAATCTAAAAATGGTTTTTTAATGATGTACTTGTCTCATGATCGATCTAATTTTAGCCAAGGCAGATCTAGATTAGTAACTTATTTTGGCTACAATCAAGTCAAGCCCTGCTCTGACAAATAAAAATACTGAATAAATAAAACAAAAGAAAGCATATTTATACATAACACTTGGATAAAATGAGAATTTTTTTCCTGCTAAATAATAAATAAAAACTATGCTGAAGAATAAAAAGTATTTCTAGAAAAATACTTATTTCAATTTGTTTCCTCTTAGGGAACAGAAAAAAGAAATGGAATGTGCGTAATATACAATATATAACTAATACATAATACAATGAAGTGTGTTCAGTACTTCATCTAAAGACAAGAAATGACATTATAAGAATAAATAGCAGGCTTACCCAAATATACAGTTTAGTAACAGATGCTTTTTAATAAAGTCCATTACATTATAAAAATTTATTTATAGGGAAAAAAAATAATAATGCAACTCCTACATTTCATTAAATTCTTTTAGACACTAGAGGGCTTCACTTCCTGCTAGCCTCATGTGATTTCCTCTTAGCCTTATTCAATACCTGATAGCTTCTACACTTTAATATATTTTATTTTAATTTAAATATATCAGTCACTAACTCTCAGAGCAATATGCACAATTTTTAAATCACATTGCTCACTGGTTTTGTCTTGTTTAATACATCAACTTTTATATCTAAATTTAAATCTAGCTCTCCACATTATTAAAAGTGGTAGTCAAATAATATCTTTTTTATGAGAGTGAACGCTCGGCACTAACCGAGTTATATGAAAATAAATTATTGATCTCTGAACGGAAAATTTTAAGAAAAATATTTTGGGCACTGTACGAGAATAATAACTGGAGATCCTTGTTTAATTTTGAAATTTACCTAAACTACAAGCAACCTGATATTGCTAAAATCATAAAATGCAGCAGACTATGATGGTTCGGACATTTATTCCAATTTGATAATACAAATCCAATAAAAAAAGCTCACTCTTACTAATCCATGGGAAACTGAAATCAAGGAAGACCACCAATTAGGTGACTCAACTTGGTCAAGGAGGACACTCATATATTATATAGGGAAAACTGGACGACCTTACAGTGGATAGGATTAAATGACTATTTGGGATTGTCTTGGCCTGTAATAGGCTGTAGTGTCTTGAAAGAGGAAGTTAAATAATAATTAACCAAAAGTTTTTAAAATTTTGCCAATACTGCACATCATGACAATACAGCTTGCAATTCCAAAATTTATATTTATCTGATTATTATATATAAATTATTTATTTAAACAGGGTATCCACTACATTTTAGATTTTCAAATTCATGAATAATTCCTAGAATTTTTCATGACTTAATGAAGTTACTATTTTCCCAACAAAAACACAACAAGAAATTTAAAAAAGCATTATAATAACGAAAATTGAAATGATAGGTATAACCAAAACTGTTATACTCTGCATCATCATATTTAAACATTTAAAATTTAAAAAAACAGAGGAAAGAAAGTGTTGAAGCAATAAAATAGCTGAAAAAAATACAAAAGCAAATAATTTTTTTCTGCAGAATTATATTCTTAAGATACTTTTCTTTTTCATCTGAAAGGAAAGAACTAATCCTGATTTTTCTGTTCTCATTTCGGAATTAAAAAAAATTCGCCAATGACTGGCTTGCTTCAGCTAGAATTTTGAATTGATAACATAAAAAAATAAATATAACAAAAATTCTGAAATCACAGAAGTTTAAAAGATAATTCGCACTAGAAATGACGTTTTTTCTATCATTTTTTGAAAAACATAATTTTTAAAGAACATGATAAAAACAATTTATATTTTAATAAAATATGAGTGTGAGTGGGGATTTTATTGCAAATTCGGATATTCGGAACACCATGAAATGGGAGGGGGTATTTTTAAATTCCATTTTAAAAATTAGATTTTTCAGCGACCCAAGTCTATGACTTTCCATGATTTTCTGTAAAAAAATAGTTAAAATCATGACTTTCCAGGTGCGCGGATACCATGTTTAAAACATTTGTTTTAAAAAGATATGTGGTAGCCAAAATCTTTTAAAAACAGAAATTACCACCTCCTTAAATATTGGGGAAAATCTTGGGCTTAAGGCCAGAGAAGTTATAATGCCTTATAGCTTGCTCAAGTTTCCTGCTTGCAATCAGTCGCCAACTCTCGGAACTACTCGAGCAATTTTCTACTCATTTCGCTTTAGTCTTGTTAATTACCTTAGCTTTCATACTTTAATTCTTGTTATTCAATGAGAAAGTGATGTATTGATTGTTTTTGTCAAGGGTAGTGAATATGATATGCCCTGTTTCCATAATCATCAGCTTTAAAAATATTATTAATTCAGGATATTATTCCCTATTATGGATTGGAGAAAAATACTGCTCCATGTATTGCATATTTGTATTTCATAAACTGCAATAATTCCAATTGCATTTTATAGATGCTCCTATATATTTTAGTAGTAACTGATTTAATGAAGTAAAAAAATTATGTTTTGTTAAAATACTTTCTTAAAATTTTAGAATAATGTTATTAATAAGTAGATTGTTTTTATAAGCCTTTTGCTAAATACATGTTAAGAGCAGCAATCATCTTGCAAAACATTACAATTATTTTTTTAAAATTATGGCAGTTATTTAAAAGTAAAGAAATAAATTAAAGTTAAAATATATATATATATATATATATTCTAAATTCTGTATGACCTAAAAACACAGTCAGTATAAGAGAAACAGATGCAAATTTACACAAACTAAGAAGATGATTTTATTGAATAATTCAAAGAACTACAATTCTAATGATACCAACTAGAATAAATATAGATTTAAGATTTCATTTCCAAAAAATTGTTTCAATATATTAAATATGCAGAACATTAATTTTTAAAATTAATTAAATTTTAAAATAAAAAAGATACCATTTTATCGATATTTTTTTAAAATGTGATTACTGTACAAAAAGCTTGAAAATGATTTCGTATAGCACAGTTTACTTCTTATATTCGTTGAAACATTAAATTACCATATGATTTTCTTAAATATAAAGCACACATTGTTGCATGAGAAATCTTTCAATGGACGACAAACAATATTGAGGTAAATTTACAGAATGTAAAAAGGGAAATGCAACCATCTCCAAAATAAAAGTATGGTGGAATGCAACATTCAAACATTTTATATTTGCAGATCAGAAAATTGAAATACAAGAAAAATTTCTAAGTGATACAAAAACTTAAAGTTTATGCAATTTTAATAAGTTACAAATATAAAAATGTCTTTAGTTATACAATAAATACATATATATTTAATAATTAAAAAGAATAAGGGTCTGCCCATATTAAGTTGGGCCCAGGACTTCATTGCAGTTTTTGTATCTCACCCCCACTAAAAAAAATAAATAAAATAATGCTACAAAACACTTTTTTTCTCTATTAAATGAAGATTTTTCCTTCTCCATTTAGTAAATTGTATCTTACTAATATTTTTATTATTTATCTTATAAACATTACACAATACTGAAATAGTTATTTATTTAGTGAAATTTAAGACCCACTTGAAAAAAGCGACTAATATCTCATACTTTCTGAGCAGAATAAAAAGTATTTGGAGTGTATTATTTGCAAATCAACAGTCAACTCCCCTTAATGGCGTAACGGATTATTTCACTTACAGAAATAATTTAGTGGAACCAAATTATTTTTTATAAAAACAAAGATAAATGCTCTCCTTAACTGTTTAACTGATAATGGATTATTCTGTTTAGAGAAATAGAATTTAGTAGAAGTAAAATAATTTTAAAAAACAATGTTAAATGCTCTCCTTTTCATGGCATAATAAATAATGGATTATTTAACTTAAAGAAATAGAATTTAGCTAGAATCAAAAAATGTTTTTAAAATCCATGTTAGATACTCTCTGTTAAATGACATAATAGATTACGTAATACTTCACTTATATGAATAAAATGTAGCGGAACCAAATTAATTTATATAAAAACAATGTTAAATGTTCTCTTTTAAAAGATAAGTTTTTGTTAACCCCCATCACTTATTAGCAGCGATATTGGAAAAAAACTTTATTTCATAAAAAAATTTAGATACTAATAGAAATGTAATTCTTACTATTTCCATTTTCTATTTATATAAAACAGGCTACAAAATGTGGATATTTGATATTAAATTTACATATTGTCTAAAGTAGTTGGAGGACAAACAGATCTCTACTCCAACAACTAATAAAGTGTTACGTTCATTAGTAACAATACATTTTCAAAATGAGATAGAGATTATAACGTTTCATATCATTTTAGAGGAATTTTCAAGCAAATGTAAGTTAAAAAATCCTCATTACGGAAATTTCTAATTGATAAATGAAATAATTATGCAAGCTTTTCAGTAATATTTCTATTTTAAATACTTATATATTTAATAATGTGACACTAACAATTTTTGTTCTTAATTACTGGAAGAAAATAAACAATGTAAAATTAGCAAGTTACTCGAAACGTTACAATGCATATAATTTAAAATTCTAAGAATAACCATATTAAGATCAATTTCCCTCCTTAAATTTTATCAATATTAATTTAGACGATTTTTAGGAAATCTATGGCAACATTTAATAAAATTTAAAATTTTACAAAAAAGCAGCTCCTATTTTAAATAAGCCAAAACTTTTTAACTCAGTTTTTCAATACTTTAAAATTTACCTGCAATATTTTAGAAATTATGTTAAAAATAACAAGTTTTAGGGTTGATAATATATCATGCGTCAGGTAGCGGAATTTATTGAGTCAACCAGCAGTGCAATTTTCTACAATTTAAATTTTCCTGCAATCCCAACACCGTATATCAAGGACTATTATTGTAATAATTGGGGTCAATCTAACATGTAGCAAGCAAAATCAGCATGTATAATGTTTATAAAAATTATACACAAAAAAAAAATTATGCTGTTAAAAAGTTATATTACTTTAATTAGATCTTCGTAGAATAATACTTTAAAAAAATTAGATTGAAAATCAATTCTTTTTAGCTAAATATCTCCAGGGTGCGTAGCCAAATTTTTCAACAAAAAATAACCACCTTTCAAGCATTAAAAAATATTTTTAAGCACTTTTCAAGCACTCAAAAATATTTTAAACACTCAAAAAAATATGCATATGATCAGGCAGGGTTGGCAAGCTTTTAACAATTATCTGTTTCATCCAATTTAACTGTCATGTCAAAAAAAAAACTTAAGTTTTGCAGGCATAGTTTTTGACAATTGTCAAAAATTATGAAATTTTGAATCATAAAACGAATGGCGTTTTCATACGCTAAGGACCGAAGATGTGCCGAAATTGATTGGGGTGGAATCAATCGTGAAAACATTGAATAGAACAATATGAACAGTGTCTTTTTGCATAATATGTGGAGAAAATAAACAGGGTAAAGGGAAAATTAAGCACTTTTTAAAAACACCCAAAGAAAAAAAGTACCTTTAAGGGCTTTTAAAAACGATAATCGAAAATAAGCACCTTTAAGCACTTTTTAAAAACGCTACGCACCCTGATCTACTAATTGCTTTATTTCCTTCAGATCATCAAAATTTTCTGATAGTTCAGTAAATCTTTGCAAATACAGAAGATCGATTTTTGTGTCAGATTTCAAAAGGGAAAAATTGTCCTTTATCTTTTATTAAGAAGGATTCTCCCCCCCTCGCTTTTAAATTTTTTCACACTTTCTCGTAACAACCACTCCCTTTTCCCCCAAGTCCAAGAAGCTATGATAATTTGCAATGCCTATAGCCCTGCTGTGGAAGGTTTCTACTACCAGGATCCCACAGTGGTTGAAAACTTAAAAGTAGAGAGCAATATTATTTATATAAAATTATCACACATCACCCTAGCATGCAGAATAAACAATTTTCATGAATGTAAAGTTGTTCAGTTTCATTGAATATAGTAAAAATAAATATAATAAGCAATGAAGAAAATCTATTTGTCTATTAAACATTAAAACAATTATCTAACAGATAGCAATGTAAATGACATACATATGAAAATGCTCTACATAGCCTATAGTAAATGTTTTTAGATTAATAATAAAAACATTTTGTAAAACAAGCGTAGAATAGAATTTATAAAATCAATCGGTTTCATTCATAACTCTTAATCACTTCAGCCACTTTTTTGAAAACCTGTAAAAAATGAAAATTGTAATTTGTTTGTTAATTTAATGAAATTTATATTGCTACATACAATTTTGAATTATGTACCAAATTAAATTTAAAACAACATATGTACTATTTTGCTGAACAATATGAGCACAGTTCATATATTTTCGTTTAGAATTTCTCAAAAACTAAGAGTGTGAGTAATTTATGCACTTAATAGAAGAAAAGGATAATGAATTGACGAATGAATACAGGGGGTGGACAAAATAATGTTAGCACTGCTAAAGTAATTTTAAAAAATTTTATAGTTATAAACTGTGAGCATAATTTAAAAGATTACAACCAATGCTTTTAAACAATGTTATTTGCATTCATACAACATTAGATCAAAGTAATCATAAGACCTTTTTGAGCAGCAGCAATTTATAAATATTGGTTTTATTCAAAAACTAATCTTTTTAATTATCAAATTTACTGACAAATGTGAGTATAAAGTTTGCCGTTTTTCGGAAGAAAAAAAACCCAAACCTTTTTGATCTTTTTTGTCATTGAGAGTTACCGTACTCCTAGCCTCTCCTATAACAAGTCTCAGTATATTGCAAAAACATATTCTTGCACTTTTGAACTTTATTTATGTGCTTTAATGAAAATTTTGAGCATAACAAAAATGATTATCTGTGTACTTATTTTGTATGGAATAAAAGGTTTACAAATAAATAAATAAATAAAAAAAAATAATTAACCTACAATACTAATAAAATATCAATAGAAAAGATTAGTGGAAACTGTATTACTTTCTGAAAATGATCAACATAATTTTTTCAAAAGTAACTTTTCACTAGGAATTATTTTAATCATTAACCAATAACTATGTGCATTGATAAAAATATAATTATCAGAAGAAGACAGCATTTTTATCTTAAATTTTTTTTTAAAGATGAATAAAATAAATAGAATGAAAATATCCAATCTGCTAATTAAAAAAATTTCTATTTCAACTAAAGAATACAATGCCACACATCTTATTCTCTCTTTCTCTAGTGACTGTTTCAGGAAAGCCACCCCCTTCAAGCAAGACATTGTTTGCAAAGGGTTTCATATATTTGCAAATGAAAAAGAAAACAAAGAAAGATAGTCATTTTAATTACTGATAAATAATGCTGTATCTCTACAATGATAATCAAGCAAAATTGTTTTAATTCTGATGCTTGTTATCGTAATCAGGGTTGCATCGGTTTAATCATTGGTTATAACTCTTCTATTCAATCAGTGTTTTCATCTCAGAAAAAAAATGGGTGAGAATTTCTCACCCTTTCTCAAAAACAGGGTGAGATTTCAAAAAGTTAAGTGAGATTTCAAAAATTAAAAAAAAAAAAACACAAAGAGACTTGAAAAAAAAAAAAACATTTCTTTAATTATCATTTCTTTAAATTTGTTTCATTTTTAACATCTTCTAATTTTTAAAGCATTGAATATTTTTGCTGCATCATCCTATGGAAAATGTTCTACATCTACTTTTTCATCAGCTATTCTCATTAGGTTGCTCAAATGCGTATTTGTTTCGTTTTGATCGCTTCTACCCACATTTGTTTCATTTTCATTTGTCCGTTTCGGAGTAGAAGATATTGGCTTTACAAGGTATTTGTCCATCTTACATTAACGAGCAAAAACTTTTAACGTCTTACATGAAGAAACCTTACCTACGGTAAACACGTGGTTGCAGAGAAATGCGTTCTGAAAGAGGTTCCATGGTTCTGAAGGATGGTGTTCTGTTGTTCTTAAAGGTTCTGAACAATACTGGTAAATAGGGAAGCTAGATAATGGGGCAGACAATGAAAATAATAAAAGATCCAGGAAGAAAAGTGAAACGGATTTTATTCTAAATGGCACAAACGAGAAATTTTTTCAAAATGCGAGAAATTCGCGAATTTTGAAATTTGTTTATAGAATGCGCGAATTTCTCGCGGTAATAATTTTTTAATGCGAGATTATAAAAAAATATGCGAGATTCTCGCATTTTCGCGCTGTAGTGAAAACACTGATTCAATATACAGTCTACTAGCTTAAATTTACAATTCAATTAATCTAATCATAATTAAATATCATAACCAAAACAAATTTAATCTCTATCAAAATGTCATAGCATGACGCCCTGTGACTGAGTGGTAGCGTTTCCCACTCCACTCCCGTGCCACAGGTCCTGGGTTCAATCCTCGGGACGGGCAAAGTTGACTAAGCCTTTCATCCCTTCAGTGGGTCAATAAATGGGTATCAAGCATGCTTGGGAACTAAACACAGTGGGTTTCGTATTCGGCTGACCATCTAACCGGAACATCTGCTCCTGCACCCCAGAGCCCAAGGTCAAGAAAACTGAGATGGGCACAGTAGGCCTTGGCCCTCTATGGGCTGGTGCGCCACTGAGTTTAGAGTTTAATGACATGGCATAAATAACCACTAAATACTAAACAATACCAATTAAAAATATTTCTTAACACCAAAATACTACATAAATGTTTTTATTATTTCAATCAAAATGTAACAATCACAAGCAACGAGTTTTGTAGTTGTCTTTAAATTTAGACATATTAATTTATTTTAACTATTATAAATTACTAAATAATTTTTTCTAGTGGTGCAGAACTGGGACGATGGTTCATTAGATGTAGTATGAATTCAAAATATTTTATATCAATACCTTTAATAATCTTAATTGCCGATCACGAAACATCAGGCCTAATTGTATCTTTTACACTTTCCGAAAAATAAGATTTTGGATTTGGTGAGGACACTGCTTAAAACTACTTTTATCACTTACTCGATTGCTTTTAATTGAAAATTAATAATAATAAAAATTAAAACTATTTTAAACCATTTCCAATACACCTTTTTTGAAAACCTAAATTCTGACCTTTTTCACCTCTTTCAACAAGTTTTAAAACCACTTTTAACCAGTGCTTTGGTACAAAATCAGCTTAAATTACAGCTCTCATTAAAATCAACAAATAAAATGTTTCAGTTTGAAACACATTTAATTTTGGAACTTTTTGAAGAAATTTTATGCATTTTTAAAGCAGCTTGAAACAGGAATGAAATACAAATCAGAACACAGTAATTTACATAAATTACCAAATAACACAATATATTTATTTTTGAATTTTGCGAAGGGTAATTTAATCACTTAAAGCTCACTAAATAATTATTTAATTCATTGCTACAATAAATTGAAACTAAGCAATGGTGCTAAGCAATAATTGAAACTAAGCAATACAAACCTCATCAGCACTTTCACTCCCATCTACTTTCAAAACTTTACCCTCTTCACTAAATTTATTGACTATTGGTAGGGTATCAACATGAAAAGTCCTAAATCTGTAAATAAAAGAAAATATAAGACGATTAAGTACAGATTGAGTTGATAAGGAAGGTTATAACAATATTATTTTTAACAAACTGCCTTAGATGCTTCATATTAGATTATATGAAATTAGGGGCCGTGCATAGATTAACCGACTGGCGGTTAAGGAAATGGGCAAAATTGGGAGAATGTTTCTCCCCTACACACAGTTCCCCTATCAGTTAACATGGGAAAACCGGTTTTGCTATGCAGAGAAGACTGCAGGTTAAAATGCGACTTTTTACGTGCAGAACCGTAAGTGGGTTAAGTAGGCATATTTTTTAAATTTTTTTTTTTACCCCCCTTCGAAAGATAAAATAAGCAAATTACAACTCCCTTCCAGGTTTACATAAGAAAGTCACTATACCTTATTGGTTTTTACTTTGACTGTTACTGTAGCAATCTAATTTTAAGATTCAATTCAAATAAAGATGCAACTTAGCATAAAACAAAATATCATGTTTTAATTAATTTTTTAAAATTTCAAATGGAACATTCTTATAGAATCCTTTGATTTTTCCTTTTTTTGTATTCAAAAATCTTGACCACTGAAATGTTTCTATGATATTTTTTTTTTTATAATTTTCTTTCTTTACGAATTCAACTTACATTCAATTAAAAAAAAAGTTTTAAGTACATTTGAAAAGTAAAAGGATTTTAATGTCTTATTGTAAGAATTGCAAAAATAAGTAAATTAGAAACCCCTCACCCTGTTGGGTTCTTTTGTAATATTTGAATGACTCCTTATAACAAACACTGAAGTAAATGAAAAAAAAAAAAAAAAAAAGATGAACAAACACTGCAGATTAACTTAGTAAAGCAGGAGTATAAAAATGCTTTTTATAAATATCTGTTTCAGCTGCTTACTATCAACACAAACAAAATTATAGGTGACATGGAAGTAAAAGATAAACGGACCTTTTCTTCAGGCTTTCAATGTTATCATCAGAACGTCCACTTCCTTCTGCTCCTCTCTTCAAGCATCTTTGAATACAAGTCTGCAAACAAAATGTTTGAAATTTTTTGACAGAACGAATTAACTTAAGTGAAGGAAAAAATAAAAGCACATTGAAACCAAAATGATGAGGACCATTCTTAGAGAATGGTTAATTTTATGTTTCTGGAGGGGGGGGGCAAATGCCAATTTGTCAAGAACTACACTGTGTACTAGATTACATGTAAGAAAGAAAAATTAAGTTATAAATATCAATGCAAAAATAAATAAATAAAATAAAGCATTCTTCAAAAGCCTATTGTGGTCTCCAATACACACACACTACCTTTATTGTACAGGCAAGCTGACATCCATTCATTTGAAGCTGTGGAGGTCATCATAAGTTAAGACGACATCGGGGATCCAACTCCAGTGTCTGACATTGACAGTTCGATTGTTCTTAATTATAACATGTCCCCAGGAATAATCATCCTTAACAAAGTAGGAAGGTTTTTTTTTTACCATCTCGAAACTTAATGGACGTTATCATTATAATCAAATCAATATAAGTATCAAATCAATGAAGTATTTTGCTAGTAAGACAACTCGTTCTTACTTGCAGACTACGCATTCTTTAGTGTAAATAACTAAAAGCTAAAGATGATTGTTTATATTTTAAAATTATAAAAGGTTTTTATTGCATATTACACAGTTCCTTATTATTTAAATCATTAAATTAAAATTCCTGAAGGGGTTAGAAAAAATATTGAACTAGCTTTTACTTGCTAGAAAAAATATTGAACTAGCTTTTACCTGTGGTAAAAACTACTTGACTCTCTTTGGAGGAGTGAAATTCAAAAGTAGCAAAAATAATTACATTTTAGATTACAGAAACCAATTTTATATGAAACCCCCCTCCTATTTTTATGGATTAAATAGAAGATAGCAAAGAGGTGTGTAATATACTTCAATGTTTACATTAAGCGTATGACAAAAATCTTACATTAATTCTTTTTGCAAAATATTATTTTCATTTTGCAGAACTGCATGTTTAAGCAGCTCTAATATTAGAAAATAGGTATACAAATGACACAGTTAAAAAAAAAAAAAAGAAAGTAGAGACAATAAAAAATATAAAAAACTGCCTCCAAACTAAACCATAATAGAAAACACATTTAAAGTAAATCATTTTTAAAAAAAAACAACTTGAAATATAAAAAAATCATAAAACAAAATACCTCTTCAGAACAATCCAAAAACAAAATGAATTTCACATCTGCTTTTTCACCCATTTCTTTGTTCCATCCATCCAAGTTGTCTTTATTTCTTGGAAAGCCATCAATCAAAAATTTGCTGCTATCAGCTTTTTTCATTGCCTTAAATACAATAGAAAATCAGTGTTTTCATCAGAGAAAAAAAATGGGTGAGAATTTCTTACCCTTTCTCAAATACAGGGTGAGATTTCAGAAAGTTAAGTGAGATTTCTAAAAACTAAAAAAACACAAATAGACTTGAAAAAAAAAAAATCATTTCTTTTATTATAATACATTTTTAACGTCTTCTATTTTTTAAAGCATTGAATATTCTTGCTGCATCATCATAGAAGATTTTGCCTTTACTAGGTATTTGTCCATCTTACATTAGTGCATAAAAAATTTGAACATCTTACATGAAAAAACCTTACCTATGGTAAACACGTGGTTGCAGAGAAATGTGTTCTGAGAGGGGTTCCGCGGTTCGGTTGTGTTCTGTTGTTCGAAAAGGTTCTGAACAATACTGGTAAATAGGGAAGCTAGATAATGGAGCAAATGTTGAAAATAATGAAAGATCCAGGAAGAAAAGTGAAACGGATATTATTCTAAATAGCGTAATTCGAAGCTTCTTCCAAAATGCGAGAAATCCGTGAATTTTCAAATTGATTTATAGAATGCGTGAATTTCTCGCAGTAATAATTTTTTAATGCGAGAAAAGAAAAAATATGCGCGATTCTCGCGCTGTAGTAAAAACACTGAAAATTTAGAATTTATTATTATTATCTTTTTTCAAAAGTATGGTTTAAGCTGTTTTATGATAATGAGTATGATTTGATGGAAAAGAATATTATATGGATATAACTCAATAAAAAGCATTTTTTTAAAAAATAAATGACATAACATTTCGTTATAAATATGACGAAATTAATACAATACTAAAAATACAGAAAAATGTTAGAATGCCCAGAAAAAGCTTAATAATATTGAGGTGAAAAAATAATTTTGATATTTTATTTTTATTTAAACATTGTTTTTTCATCATTATTTAATTTATAAATATTCAACAAGTACATTTAAGTAATAAAGAATAACTTGTTCTGCCAAATGTAATTTAGAATAAAAAATAGTTATACAATAGATGGCAATTTGACCGGATAACAGATTTCAGGTAGAATTTCAGACAAATTCTCCAGATGGCAATACCTTTTTAATAAACTATTTTTTACGAATAATCGGCTATTATTATTATTTCATTCTAACATCACAGCATATTACAATTTCATTCAATAAACATTAGTTTTCTAAATAATTTTAATTTTCAGAATCCAATATTTAAATTTGAATGCTCATTTAAAATATTATCTGCATTATAAATAATGCAGATATTTTAAATGAGTTTTGAATACTTTTTAATTATGCTCATTAAGGCATCATATTTAGAAATTATTAAAATCATCATTAAAAACATACCACATCCAAACAATAAAAATTTGTTTACACTGATGTTAGAAAAAATTGTAAAAAATAACTTCTGAATAAAATTTAGAAAAGCACCTCATTTCAATTTATGCTTTTGATTGAACTAATATTAGAGTATAACATGCATAATAAGTATAACACACTGTCTAACATGGTTAAAAGCAGAGAAACTTTAGAAGATCTTAACTTGTCCTACAATTATTTTTTTAATAATTTAAAAAACTATCAGAACACGGTGATGGCCTGTGTCACTTAAAGAATTTTTAGGGACATTATGACGCAACTTTAAATTTCCTGACTAAAATTTTTTAAATAAATTTAAACAGAAGAGAAATAAAAATAAATATTTCAAAATTACATTTCATATATGTTTATTTAAGGTATCCCCAGGGTATCTGCTGCATTTTAGATTTTTAAATCCATGACTAATTCCAAGAATTTTTCATGACTTAAGGAAGTTACTATTTTCTGTGCCAAAAACACAACAATAAATTTAAAAAAGCATTATAATAACATTAATTGAAATGATAAGTATAATAAAAAATGTTATACTCTGCATTTTCACAATAATAGATTAAATTTAAAAAACAGAGTAAAGAAAGAGTATAAACAATGAAATAGCTGAAGAAAAATACAAAAGAAAAATAGAAAATTTTTTCTGCAGAATTATATACTCTAAAAATACTTTTCTTATTCCTCCGAAAGGAAAGAAATACTCCTGATTTTTCCGTTCTCATTTAGGAATAAAAATAATTCGACAATGACTGATTTGCTTCAGCTAAAATTTTTAATTGATAAAATAAAATAAAAAAAAATAATAAAAATTCTGAAATTACAGAATTTTAAAAGATAATTCGTTCTAGAAATGATGTTTTTTCTTTCATTTTTTGAAACAAAAAAAAAAAAACACCATAATTTTTAAAGAACATGATAAAAACATTTTATATTTTAATAGAAAATGGCTGTGAGTGGGGATTTTGTTAGAATTCATATATTCGGAACACCATGAAATTGGGGAGGGGGACTCCATTTTAAAAATTAGACCAATTCGGGGACCTAAATCCATCACTTAAAAAAAAAAAATGGAATCATGACATTTGACATTTCATGATTAATTTTGTTCAATACCGAAATTCATGACTTTCCACAATTTTTCATGACTTTCCAAGTGCGCGGATACCTTTTTATCCCAGACTAGCCATGAGCAGTTCCAAATCCAAATTAAAAATATTTTAAGGAAATATTTACTATTTTTTTTCCATTTAAACTGAATGCATTTACATAAATAAAAATAAAGCTAATTAAAAGATTTTTTCTTTAAAACATTTTTAATATAAAATATTTATATTAGTCTTGCTTTTAAAAAAAAAAACTATGCATAGTTTTTTCTAAAAGAACTATCCGGTTTTAACCATGGTTTGAACTCATTGCTATAAATCAGCCAACCCACACTACAGATAAATTTTATTTTTAATATGGCTTTACCTGTACCATTAAATAAAGATTAAAATTTCACAAAACATTTTTAAAAAATCACATAAAAATTCGTCTAATAAAAATAAGCATAAAATAAAATTTTTTTAACCATGTAAAATGTACATTAAAATTTGAAACTACCCACCTCTTCAATTAATCGACAAGTGATTTCTACAGGGACAATTGTCCCATTTTTGATATGGTTTTCAATAAGCTCACCATATTCTGACCCTGGAGTGTTTCGTTCAGCTCTCAGAAGATCTCCAGCAGATAAGTGAACATATCCAAAAGTCTAAAATATATAATAAAAAACATTTGTTTGAAAGGAATAACTAACTATGTACATGAAACTTTACTTACAAAAATTTAACTTACATCAACAATTCTTTGACACTGTGTTCCTTTACCAGCACCAGGTGCACCCAAAACAAAGACGACTTGCGGCTTAACCATCTTTGCAAAGGTACGGATCAAATTCAATATCATTAAGCGATCATACCCTTAAAAAAAAGTGAGTCATTAACAACTAAATAAAAACTTTGTTAAAATACTCAGAAACTTAAAAGTGTAAGACAAAGCTTAATCACGCTAATGTGAACAATATTGGGCAACCATAGTAATGGTATTTAATTTGACCTTATTTTCTAATTAACTTTCTCACGGCCGAGAAAAAAAATCTGTGGCATATAAAAATATTCTGTAAAAAGAGAAAATAAAAAATCTGTTACTGCTCAGCGAGCGTTTCACCATACATGAATGAATACAAAATTTGAAATATTTTAATCCGAATTAAATAATTTATCTTATTATCTATAATCCGATGTAGGTATTACCGGATCAAATATTTAAAAATGTTTTTTTTAATTTTATATTTACTTTACAACGAAGAAAAATAATTAGATGAAATTCACGTTTAAAGCTAAGGTCAATTAGAAAATAAAAAAAATTAAAGTAATTAAAATTAAAAAAAACGATATAAATTTGTTCAATTTACTTAAAATTTGATGACTTCCCGATAAAACTCAGCGAAACATTTTAATTACTTGACATTTTGTTTTGTTGCCAAATCATTAAGTAAAATACTTTTCCTTTTTCTATAATTAAATGGATGCTATTTGTTATGACGTCATTTACTGCCAGCCTCTATTTAGAGATCATTCTTACTGCATACAAGTTACAGATTCAAAGAATGCGCATACAGGGAGATTGTCCCTGTAGACATCAAACACAAAATAGTAGTATTTGATTTATAAAATTCATAGATGGAAAACAGTGTTTTTTTCTCATTTATTTTTAAATGAAATGATGCGATCAATGTGGTGATCAAAACGGGCTATAGGTGGTGTAAAGCAGAACTCTCTTCCTATTCACCATTAGCGCGTGAAGAGTTATAGAGGAAAGAAGTACGTTAGTTCCTGTCTTGATTTTGAAATAGAATAAAGTCTTTTAAGTAAGGAAACTAAAGTGCCATGGAAATTTAAAAAAAAATGTTTTTAGCAATTAAAGACGAAAAGTAATAAGAAAATGAAAAAATTTCGTAGCACATTCCAATACAATCGAAAAGAGGAGGAGAGGGAAGGGAGAAGGGTCAAAGGCATGGAACCTGTCTTCTCCCCAGAAGAAGAAGGAAGGTCTCACTTGATTTTTAAATAGATTAAAAATTTTTAAGTTAGGAAATTATAAGGAATTGAAAAATACATTGAACATAGTTCTGAAAGAAAGTGACGTATAAATTTTAAAAAAATATTTGTAATAATTAAAAGTGGAAAATATTAAGAATATCGTAGTTCATTCCTATACAAGTGAGAAGAGGAGGAGAGGGAATGAGACAGGGTCAAGTCACGGAACTAATCTTCTCCCCAGATAACGTATTCGAGCGTTGCGAACGAGAAATATTCATCGATTTACTTTTTGAGAGGAAAAGTTTAATATTTTTTTACTAAATTACTTAAATATCTTGATTTATTAATTTTAGAAATATTTATCAAATGAATTTGTTAACTTAGTGGTTTTTTTTTGTTTGTTTATTTGTGTTCATTTACGTCGCACTAGAGCTGCACAATGGGTCCATCCGCACACTGACAGCCAGAGGCGTATCTATGGAAAGAAGCGCCTATGGCAAACCTCTTACTGGCGCCCTTACNAGGGGATGGCACCCCCGCTTCGGTAGCCCAACGACCAGCACGCGAAGTCGAGCACTTTACGGTAGAACAGTTTAACGAGGACCAATACTGCACACGCTCGGTACCCTACGTAGACTGATCTAAGTGGTCACCCATCCGCACACTGACAGCAGCCAGTGATGTTTGACTTCGGTGATCTGCTGTGATCCGTGTCTTAACGATCAGTCCACTGCGGGACCTTAAGGTCTGGTTTCTTAGGACAAGCGCCTTATCTGGGCGTCAGCGGGACGTCAACGTCACGCTGACGCCAACAAAATACTGGTTTGTTAGCTCAAGGCCTGGTTTCTTAGAACTAGCGCCTTATCTGGNGTTGAGGTGTAAATATTTTTAGGAGACGTTTGCTTGACATTTAAAGGAAAATATTTGTGTCGAGAGAAAGCCCCTTTCTTGGAGTTTATTCCGGGGAGAGTGACGTATTAGTTGATTTTACAACCATCTTCGGATTTATTTATTACTTAGAAATTTGGTTGTTAAATATGTACATTAGCTTATGAATATAGTACATAAACTATGTGTACAGTGCTCAAAATTAAAAACGGACCATTCTGAATAATATTTAATCCCTGATCATCGGATTTTCACGTTTTAGGACTCAATCTTAAGGATTCCAGGGAGTGACCTCAAATATGCTAATTAAATAGTGCAGATGATATTTTAAGTTACAAAATCAGATACAAAACGTACTTTCTCTGAATTAGCATATCTTTTTTTCGACGGTTTTGGATTTTTGACACTCATCATATAGGAATTTACCGCAATCTGAGAAGTATGGTCCGGCGACTAAAAATGAAAATACGACGTTTTTAAAATGCGATTTCTCAGGAACTATTCGACCAATTTTGATCAAATTTTGTATTTTGTCTTGTAAAATTGCCTTTTTTAAAATGATATAAAAATTTTGTACCTTACTGCACGAAATTTTCTCGACTGTTATGAAATAAAATAAAAGTTATTATTTGCGTGGAATTATGTTTGGATAAATGAATTTTATAGTTGTGGGAAGATATTCTTCAACTCGCTTAAGTTCTAGTAATATGGCGAGATACGCAAAAAGTAAAATTAACATTGAGGGTTCTAAACTTTGGACCACTCTCCTAACTGAACTATTGGGACCATATTTCTCAGATTGCTGCTGCCCTTTATATTGTTGTTGTTGTTGCTTATCCTCTTCTGGCCTGACGAAGTCAGACCAGATCTATGAACCCGTTGACCTGAAGAAAATCAAACACCAAAAGAAGAGTAGAGTAAATGTCCTCCCAGAGAAGACCAACAGGATGTGATCGGTGGAAGCCCGATGTAGATGGCATTTAGGGCAGAGGGGGTAGGTTTTAGTTCCCTCAGAAAATAGTAAACCTTTAAGATGGCCGATAGCTGGGCGGGAGATGGTGGTGCAGACTCTCCTTTCAAAGGGAAGGGTCAAAGAAGCTCCAGGCTTATTTCCCTTGTACCAATGGTGGAATCAATCAGTCTCTGAGAAGCTGGGATTTCTTCAGGGAGTAAAGTTCAAGATAGGTAACATCAGAAGAGGTAGGGTGCGGTTGGCTGCAACCCTCTTTAGCTAGGCTGTCTGCTAAATCATTACCATAGATACCGACGTGAGAAGGAACCCACTACAGGTGAATATTATGTTGGAGGGACAAGAGTTTTAGGTTGTTAGGTTATGGAAATACTGGTTTTGTCGCCAATTTGGGTCCGGTTGTTGAGATGTTGCAGGGAGCTGCGGCTATCAGAGAATATCCAAAGGTCTTTAAAATAAAGGTCATTTTTCATAACAAATTCCAGACCCCTGTTGATAGCCAGAAGTTCACTTCTGAAAACGGAGCAGAAGTCTGGGTTACGCTGGCAGAGAGAAAATTTTTCATCAGGAGTCTCGATGTAGATTCCGCTACCAGCATGACTATCGATTTTGCTGCCGTCAGTGAAAAATTTTGAGTCTTGTTTTGGAATAGAGTGAATAATTTCGAGAGCCAGTTGCTTTAGATGTTCGGGCAGGAATCATTTCAACCTTCCCGCTCCTGTCAATAAGATCCTTCTTATTGACAGGAGCGGGAAGGTTGAAATGGAAGAAAACTTCTGGAAGATCTTCAGAAGGGTTCAAAGAATAGTGAAGGGAGTGCGGCTCTACATTATCGACAAGGAGGTTTTGAAAAACTATTTGGGTAAATGGACTGTTTTTCCTGAGCCTTTGGGAGGAAATCCAATTACTGAGGTATTCGGAAGTCTTGTTATGTTGTCCAAAGCTGAGGAGCTTGTTATAATATTTTACCAGGCTGGCTTGTCTTCTGGTATGGAGAGGCAAAAGGTTAGCTTCATAACGTGCAATGTTGACTGGGCAACTCTGTTTCAAACCTGTGATAATACGGGCTAATTAGGACGCGCTCGAGGTTTAGGCAGAGGGCCTCGTTCGTTAAGTATGCCACAGTCTCCATCTTACATGAAGGTCGAAATTAAATTCTTAGAATAAAATTAAATTCTTAGCTGTTACTAATTTCTGTGATTGAATATCTAGATAAATAAGCGTAGAATATTTATGGCGAAAATATATATGGGCTCTTCCAGAAACTACTTCATTTTTGATGAAAAATTTAAGAAACGACAATTGTTGAAGAACATGTCCCCAAATATTATTAGTAATTCCTATGCACAACTATGTACACTTTCGAACTTATCCCCAAAATTAGAGCTTGCGGGAAATTGAGGCGAAAAGTTGTAGTTCGATCCATTAAGCAAATAAATAATTAAATTAAACAAATAAAAATTTTGAATCCAGATAACTTTTTTTAAAAAATATTTTTGAAAAGGGTTGAGGTAAATATTAATTTTAAAATAACTTTATATACATAAAAAAAGAAACTAATTTTATGTAAAGCAAAATATTTTTCAATCAATCCTTATTGTTGGCTAGTATTATTTAACGAAAATTCCAAAAGGTTCTTACTTTATTTCATTGGAATTCAAAGAAAAAAAAAGTTTTTTTTAGTAATTTTTAATTTTGTTATTGTTTATGTTTTATTATATTTTTATTTAAACAAAATTTCTCCATTTTATTCGTTAAAAAACGTTTATCGTTTTTCATTTTAGGTTTAAATTAACTTAATAAGCCTAAATATAATAATAAGCTTAATAAGCCTAAATAAGCCTAAAAAAGACAAAATTAGGAAATTTCACTACTGGCCAGTAGCTAATTGTAGTATTTTTAGCAGTTATCATTTAAAAATTGAAAATTTTAGACTATTAAACGCTGTTGTTATTAATAATGAAGCTCTTTTAAAATCTAAGATTCATTTCTCAAATGAAGAAAAGTTTTAAGAAATAAGCGATTAGGAATATAGTAATTTTTAGAATATTATTAAATATTCATAATAATTCAGTGTTCATTTAAAGATAATAAGAATAATAAAATGCACATGGAAAGCATTTTGATTAAAAAAGTGACAGTTGGATGATAACTTTTGCTCTATACTTAGATGTCTACAAAAATTTAAATTTTCTAAGAACCATCAGCCCAAAAATACTCAAGTTTAAAAAAAAGACAAAACAGGTTAAATTGTTCTAAAATATTGGACAACAAAGAGAATTTTTTTATACACTGAAGTGATTGGGTGCCCGGGATTTGTCGATGTCTGATTTGTAATAAACCCCGAGATCCTCGTTTTGTTGACCTGCGATTCGAAGTATAAGTGTATTGCTTATAAAGTACTTCACTCGTGTGTACTTTTACTTCTTTTCTTTTCGAATTTCGTACTTTTGCTTGTATTTTTGTTACATTTTATGTGTTTTTACTTGTACTTATACTGTACGTTATTTTTTCGCGAAAAAGTATTAAAAAATAAATAAATTACTGGCCATCTTTGGAGACTAGCTTAGTCACCTTTCAATATTTTCTTTATATAAACTTTAATGGTAATCAAGACGAATGT